GAATTTCTAACCCACTCTCTTTTGTGTGGTAGCTTAGCCACACAGGCTGCTGCTACTTTTCCCTCAGCCAATGACCCATCTGTATAGAAGTGCCATGACGTGTGGTATTGTCTACATAATTCCGTGTGCTGTGCTTTTGCTTGGTCTTTATCCTCTGCTCGTGAAAAGCTTAGTGTTGCAGGTACCCAGGGTACGAAAGGATGGGCTACTATAGTTTCCATCTCCTTTAGACCCTCAAGCATTGGTGTATTGCGCACCATTGCGTTCAGGGGAGAAGTGAACTTCTTCCTTGGTTTACGTAGAATACTTGTTACGATGTTACGCGCGGGATGATCGCCAGATCTCGTGAGCGTTCTTACCATGTAAGCCTCGGCTTTCATGCGTAACCTCTCGGTTGGTGTCAGCACCGCGGACTTATGTTTTGATCATCTAAAATTTTTTTGGCCAATTTTGAGGTCTTCGAGATACACATTGCTTAAATTATGAAGTTTCAACAACCCAGTGGCGCAACGGGCGCTTCAGTGGCTCAATGGTAGAGTATTGGACTTCTAGTATAATCGAAGACCTTCGGGTTCAAGATTAGCTGGCCATCCAAAGGTTGCGGGTTCGAGCCCCGTCTGAAGTAGTGGTAATCTACAACCAATATTTTTTGCTGGTTGTTTTGTCATTTACAGGTTTTATTTTTATTTTTACACGCAATAAGAAAGTTTATAGGCTAACGTTTAAATACAGTCACCGTTGCTGACGAGGCAGAAAAAGACTATGGGAAAAAGAAATATTGAATATTGCTGAAAAGAACAACGGAAATATATAATAAGGACTTTATTATTGTACAAAAACGGTCATAAGCGATAATATTCATACTTTCAGAGTAACAAACGCACGTCTAATGAGTTTTTAAACAAACAATTTTTGATATTTACAAATCAGACGTAAGCAATATATTGTTTGTTCTTACTGTTGCTCTTTTGATGTTAGCCCCTCCCCTTGATATTCTGGCTGCGTTAGGTTTTCGTATGGTTGCGGATTTACTAGGTTGGGAATTTCCAGCATACTGCAGAAGTTTTCAGTTTGCGGGTTAGTATAAGCTAACGCTTTTGAATTATTAGCGAAATTTATTTGCAACAATCGAGCACTCACGCTGTCCTTTATAAGTGAAGCCTTTGTCACCATCAGCGGGAGCAGTTTTCACAAACTGTTGGATACTCTCAACCTGCACGTTACTGAGATATTCGTTGGTCCACTCAAGTTGTGTAGCAATTTCACGTTTGGCATCCTCATCTGATGGTAGCTCTAATTGGTCTTCTCCAATCGTCATGAAAGGATGAAATGCGCGTGTAATTGCCAACCAATGAGGGTCGAATGTAAATGACGGTTTCTCACTTTGTAACTCTTGAGTTGTCTCCACTTCGATGAACTAATCGTTGTTAGTGTGTGTTGTAAATGTTCTCCAAAGGCTACAACATACCTCCAAGAATTTACGCTTTGGTAGACTCTTATCGAGAGCAGTAAAGTAAGTAGTTTCTTGATCATTAATAATGTCCCTTTTATCGTTACTCTGAGCCTCTACATTTACATCTCCTTCGTCTATTTCATCTTCTATAACAATTTCTTCTGGATTACCATCTTTGTTCTCCGCGACGGCATCATCGGGCCGATCATCATCTTCTATAGCAATTTCATCTGGATTACCAACATTACTAGTGTCGTTAGAAGTGCTATCAGCAGGATCAATACTGTCTACAACCTTAATTCGTTTGCTTGGTTGAGATTGTAATGATGAAGGAACGCGCTTATTAGTAGAAGTCACTGATATCCATTTAGCTTTGAAATAGACGTGCAAATGGGCCGAAAACCATTGCCTAGGTTTCAGTTTTTCTAGCAACGTTAAAAGAGGAGGTGATCCCAACTCATTTCTGGAGATCTATTACAGTGAGCTAGGTAATCAATAAATCATATTAACTCACTTCATTCTCAAAGAACGGCTTTTTTTGTATTAGTTTATTTGTATCCCCATATCTTTCTATAGAGAGGGGCCAATCGTGAGAGAGGAAGATATCAGGTTTCGGGAGCTACCACAGGTCAATGAGAAGCTAGACCATTCGTATGTACTCACGAATGATAGCTTCGCGACATCAAATTGACGTATATGGTACGTTGACCGTAAAGTGTAGTTGTTGTATGGGATTTTCTCAAAGTACCCTTCCGTAAGTTAGCGAGGTTGCCCCAGAAAGTCTTCAATTTACCTTTTGGGTAATCTTTTGGCTTGTATATGCAACTAGCACCTGAAATACGGACACCATCAACCATTACGGAGCCAGACCGACCAAGGTAATAAATGTTTGGTGCTATCCATCCACCGTGATACCTAATTTGTTTAACATACGTTTAATACGTTTACTCTCTTCGAAACTCACAATTCCCAGAAGTACGAGCTGGCTTCATGGTTTCCACCGATACAGATCGTCAAAAGAGGTGCTGTTTTCTTACCACTATAGTAGTTATAAAAATCTCCTAATTGCTTATATTTTTGTGGTACTGCCAACGTATTGAAGTCTGCATAATTTCTGAGAGCCTAACCGCACAAGCGAACCGTCAGATGGAAGTCAGATGGCCTATATTAATAGAACAAACCTGAAAGTCCCCACAAATAAGAAGCAATCGAGTCTTGTGTCCAGTTAATTTATCATTCTCCGCGATAGAGCGATATATGATATCAAGGGAGCCTGGTTTGGTGAGCAGTGCATCAAACGCGTGAAATGTATACTTACCATGGGCACACCCTTCTATAGCTATCTATCCATTATCAGAGCCGCCCTCGGATTGTGCATAGATAACTCACTCGCAGCATTCTTACTGATAAAGAAGAGAGAAAAGATAAGACTATATTATATTGATAAAAAAATTGTACAATAATCTATCGTGTTGAATGCCGCCTAAAAATATACAGTAGAGAGTATTACCTTCCTAATCGGTATAAAAGCCGCTTCTAGACAATATAGGGCTTTCTAAATTAGGAAGGTGAACAAAATGAGTACTTAAACAATAATTTACTGCTTCGTTAGTTTTGAAAATTATCTTACTGGCTCGTGTTGAAACCCGAGCTGAAACCAGGAACAGACTTCTGATCGCAAGTGACTATCGCTTAAAATATTGAAGATTTTTTCCCCACCTGCACCTGATAAGCACTTATCTCGCCCTTGAACCTCAATCATCTCTTTAAACAAACGATAAAAAAGTAAGTAACACCACACTCTCTCGTCGTTCGTACATAGTGGTGTACCAGTCTTCTCAAAGTCTTCTCCTTTGATAAGCTTTTACATTTCCAAGAACGACTTCATGAATATGTCTAACGGATATACAGTGTCGGACGAAAAGAACGCTGTCTTTGAAAAGTCCTCCAGCATTACCAGTCTCTCTAACAATGAACATGAGGCTGAAAAACAAGAACCACACTTTAGAGCAACTTTAGATCCAGTCGATGAGGTTGACGCTGTCGGTAAGTCTTTGCTGCCTTTTATGTAAAACTTCTAAGTCATTCTCTTTCAGTTGATCCATTTGCCTCTCAACTTGAAAATAATAACGATGCGGTCAATTTCCGTAACATGGGATGGATTAGTGCAGGTTTGCTTATTACTTGTGAGCAAGTCGCATTAGGTATCTTATCATTCCCATCAAACTACCACCAGCTTGGTATGTTTGGTGGTGTTTTCTCCACTTTTTGCATCGGTATGCTCTGTTGGATCACCGGTATCTGGCTTGTAGAATTCAAGAAGAAATTCCCTGGTTGCCTTAACTATGGTGACGCTGGTAGAATTATGTTTGGTCGAGTTGGTGGAATTATCTTTGGTTACGGTCTTGTTTTGAAGTCTAGTAAGTGGTTCCTTGGGATTAAATTTGTCATAACTAACAATTATATCAGTTTTCATGGCTGCTAGGTGTGTATTCGCACATCAGAAATGAATTCCACTTACAATTTCATAGTCACGTTCTCTCAGGTGGTATCGCTTTTAGAAAAATGATCGATAACAACGCATTGGTTTGCAGTATCGTCTGGACAGTCGTTATGGCAGTAGTATCATTCCTTATGTCACTTTCACGTAGAATGGAAAAACTTACTGCTCTTTCAATTGCCTCTGTCACAGCTATTCTTACTGCATCATTCATCACTGTTATTGCAACTGGTGTACAAGATAACACTAGACTCATTCCAGAAGGTGGTGAGCCAGTTAAATGGTATGCATTCGAAAACCACGGTTTGATCGGTACAATTAGTGCTCTCACTGATATTATTTTCGGTTGGGGTGGTCAAGCTATTGTTTTGACTGTTGTTAGTGAAATGAAGAGACCAGACGACTTCAAAAAGAGTTTGGGTATTGTTCAAGTTCTTTCCATCACCTTCTACACTATTGTTGGTGCAACAATCTACTCATTCGGTGGTCAATACGTAACTTCACCATCGCTTACAATGACTGCACGTCCAGTCATGATTACTGCTTATGCTATTGCTCTCATTTCTATCTTTGTCGCTGGTGTTGTTCCTGTTGCTGCCGGTGCCAAGCTCGTTTACGTTCAAGCTTTCAGACACTCAAAGAGATTAACTGAGAAGTCTTGGAGAATGCGTTTTGCCTGGATGGGAATTGTTGGATCATTCTGGATACTTGGATGGGTCATCGCGAACCTCATTCCATTCTTTAGGTGAGAAATCAAATTTTCATTAAGTGAATCAACTGACATACATTAAAGTGAAATGCTTTCAATTATTAGCTCAATTTTCAGTGTCTGGTTTGCACTTGGATTGCCAGGTATCTGTATCTTGCATTTGTACAGGATCAACAACGCAAGCTGGCGTGAAGTATTCACCTGGAAGCGTATTCCAGTTATTGCACTCGCAGTCTTATGCATCTGCTTTAGTGCAGTCATTACGCCACTTGGTATTTACTCAGCTGCTGAAAAGATCAAGGAAGGTTATTCAAGTGGAGAATTCGGTGGTCCATTCACCTGTGCATCCTAAGTACATTATTGCTTGAAAATAAGATATCATGACACGCAACGAAGATTATAATTATAGACAGAAAGCAAGGATTGCTTGAATAATACATTACTGATTCATAGATTGGGATAATTGTTTATCATGTAAATTTACTATACAATTAACAACGTAGCTATTTAGCATTTTTAGTTTGCGACGGTTGATTTGTGTATTTGAATTTAATTTTTCACTTGTCTTCTCAGTCACACAATATTCATATCAATCAAATTCCGCAAATTTGGTAGTCGGGCCAACTTCCAGCCTGTTTCCGAGACATCGTGCCCGGGAGTAGTTATCTTTCTTGGCGTCCGCGTATTTTGTAGATGGTATTAGCTTTGGCAGAACTCTTGTTTTATTTTGTGTACGAATAAAAGACTTGTCTACGTACTACTCGGTAGGTATGACAATATTGCACTTATATAGTCAAAATCGCAGGCTATTTAATTTAATTGATTGACTTGCAGATTTGAATCCAGTTAGGATTCCCATATATATGCTAGCGCATATCATGTCAAGTGTTCTTATATAATACGTCATATGAGGATAATTGAGAACTAATCTACAAAATTTACGAAGAATCTAGCCACTTTATGTGTTACATTTACTCATTGAATCTACTAAGAAAGTGTTTTCATATTACAACATTTCCCTTGTTTTGTTCTTTAATAAATACCGCCCATGAGCAGCACATTAAAGCTACTAGAAAGTAGCAATCAGCAAGCAACTACTATAATTATAGAAAACGATGGATTGAAGATACGTACACCAAAAACAAATTCAACAAATAAGGGTACTAGGAGCTGCGGGTGTTGCTACAACAAGAAGGGTACTAGGAATTGCGCTAGTTGCTTCAACAAAGGAGGAATATATGAGCAGATTGATTCAGTAGTTGCACACGAGATAAACGTAACTTATTATAGAGTAGTAAAATGTATTGTCAATGCTGAGGGAATTGTACACTTATCGGTAGTATCTTCTCAACATGACGACCACTTGGTTGAGTTCAAAGGCAGTCCTACTAACATCCCAATTGAGGATGCCAAAACTATGATTGATGATATCCGCAATAAAGCTGCTATCGGGGATCCGAAAAGATTCTTAGTGTTAGTCAATCCAGTAGGCGGGCAGGGCAAGGCTATTAGATATTACAACGAGAAGGTATTCCCAATACTCCGAGCATCAGGTTGTAAGATAGATTTCCAGAGTAAGTCATTGATAGTATACCAACCAACTACTCACACTCCTAAGTGCTTGAATATAAACTGCACGCTTACGATATTGGTAAGGAAATGCAGCTAGATTATGATGGCGTATTGTGTGTTAGTGGGGATGGTGCAATACACGAAGTTTTGAATGGCTTTATGAAACATCAGACCCCAATAAAGGCACTTCAGATGCCATTATGTCCTATTCCAGCAGGATCTGGTAACAGCTTGAGCTTATGCTTGCTCGGATTAGAGGATGGCTGTAACATAAGTTTAGCAACGCTCAATGCAATAAAAGGAAACCCAATGCCACTAGATTTATTTTCAATCGTACAAGGCAACAAACGCACCTTATCTTATCTCACTCAAGCCACTGGTCTGATGGCAGATTTGGACATTGGAACTGAGGGTATGAGATGGTTAGGAGATACGCGATTTGTAATTGGATACGTTCGGTCACTCATCACGAATTCTCCATGTCCTTGTGAGATATACGTAAAGATAGACGAAGACAACAAGGATGAGATGATCAAACAATTACGTGAGAGGAAATTGGATTCACCGGTGCCATCATTACCACAATATGGTGAAGAGTTACCTCCAGTACAGTATCCAAATGGTGCTGAACCCGATTGGGAGAAAGTCTCCGGAGATATATCCTACTTATACGCTGGACAAGTACCTTGGGTATCTAGAGATTTAAAACAATTCCCTGTTTCGATACCAAATGATGGTTATATTGATATAGCAGCTCAACTGAATGTTTCTCGTTTTCAAAAAATAAAAGCCATGGATGGCGCAGAGAATGGTAAGATGTTTTACGATCAATCGTTGAAATATTACAAGGCAAAAGCTTACCATTATAAGCCACTGAGAACAGATGGATATATCTCAATAGATGGCGAAAATTCACCAGTTTTACCATTTACCGTTGAAGTTTTACCCTGTCTCGCAAGAGTGATATCTCCATATTATACCTGGAACAACAACTTCTAAATTATAGATCAAATTGAACAATTATGTATTTTTGTTATCGAATTGGACAAATAGTGAGATATAAACGTGTGTAATCTCTTTTTCAAAAAAAAAAGAATATATCATAAAATCGTCAGGAGGTTCCAATTTAACGGTCCTTATGTACAGAGTTTCTGCCTAGTGAAGCAAATCTTGAGGACTTGCCTGATTTTAATTTTGATGAAACCGATTGAGTGTCATCTGCTTCAGTATTATCATTAGTAGTATCATTAACCATCGAGGATGTTGATGGTCGGCTCTCACTAGGAGACCATTGTAGTTTAAGAGTAACATAACCTCCAGCGCCAAGAAGTTCGAGGTCGAATTCAGCTGATGTATGGTTAGTAAGAAATTTTACTTTAAAACTTTTCAGAACATACCAGAGTTTTCATTCTTTTCTGGATGGATGTAATGACCAATCATGACATTATTGTAACCAATTTGGCGATCACCAAAGAGATGCTTATCTACGATCTCGATACTGAATGTTGGCTTCTCCGGTTTGGTATGCAAGATAAATGACTCGTCAAAGCTTGGCTCGCTCGTCTTTCCAGCTGACTTGCCTTCAACTTTGTATCTTCCCATTCTTAGAACTGGTTTTGGTTTTGGCTGTTCGTGATGACCTTCGCCCTTCAAGTCCCACGCTTTAACAATCGTGACATTCAAATCACCGACTTCAACTCTGGAAGCAGGTTTGTCTGACATTTGAGCGTTATTCGATCTTGGAGCGCTGTTACCCTCATCGACGAAACTTTCATTACCACCCATAGATGGTGATTTCTTCTTACCAATATGGAACAAGCCTCCTGCTTTGCCTACCGCACCACCGACATTTGAACCGATGAATCCAGCACCTGACATCGCACCTTTTCCGATATGACCTGCACCATGTACAACGCCCTTACCAGCACCGATACCAATGCCACCGACTTGGGTAAGCGCTCTACCAGCATGGCTGAAAGTGGAGGTACGGGAGCGTGTCTTGATAATAAAGGAAGGTTTAAAGACGAAACTGACTTTGATGTTACCTTGGTCACCACTCTCACCGTCTTTAAGGTCATAAGTGAACTCTGTAGATTCTAGTGGTTCAAATGCAGTTAAGTCTACCTTAGCAACACCTAGTAAATCAGCGGCTGACATTCTATCCCAATCGTAAACTTCAATCATGAAGTTACCATCAACTCTGTTTGGCACTTCAACTTCGAAGTACTCATCCCATTCTGGATTAAGTGTCTTCTTTTTAGTTTCAGTCTTGTAGACTTTTTCGCCCTCCAAGAGGAAGACAGCGTATGGATCAGATTTACCATTTCTGTCAGCACTCGCTAATCCCTTTGCATTGTGTACCTCTACCCTGAGGTTACCTTGGTTGTTGACTGACTCTCTAAGACTCAACTCAATCTCGACAGGTACGTATCTAGATGATAATTTAAGCTTTGACGTATTATCGCCTTCATCGTTTGAAAGAGTAAATTCTGCCTCCTTGTTGAGCGTACGATAGAGGAATTCCCTAACATCCATGCTTGTTTCTGCATAAACCTGGTCATTTTCATCTTGCTCACCAGTATTCAATCTTATTCTCAATTGCGAGAATGACAGCTCACGTACGAGACCCTCTCCAATGTGATTCCAGTTAGCCTTCTTTGAGCGTGCCTTCTCTGTGCTGAATGTTGGCCAGATTGCATCATCAAGGAGGAACTCCAAGCGAGAATTCTTATGTGCCAATTCACCAGATTCGCAATTAACGACTAGAATACCGGATTCTATATTATGTTAGCGGCGAGTCAACTTGTTATACTTCATACTAACCTCTCTCGAGAAGCTCATCTTCGGTTAATTCAAGACCAGCACTCTCCTCTTCTTCTTCTTCTTCCTCACCAGAAACGTTTTCAGTACCATTTTCTTCCTTGTTTTTCTCTTCCTCTTTCTTCTCTTCTGCGATCTTGGCTTCCTCTTCTTTCTTCTCCTCTTCATTCTCGAATGTGCTGCCTTTTATCTTCCATGCAGGGATGAATTCAGCCTGGTATTCTAATTCACCCTTGTATCCACCCTTATCAAGTTTCATTGGTGATGTACGTCTGTTAATACCGGTAGCAATGTATGGCATATTCTTTCTCTCTTCGTCATTGTCATTCTCTTTAATAATATCTCTAGCTCTAAGCGTTGTGTGACCCAACGGTCTGTCTTTCGTGAGATTTTGATAATCGACGGCTTCAAGATAAATAACATCCCTCAATGAGTGTATTGGAATGTAAAGGTGTTCATTCCATACGGGACTGAGATTATTATCAATGACATTTGTTCTACCGTAAACTTTACCACCGAGAATTGCCTTAATGTATGGATCACTTTTACCGCCGAATGCAGCCTCGACATTCTTGAGATCATGAGCGCACTTGCAAAATACTCTAATTAAACCAATTGGAGGGGTGTATTGACCTGCACCATCAAGAGCGCCATCCATTGCAACAGATTTGAATGATGCTGATAATCTAACTTGACCGGATGTCTTACCAAGGTTGTACCACTTTCCTTCCTTATCATCAGCGTCGAGTAGATCACTGAGGTCTACGTTAACAGTTGCAAGGGGCATGGATGGCTTAAAGTTGTGTGCGTGATAGATTTTAACTTGCATTTTAGTTTTGTCCTTGTTGGCTGCCAAAAATTCACTATGAGAATCCCAAACAGGTGATTTAGTGTGTCTGACCATGTTAGTTTGTTGCACTTGTTTACCTTTCACGAAGACACTTGCTGCTGGATTGATACGACCGAGTTTAGACTTAGAAGTGTCGAGATCTTTAGCCTCATGAACATATAATCTGACAACACCTGTAGGTAAGTCTGGTACAGCTTCCAATGATTCACCCTCCTTTGGTGGTTCCATGACAGGATAGTAGTTAAGATCGAATCTAATGTCACCCCTCTCCTTACCACCGTTAAGCAACTTGGCAATAACAAGCTCTTGAACTGGATCATTTGCGAGTGATTGAAGGTTAATTGTAGCCAAACCAATGTCGGAATCTTTACGAACTTCATTATAATCGTAAACATTCAAAACCAATTGATCGTTGAGTGAGTTAACTAGTAAGTATTTAGTTTCCATCCATACTGGATTATCCGTTGAAGTGAGTGTCTTTGTTTTGTCATTAATGGTCTTAGAATTACCAACCGTGATGGTAGTATAAGGATCAGGTGCACCACTGCCAATCTTGGTAGAACGTAAACCTCTTGCCTGACGAATAGTGATCACCAAAACACCACATGCCGAATCCAATGCACCACCAGCAAGAATTTCTTGCAAATTGAGTGTGAACACATTAGGATCAAACATCATTGGTTGCATAATACCATAAACTTGTTCTCTAATGAATGTAGTTAAACCAGGGATGTAGTTGACATCCAAACCGAAGCTTTCACCACCGATAGGCTTAGCAATGTAGTCGAATTCTGGTTTTTCGATGAATGATAAATCTACCAATTTGACATGAGGGAAATCGTTAATGAGCGTAAGTTTGACTCTCATGTTACCAAGGAAACTAAAGTCTTCTAATATAACAGGTAAAGTTGTAGTAAATTTACCATTTCCAACGACAACCTGAACGACAATCTTTGGGTTGACAATACCTTCTGTTTGACCTTCACCAAGAGGACCTAAGTTGGCTGGTGTGAAGGCAACCTTCCAATCCATGGTGATGATGTTGTCAGCTGTGGATGGCCAAGTTCTGACACTCAAAATCCTTGGTGCCTTGCTACCAAGTGTGAGATGAGCTAATCTAACGGACTTGATAAAGCCTGGTTTATATTGTGCAATGATTGGTTCGACATTAGTGATGACTTGCTCACAAATGTATGGTTCAAGATGGGTCCAGAAGTTCATTAAGAAGTTGTTAACCCAATCGGCTGATTCAGATTCAGATTCAAGCGCTGGTTTCATGAGTTGTCTTGAGATACCGTCTTTAACATCTTTGTCTACTTTCGAAATACTAATGTTGTAGTACGTGACTGATGCAATTCCCACGATCGCCAAAGGACCAATACCGAAATTGAAATAGGCAAGAGTATAAGTAAACAAGGAAGAAACGAGTACGACAGCTGCGTTGTGAAACCATTGACCGTAGAACTTTTCAGGAAGTAAAGTTGATCCACCGTCGTCCTCAGCACCGGTGATATCGAATGACTGGGCGCCAAGACTATCTGGTAATTCCTTTGACCTCATGTACCACTTTGGAAGGGTAGTTGAGGGAAGGTTATCTTCTTTATGTGACAGGTAACCTGGAATATCATCGATAGCATAAATTGGAGCAGACTTGAAAGCTTCTTCGCCTTTCTGTGCTGTTGTCTGAGCTGGAGTGGTCTTTTGTTGCTTTGGAGGGACTATAGAGGCTTCTGGAACGGCTGAAAGTCTTTGTTAAGAATGTAAATTTGCTATCTGGTGACACATACCTTCAGGCTGTTCCTCATCTTTTGTAGGTGGTTTAGGAAGGTTATCGCCTTCTACGCCATCTGTAGTGCTCTTTTGTGTTTCTTTTAATTCCGCTTCTTTCTGTGAAGTTGGTTCATTTGGATCGAAGGAATGGCTAAAAAGCGAGATAAGTGAGAGATCGAGAGACTGGGTGGTTACTCACACCTTTGCATGCTGTTCATCCTTCTTGAAACCCTCCTTTACGTCCTCTTTGTGCACTCTGTCATTGTTGGCGGTAGATTGCTTAGACGAAGTGCGAGAGATACCAAATCGTGGGACTGGGATAGGTCCAAACTTCTTCTTCGCTTTTTCGTTTGCATTGTCAGGCATCGGTGGAACTGGTGGTAAATCTTCCTGCTGATAGGGAGATGAACCATTTTTTACTGAAGATGCGACGGAGGAACTTCTAGATCTACGTCTAAATAAGCTCGCAGACCGCCTTGGCTGAGTCTGTTCCGACATGCTGCGAGAATTATTACGTCGTGGAGTTTGATCAAGGGGGGAATAAATTAATAAATATATTAAACAAGATGTAATGAATAAATTATTAGTCAGATTGTCATATCTCTCTCTATTCTCGCCTACACTTCTTGTATCTCCTCACCCAGGATCTAAAGTAGCGTAATGAGCGAAAGCCAAAAGCCAGTACAAGTAAAGCTAGTTTTACTCGGTGAAGCAGCTGTTGGAAAGTCCTCCGTCGTATTAAGATTCGTCCAGAACGACTTTCAGGAGTATAAGGAGCCAACTATCGGTGCAGCCTTCTTGAGTGCGTGTGGCATCAATATTCTACAGCAACTAACACAGTGTACAGCACAAAAATGTAGATTAGAGGACAAGGTAATTAAATTTGAGATATGGGATACTGCAGGTCAAGAGAGATTCAGAAGTCTGGCACCAATGTGGGTCTATATATTAATAGCAGAGTATCTCTAATAGAACTCCGTCTAGGTACTACCGTAACGCATTGTCAGCTGTCGTAGTATACGACATCACATCATCCTCCAGTTTCGAAAAGGCAAAAAGCTGGGTGAAGGAGTTGCAACGACAAGCCTCACCTAACGTCATAATCGCACTCGTCGGCAACAAGCTTGATCTTGTCGAGGGCTCTCAAGAGGAGGAAGAAGAAGAGCGTGATGATGCAACAGCCACACCAAACCAAGACCAGTCAAGAGCTATTTCCCGTGACGAAGCACAAGCATACGCTGAGGAGAGCAACTTGCTCTTCTTCGAAACCTCAGCCAAGACAGGCGAGGGTGTAGTTGAAGTCTTCACCGAAATCGCAAAGAAAATCCCGCTCGAACAGATCGTCAATTCAACAAAATCAAGAGCACAGGATCAAACACAACAAAACAACGTAAACTTGAACGCAAACAACGGTCAGTCAAAACAAGTTGGAGACAATTGCGCTTGTTAAGTGACATATATTTATACCACTATTCTTTATACTCTTTATATGCTTTCATGAATAATTTTTCTACCGGTGATGTCTGTTTGTTATACGTCAGTAGATTATTTGTCATCCGAGCTTCTCTATTGGGCGGTATATTATACGCATATTTAAATATACAGCCTATTCCTTTCATAGTTATATTAAATATACAATTTTTTTTATTTCATCAAACGAGTGGGGTTTAAGTGAGCTGATGTTGACTTTCCCCAATACCATCACTAGAAAATATAAAAATGGCACCAGTCGAAGGCAAAAAGGGTTTTTCATGGAGTAACATTGCTGTTGGTAGTGTAATGAACTTATTCGAGGGTTAGTCTTACTCAACTCTTCCTCTACACTCTTTAACAACCGCGCAGTCTCCACTCTTGGACAAGGTTTAGAAGTCTTGAAGAGTACCTTGGCAGCTGATAGATCTTTAACTATGAAGCAAGCCGTACAAAGAATCTACTCCCGTGGTGGTGTTGCTGGTTTCTACCAGGGTTTGATACCATGGGTATGTACACGATAAAGAAACAATATCCTCACTAACAACCTGCAGGCCTGGATTGAAGCCTCCACAAAGGGTGCCGTCCTTTTGTTCACTGCTGCTGAAATTGAGAAATACTCCGTCACAGCGGGTGTTAGCCCCGCCGCCGCCGGCTTGCTCGGTGGTATGGGTGGTGGTATCGCCCAGGCTTACGCCACTATGGGTTTCTGTACCTGCATGAAAACTGTCGAAATCACGAGACACAAAGAAGCCGCATCAGGTGTCCCTCCACCATCAACTTGGAAGGTCTTTGGTGATATCTACAAGGCAGAAGGTATTGCAGGTATCAACAAGGGTGTAAACGCTGTTGCCCTCCGTCAAATGACAAACTGGGGTTCAAGAATGGGTTTTGCTAGACTCTCAGAGAGTTTGATCAGAAAAGCTAGAGGAAAGACTGATGGTGAGAAGCTCAACTTGCCAGACAAGGTTGCTTCTGCAACTATTGGTGGTGCACTCGCTACATGGAACCAACCAATTGAGGTTGTCAGAGTTGAAATGCAATCTATGCTCAAGGGAAGTGATCCAAACAAGCCAAAGGGTGTTGTTGGCACTTTCAATCACATCTACAAGGAAAGTGGTATCAACGGTCTCTACCGTGGTGTCACCCCAAGAATCGCCCTTGGTATTTGGCAAACCATCTGTATGGTTACCTTCAGTGACATGGTCCGTGAAGCCCTTGGTGCCAAGTAGACTGTCTGCACTTATATCAATCTGTCATTAGTTGGAAATATCACAAAAGCATGTTTATAAAGTTTTTTTTCTCTTTTTAATTCATTTCATTTAAGGTTTAATGGTTTAATAGTATACTACAGATTATCTTCCATTTGGTATCGTACACCTCTTGTCGATCACATATCGATCAACTAGTCTGCTGCGCTTTGAATTTTGCTGCTAAAAAACGAAAATCTTCACTTGACAGCAACGAGTGCTATAAGTAAGCGTATGATGATTATAAGCTGTGAAATGTATGTATTACTTCAAATCTACGATTTTCACATTTATCGAATTAGCTTCCATTCCTAACAATATTTGCAAATATTCATGCCAAACTATATCCTTAGTGCGGTAAAACTGAAGTATAAATATCGGACCCTTAAGCTTCCTTCTTCTCTATCCAAATCTACTTCCATTTTACAATGATCGCTCAAACCGTCTTCGCTGCTGCTATCGTCGCCTCAGTTTCAGCTGGCTGGGAATCAAAGACTGGCTCATGTAACACCGGTGAAATTTCTTGCTGTAACCTCGACAAGCAAGTTGAAGAAAGCACCGGTAAGAACGACGCTCTCATCTCAACTGGTGACATTGCTTCACAAGTTGGTGTCCAATGTGACCAAGTTCCATTACTCATTGGTGTCGCCATTGAAGACGAGTGCAAGAACACTCCTGTAAGTCGAAATATTTCTAAGCATACCACTATTAACACAATTCACAGGTCTGTTGTGAAGGTTTCGGTCAAGACGGTCTCGTTGGTCTTGGTTGCTCACCATTGTCTATCATCTAAGGTGGTGGATATTAACTCATTATAAAAGGCATTTGTATTACTATAATAACTTATGAATAATCCTAGGGTTTCTATAAACGCGTGCAAAAAATGTAGGCAAAAAAATCATTCAATGATGACCGTAGTCGAATACTCTACCATTGAGCCAGCCGGCCTTGACCGACGCAGGGCTCGAACCTGCAACCTTTCGATGACGGAAGCAATTGAACCATTGAATGATGATTATGAATGACTTTGAAGTTTGTGTATATCTTTCGTAGATAGAGGGGAAGGCTGAAATTTTTTCACTTTTTTTTTTTTGTTGTAAAATGTTGAAACATCATGTCAGAATACCGATACAGAGCTGGACATACAGCATCATTTAATAACTAGCGACAAAAAGGGACAAGCAATTACGCACAGATACTCGGGCAACAACAATGGATACGGGCAAGAAAAACGGATGTACGGCCAACAACAATGATATTCGGGCAACAATGAAAACTATATAGGAAATCATATCTTGTACCAAAAACGCTATCTACTTAAGATCACATTATACTTAATACCTTTTCAACCAATAATAAAGCGCGTTTGATATTTACAGACCAACACATCAACACAGGATTTGTGTTGGAAACCAGGTACAGGGCTGAACATACAGAGTCAGTCAACAATGTCTCGAAAATAATTACCGAGTCTAGTCATCACATACGGACGAAAATTACCAATCACAGAAAAGTAATATGGACGTAGATCACCAAGCACAAGCAGTACAACACGCACGTAGCTTACCCACCAGAAATGAGACACTGGAAAACACATATAAAAGACAGAATATTGTACACTAAAAACCATCTAATATAGATTCTTTCATTTAATAGTAACAACATGGCGCTGTATGTTCAGCACATCTATGGGGATTTCAACCATACAGCATGAAGTTAATCGTTAGGTACACACTTAGCAAGCGATCGGGGAAGTCCGCACGCTAAAAATAAAATAAAAATGATTTCCATATACCGTTCGTTGTAGAAGGATCATCTACATCAACTATAAACTTACTGATATCTTAAAGTAGGAACCATTTATCAGCTGAACTTCCAGCGTAGCCATTTTCAATAAAAATAAAAGAATAATGTACGAGAAACCGCTTCTCATCACCTTAACGGACCAGATCAGTTACAAAAATGGAAGGTGCTAATCGAAAGGTTCGCCATACAGCAAGGCAGCCTTGACATTTTGCATGGTAGAATCACAAAAGACAATGCTATTGAATTGATAGATAATAACGACCATCTTCGAGAAGAAAACCAAACAGAAGAAAACCAAAACAAAAGTGCTGAATTACAACAAAATGCTTTAGATATGTTTAACAAAAAGGATCTCCAACTAAGCGAAGTTTTAGTAGCAACTATCACAAGCGACATCTTTAACGCAATCAATGTAACTTCTGAAGACGCTGCAGCCGAAATATTCGAACAGCTCTGTAGGCTCTTTGAACCACTAGAAAACCTGCCAATGTTACACAGTAAATTCCTTAATAGTAAGTTGGAATATGGTAAAGATGCATACGCCTTCTATTTTGATTTAAAGGAATTATTCAAAAAATTAGAAAAATCCGGCGTAACCATAGGAAAACAAGCACAGAAAGCTAAAGCAATACAATCATTACCTGACCAATTGCGTCAGATGAAATTTCAACTCTCTCAAGAAACTTCTAAAGAAGTTAGTTTTAAAGATCTCATGGGGTGTATCATTGACAGATATAAGAACTATGTTGCAGTTTTTCCACCAGATAGTGCCACATCAAACAATCAAAATATTCGATTCTTAGGCCTATGCACCAAGTTACAATAAAATATTCCATTAATGGATGAAACATGAGCAATACGTATGATGCATGCATCAACTCAACCTTCACTCGTGCTTTAAAGAACAATTATAGACTACATACACATAGAATTTAAGTAAACATGCAAAAAATATCAACAATAAATCAATAAAAGCAACATATTCGCCGATAAAGTACTGAAGTACAATAATAAAGCAAGTCATATACCCTTCATCTCAACAGGTCAATCCATCAAAAGAAAATCTCACCTCACTCCATACATTGCGCTATTGACCAAGGAGCAGACTCTACGTATATCTACAGACGAGAATAACTCGCCTATGCGAGAAAGCTCGGAAGACCTCAGTAGTTACTCAAAAAGCTAGCCACTAGAAACAACATCCATAGGCACAACAAAACTCAACTTGGAATATAAGAATAGTACCATAAATTGGGTTGATACAGAAGCATTATAGTCTCTAAATTTCCCTCCAACATTAATCACGGCAAGGTTATGCTATAATATGATCTGAGATTAAATTACAAACCAGATCACAGTGGAACATTCGAAGACATTGATCGTAGAGCCGTCGTCACCCACAAAATTCCACTTGCAAATGGAAAGATATGTTTTCAAACTCAATATAAGTAAAATCGATAAGTTCTCCAACTATAGCTTCTCTGTCTCGTATATTAAGAGAAACGTAAAAGCCGAATAGTATACATGGCTTAAACAATTAGATGAATAATCGACTCGCAACATTCTAAAATAAAGTCACTTCATGACATCCCATGCAAGCTAAGTTAGATTGTCACAATTGCGAAATTAAAAGGGCAAGTCAAGTATCGGTTGACGGCAAGCTCGACAAAAGAAAGGTTCATTAAACATCTGACAACATATTTCACAAAATACCCCCTCTAGAGAACTTTACAATAAAAGACTCTACAGGTACACCTACGCCCATTTAGCAACGTTACTAGAAGACATCCTCAAACACAGAGATATAGACAGACCAAGATTTTAGTATCACGATCACTATTGATATTATACATCACATCACCCAACTCTACTGAACACCAATAATATCAACTCTTCTTGAATCATCAACAACGAGACTTTCCATATACAAAAGCTTTTAACTCCACAACTAATCAATTGATCAACAATCAAACTTTCTACACGATCATATATTCAACATGCTTATCAGGATGTTTTGCGCATATGTAAAAAAATCTATTGTAAGACATTTCCTATTAATTCTGACCAGCAGAATTTCTGGGTTTTAGAAAATACGTATACTAAATTTATCAAATTTGTTTTATTTGAATCATTGGTTATGTGGATACAATATACTTCAAAATTTCTTGCTTACAATTACATTTTTTCGTGTATTTTGCAGTCTTGTTTGCATCTAACAATAACATCACATGCTCGCGTAAAGAATGTAGCAATGGTGATTATATATGTTACCTTAATACGAGCGAGGTACTCCACGACACAAGAGAGGGTACACAAGTAAACGATACTTTATATGTAAATGTTTTTTCAGGGCACTTCGTTCAGTCTGAGGACGTTCAAACTGATGATACCACAGCGAAGGACCAAGCAGGTGATGTTTTGGACAATACTGTTGGCTTAGCTTCGTGTGTAAAATAGAGCTTTACTGGTAAAGATGGAAACGAGGATCTAAAGGGGTAGAGATGGAATTGTCTGATAGACCACAAGAGCTACTAGCTCGTTATGTTGACGACAGCCTTAACTTTAAGTCGAGGAGCTCTACACACTCTCGGTACCCGGCTATGTCGGCGTCAGCATCGGTTTTCGTAGCGGCTGATGCCCTTAATAACTTGGTGAAAAGTATAGGCACTGAGGTTTCGTTGCTTTTCGCTCGGTCGACTAAATGTGATAATCAACCTTACTACAATGTAGCCATAAACCGAGATTCCAGAATATGTATCGTTAACGACGTCTTTTGTTCAGTTCCAGCAATCAAAGAAAACATTTATGTCATTTTAACTAGCTTGGAATATTTAAAGAATAATGGGCGTCAGAGATGTTGTGCCACTTTATATCATAATAATGAGAGGCATTTGACCTTCAAGGTGGTTGGCAGTGAATGCGGCAAGGAGAAAACGGACAGTATAAATTCATGTATAATCAACTTTGAAAAACATGAGAAATACACATGCAAAACAAACACCAATTACAATCATGTGCGCAATAATCATAACGAGACGTAAGGTGTAAGGTTTATTTATTAGTGTATCCGAGGAGATGTAATAATAATATCATAGAATGTTTAGCAAGGCTATGAAAATGCAGATAAACAAACAAACTTACAAATAGTAGAACACAAAAAAAGATTAATGAATGTATTTATATTTATAAGTAATAACAAATACTAGGATATCTAATATTTCGTAGAACCTTATGAATTTTTCACGCTGTCATCTTCAGCTTTAATTTGCCAAGTATGTTAAAGTTTACTACACAAATTAAAATTAACATAAATAAGAAGAGAAATAACTTTAGCAACATCTCCATATCAAATATATATACTAGTGCAAATTTTACCTCCGCGTTATTACTTGATCACACAGTCTCCTATTGACTTCATTGCCACTATCGTTCAACTGTTAAATATACATGCAGAATACAACATTCAAACTGCTCAATCTACCAATAGAGTTGATAATCAAAATAATAGAAAAATGCCAGCATAACGACAGACTTTCGTTACTATCAACCTGTCATCAACTTCGAGACTTAGATAAGAAATATATCTTCGAATTTTTGAAAAGCCCTGAGGTGAATATATACACAGAAGATGATGAAGAAGGGTACGAATTGTATTCTCTTACTGAACAGACCTTGCGTAATAGTATTTCTATGCTCAGAATTATACCACATCAGTACGTAAAGTGCGTACCTCCAAAGCCTCTCAATTGCGCTAACATTTTCCTAGATCACTCAAGGTAGCATCTTATTGTGATGCCATGACATCACGAGAAGACTTACGCAAGTTGTCCGATAGATTGACAAAATACGTATCTAAGATTGGCAAAAACTTAGAAACATTTTCTTATGTCAACTCATTCTACAATGAATACATAGATAGAACGCAGTTTCATTTTGATAGACTAAAGAAACTATCGATGGGCATCTTGCTTGATAGTAATGCTTTCGAGAATTGGCTTTCAAATGCACCACAATTGGAAGAACTTTACCTCTACTGCATTGGGGGGTGGTTTGATGGGTCAAGTACTCATGACGAGGTATACCGCAAGGCTATTGAAAAACTCGTTCAAGAGCGCAGCCAATTTTTCTTGAGGATATCCAGCATCGTGTATCGTCCTGGCAGATTAGTGTGTGATGCAATTGAGTACAATTACATAACGAATTCTGTTGCTAAAACTTCAGACTTCGAAGATCTCTTGCAGCATGCTAAATCCTACGATATTAAAGAGTATGATTTGAGTAAGGGTCAGCTAAAATTGGTCAAAAGCTATAGCAGAAATTCGTGAAATGATAGATGTTACTATCATGATGTGGGCACCTTAGAATTTCATGGCTAACGATATTTTTGTCATATAATAAATTACACTCTTTGTTATTGGTTGTAAAGTATAAATACGCTGTGCAATGATAAAGTCAGATAATGTATTTGTACGAGGTTATCTCCTTATACAGCCTTCATTGTCATGATGTTTCTCTTTTGTCTCTTAGTGGTTCCGCGCCTTAGCATTATTCTTGTCCTTGATGTTCCTCGTTACTTCTATCCTTGCACTAAATGGCGCGGTATGTACAGTTCTGTATCCTTATTCTGACGCCTTTTGCATGATTTTTAAAATAAATTGTGCCTTGTGGCTTAAATTAAGTAGTATTATGATTTATTTATTACTCATATGATTTATTATTATGCCTTGTGACTTATACCAAGCAATATTATGTCTTGTGACTTATGGATCTTACCTCCGAAGCTGCATACTCTGTAACAGTATAAATAACTCACCTATTTATCACTCTTCCACAAAGACCATGAAATTAAACTTCATCAATACCATTTTAGTAGCAACCGTAGTAGGAACTGCATTCGAGTTTGTTCAAGCAGCAGGTATAGCAGCCTGTACCAAAAATAAAGATGGTACTGGTCCTTACGACGCTGACTCAACAGAGTATTGTTGTTTCAATGTACACGGACTGTATGGTGGAGCTGCTTACAGTGAAAAGTATGGAGACTGTAGAACAGGCGTTGTAAACGGTAATAATGTAGATCAAGGACGTATGACTGAATGCTGTTCAAATGAAGGTAAAGGCAGTGTAGCACAATAATTTCAATGAGTTGGGTTTGATATGCCATCAAAATAGGACGGAAAATGATCAAATTACAAAAAAAATGACCCTATCGGCTGTATTTTCAACTTAATCAAGTGCGCATTTATTCTTTCTTGGCATCGTGTATTTCTATAGCATTAGCGATATATGTTCCAGAAATTTTAAACCAAAAATCAGTTATTTGTTATTTCGAAGCTAAACGTAGAATGCCATATTCATTTATCAACTGACTTTAGATTTTTCATTTTCGAAATGACGTAATTGTGACGATGTATGCTACACTAGAATTCTAACCGAAATTTAAACAATAATAACAAGGTGATGATAATTCCAGTGGAATTGGTTGGAAGCTCTTCTTGATTATTGTCGCAAAATACCATGTTGAAACCCAGAAATTGGGCCTGAATATTAAGTGACAACCGTGGATGAGACACGGATGTATTTCACCAATCCAAGAGATATAAGAATAAATTAGAGTTACGATCAGAGACAAGACGAGAATTACTCAGCCCACGAACATATACAGATAGACATGAGCGCTGTCAACTGAGTTCGCTTAAATAGTAAAATGGACAAGAATAGTAATAGTAAGATATTGCAAAATACATAAGTGGGAACATTATAAAAAAAGTCTAACATAGCTCCCATACATTTTTTATACAATCAATATGTCTTTGCGGTCCGGGTAAAGGTTTTTACGAACTAACGGAAACATTAAACAAAATTATCCACAACTGTTGTTCGTGAGAGCCAGTCTTAGGAGGATTCAACCAAGTCGGAAGACGTGCCGGTCCGAAGGATCTCAACCAGATACCGGCTTCCAATAATAGAAACCCTGCTGCGCAGCAGGAACGCCAAAGGCTCCTATATAAATAGTAAGATTTATCTTTTGTATTCAATCAATCGAATTCCATTTAACTCCTTTCACAACTTTAAGCCCGTGTCTGTTGGTCTGTAAATATCAAACGCGCTTTATTATTGGTTGAAAAGGTATTAAGTATAATGTGATCTTAAGTAGATTTGCGTTTTTGGTACAAGATATGATTTCTTATATAGTTTTCATTGTTGCCCGAATATCATTGTTATTGGCCGTACATCCGTTTTCCTTGCCCGAGTATCTGTGCGTAATTGCCTGTCCCTTTTTGTCCCTAGTTATTAAATGATGCTGTATGTCCAGCTCTGTATCGGTATTCTGACACTACCCTCTTGTGAGGAGAGGATCTAAGCCATCACCGCCACCCCAGGGGCAGCGGCTTGGGGCAACACGAAAATTTTCTCGGGTAAAGGTTTTTACGAAGTGAAGAAAATATAAAATGTATATTTACTCAACTGTCAACTGCTTTCGTGGCTTAGGGGTTATAGCGCCGTGTTAACATGGCACACTCAATGAGTGTTCACAGGATCCGCGGAGGTCATGAGTTCGATTCTCATCGAAAGCTGTCTTTTTGCACTTGTTTTGGTCGTATTTGTACATTTTTGGATGGTTTCATTGAACATATTAGTATTTTGATGAAGTTGGCTAAATATGAAACTTTTGGTGGAGATGTGAGGTGGACATTAGTTTATACAAAGTAATTCAGGGCCGTCTTGTGGGTGCTTCTTGTGAACTTGTTCTGGTATTTTCGAGTGGTCGTGTGCAATGTACTACTGTCTGGGAGGAGTAGTGTAGTTTCAAGATATCAGTGAAGGTGATTGTATAGTTGTAAAGTATTAGTTAAATAGCTCTTATACCAAGTCTACTTCTGGATTCTACAATGTCGACATGTCAAAGACATGGAGATAAAGATGTGATTTCTAGTACTTAACAGTGATAAATAATAAAGCCACTCAAAAATGTTCTAATGAAGCGATATGTCAAGATAGAATACATCTTCGTAAACCACGATTATATGAGAAGTCACTATGAAGTGTTACAAGTAGAGATAAATGCGAGCCAGGCTGAAATACGTTCGAAGTATCTAATAAAAGTCAAAGAAAGCCATCCTGATCGTAGTGGATCGAACGAGGAAGTCATTGAGCTTTACAAAGCATATGAATGCCTATCCGATGACCAAAAGAGGCGAGAGTACGATGAGAAGCTATCAAAAGATAATAGTAAATGTTAGTAAATAGCACGCTACACGATAGCCTACAACTAATATATCATACAGTCGTTAATAGAATTTACCCGCAAGTATCACTCGACCAGTTTGACGTTAGCGAGGATGAAGAAACGTTCAGCCTACCATGTAGATGTGGGAACGAGTATATTGTCACTGCAGACGACCTCGAAAGTGGACTGGAGTTGCTAAGTTGTACTGGATGCACAGAGAGGGTGCACGTACTCTATGAGATGGTAGTGGAGTAGTCTTCCATCTGTAAATTATATAGATATTTTGTATATACCCATTAACAAAGCATTTAAAGTTTTTTTTTTCAAAACACACACTCAGACCACCGCAGAAACAAAGACCTCATTAGAATAAGGAATGGAAATGAATTTAGGGTCAACAAACATCTCAAAATCTGAGAATCAGCCGTTTAAAATACCTCAAGGGAAGCTTTTTAAGCAAGAGTTGGGAAAGCCTTCTCGTCGTTGAGGTTGACGTTAGCGCCAGCGTTTTCTTTACGCTGTGGACCACCTTGGCGACCAGAACGGCCACGTCCAGCAGCGCCACCGCGGCCTCTACCACGGGAAGGACCTCTACCGTTGGTGTTTCTTGGTCTACGCTCAGACTCTGGCTTAGCGAATTGGCCATCGATCTCAATTGTAACCTTTGATGACTTTTGTGACTTTGCTTTTGGTTCCTTTGGTTGAGCCTTTGGTGCAACGAAGTAGTGTTCCTCTTGTGAGTCACGGAGAAGTTGAACACCAGAGACACCTTCTGTACCTTCGTTAGCTTTACGGACTTCTGGTGCACCGATGTCGAGCTTCTTTGATGCGCGTTCAGCGAGGTACTCGTCGAGAGTCTTGGTTGTCTCTTCTGGTTCCTTTGGTTCAGCTGGGGTACCTGGAGCGGTTTCAGCAGCTTCGGCATCCTTCTTAGCGGCTTCTTCAGTTGCGAGCTCCTTTTGGCCGTCTTCACCACCCCATGCAGCCTTTTGCTTGTTGCTGTCAGTGCGGCCGGTTTGAGATTGACGGTCGAATTGACGTCCCTTACGTTGACCACCTGGGTTACCTGGGGTCTTAGCACCGCGTGAGCGCTTAGCACCACGTTCACCGCGAGGAGCTAAAGCGGCGAATGTCAGATCGTCTTCTTTTTTCATCGGAAAAAAACCTACCACGCTCTGATGGAAGAGATTCGTCCTTTGCGGAGTCCTTAGCACCCTTTTGTTGAGTGCGTGGCTTTTGTTGGGTACGTGGCTTTTGCTGTTGAGCAGCTGGTGCTTGAGCTTGAGCTGGTGCTTGAGCAGGAGCTGGAGCACGTGGAGCCTCACCGTCTTCAGCTGGGGTGTGTTGTTAGATGTATTGCTAAAAATTAGCAGCGAAGTCCCTACAAAGAAGAGCGAATGGGTTGACTGAGCGAACACCTCCAGACCTTTATAGACGTAAATAAGGTGAAAAACAATAAACACTAGCTTTATTTACTAACATTTTCTTTATTTATTGGTGTTTAAAAGCTATTTCGCTTGATTGACTCGAGCAACAACGATTCCTAAGATCTCGCTACCAAAATTTCCTCGACAATTTTTAATTTTTAAGAAGGAATTTATATTTTGTAGCTCTTTTATTAGAGTGCCGTTATTTAGCTATCTTTATACCTTCTTCTCCTTTCTCCATTAAAGCTATTCCAGTCTCTCGGCTCTGTCTTCTTTTCCTTTGCTGCTATACGGCAGACGAGAAATAATTTATTCTAATTAATCTGCACAAGATGTAGATCCACAAGACCCCCTTAGGTATCTCTTATAATCACATTCTATTACTGATGTTACAAATTTACCAACCCCGTTTGAACTCATAATCGAGACATTTTATTGTCTTTACGGTGTTACTTATGTTGTTCTTACCCAACAGTTCTAGTATACCCTTCTCAAATGAAGCGTCCACCACGTTGTCGACTATCCAGGCCAGTCTATCTCCCGTTTGTCCAAAATCTGGGCATCCGTTGAATTCCAACAATTTGACTTCATTCGTCTCCGTGACTAAGAGATCAACACCGTAGATCTCAAATGCATTTGGTATAGGCTGGAAGTGTACAGACCCAGACTCGACCGCACCTTTAACAGCCTGACCTATGACTTTAGACGCGCTATCAAGCCAACCTTCTATTTGCTGTGGTGTAATCTGTTCACCAGTGGCAGTATAACAACCCTCCAACTCTTCTAAGGACTTAACAAATGTGTTTCTGTCCATATTAGATCCCTGTAAACAGGAGTTTGTCAGATGTGAGAGAAGGCTTTGGTCTTCATCAGGCTGTTTGTAAGTCTGTGATGCAAATAATGCCAATATCGATGTTGGCATGTATACTTTGATGCTACCCTGGATGAAAATTAGAACAACAGGGGGGTATACCTCACTTACCACACAGAGGACATAAACCCGCAGATGGAACTTATTGAAGGTATCTTTACCACCTGTTGGATCTATGAGGAGGGGATTTGAGATGTATTCCTGGGTTATGTCAGAGACATTAGAGCTAAGCCAAAGATTACCCACCTGAATGACGAAATGCCTTAATTGCGATGTTGAAACAGCAGTAGATTCTTCATCTTCTTCACCTTCATCCTCATCCTCATCCTCCGAATCGCTGTCAAACTCTTCAAAAATTTCACGTAAAGTTTCTTCACTATTGAACAATCTGATACCATTGGCGCGGTCTGCCCTGGTATTCTATCAGCAAGCGTTATTACTGATTGTGAGTACCTACATGGCTGGCTTGAGGATAAACCAACTATCACTTTCATCATTCATAGCCTGATTGAGATCGTAAAGCTCATCCATTAGTACCTCATCGAGATCTTCTGAATGTGCAACATCTATAGTCCAGCATTTTGGCATAGCTTTGCGTAGAAGCTCTACGTTAGCTTTCTCGCTCGCGTCCACTGCATTGACCGACAACCTGTGCTCTATTTTAGCAAGATAAGCTTCTATAGTCTGGTGAAGGTAGTTTTTCCTGGTAAGCGCCTGTTTTTCTATTAACAAAGACCCATAGGTGAGAGAAGACGGACTTTACGGAAGCAGTAGCTTGATCCAATGGAATTATCGCTATCTTGCATTAACCAGTCAAATTCGATGAGGTCGTCTATGGTAAATTAATTCATACATTCATTATACTACCGTTTTTCTCACAATCAGCATACTGAATTTGAACTCTATCGGATGGTTTATCAGTTGTAATAGAAACCTCAGGGAGGTACTTTCTAAATGCTCTCTCTACTGTAGACTGAGTATAGCTCGACGGAAAGTTAACAAATGCCGTCATGGTTGTTAACATCAAAGGGAGAAAATTTTTTAAAAAGCATATGTAAATGAAATACAAGGTTTAGAACTCAGTTTAAGCTTGCTGTTGTTGAGCTGGAGCAGCTTCAACGTTTGGCTTAGCCTTGTTCTCAGAGACAACTTGGATTGGTTGCTCTTCCTTTGGTTCAACAATGACGACTGAGTCTGGGAGTGGCTTAGGGAAACCAGCTCTTCCTTCTGGGTCGTGTGGTCTCATAATCTTGACCTTCAAACCGAGAACACCTTGCTTAAGGAGAACGTGTCTAACAGCAAAGTCAACGAAGTCTCTAACTGGTTGACCGGAGTGGATCATGAAACCGTCAGTGAATTTCATAGCCTTAGCTCTAGCTGCTCTCAATTTACCTGAGACGACAACTTCACAACCCTTTGCACCTGATTCCATGATGAATCTGACGACACCGTAACAAGCACGACGGACGGCCAAACCACCAAGGAGCTTGTATCTCAAAGATTCACATTGAGCGACGGCTGATAATCCTCTGTTTTGTACTTTCTCAGCGTACAATTCGAGTGAGTTCTCTGGGAACTTGAATCTCTTTTGAACGAGAGCGGTTAATTCACGGATTCTACGACCCTTTTCACCGAGAACTTCTTGAGTGTGAGTAGCACGGATGATGATCTGATCTTTCGTTAGAGAATTTTTCATCGCCTATGAACTGAATACGAACCTCAGTGCGAGCGTGAGTAACACGGACTTCACAGCCAGAGAAACCTTCCTCTGAGAGCTCACGAGTGAAGAATTCGATGAGTTCAGCTTGGAAAACACCGTCTAGTTAGTTGGTTAGTGAAATCCGCTGGTGTCTTCTCAGCTACACACCTTGGACGATCTTGCGGGACCTTTATAATATTAATAAAACGTTGCTATTACTATCAATACACTCACTTGCTCAATTGGCGGTTGACTGCAGACATCAGGTTTCTGGCGGTACGCTGGAGAGAGTTGAGCTCAATTGAGAAATTTGTTCATCACATATTCAGTTGAAAAAAAATAATTTTGTAGCGCAATAAAAGTATAAGTATCTATTATTCAAATATTTAAATTAAACTATTAAGTCTTTTTTCCTCTCTTTTTTCGTTAGTTCGTAAGATACATCAATTAATACTACAACAATGCTCGCGATTGTCCCAAGATATTCCTTAAGGTTTGTATGGCACCTCTGGCTGATAGCTGGAGACTCCAGAGTGTGACATACTTCACCCTCTGGTTGTTAGCCTCGGTTGATGTGACATGATGAGCGAGGGCGTCATAAATACGCTCACTGACTGCACTCATTAGACCAGCTGAAGGGGACGCTATTAGCTATTACTATTGGTCGCAAATACTTTCACTTACTTTCCCAAATCGTCCAACTTCCATCAAACTCGTCAATCGCCATTTCGACATGTGAGAGTATTGGTATCAACGTCCGGTTGGCATTTATGAAAGCAACGATTGGCCGCACTAGTGCGTTATTGGTGTAGGTCAAGTCGCTTGTATAATATGGTACACTAGCTTTGACATCTCTAAACCTTAAATCGATGTCAACCTTGACTCTCTCCTTACTGTATGAAATTTCATCCTGTTGCTGCGTCTGATCGGGTGATGTCAAAGCTGGTTTCGTTAGCTGTGCTTGCCCAGGTATTCTGCGATTTTCATCCTGCACGACTGCACCAAGGTTGTTTAGACCCTCCATTATAGCATTAAAGAGATCCTCGTCTTGCTGAAAAGGGAAGGTAATATCAACAACGGCATCCATTTTACCATGCGTGATCCAGGCTGTTGGACCTGTCATACCCGCCGCGGCTTGAAGATGGTCTACAGCAACACCATCAATCCTGAATCTCGACACTCTATCTACATCGTAGTTGTGGGTTCGAGAAATTGACTGTGGTTTGTGTAAACTAAAGAGTGAGTTGTCGAATTGACCGGTCATAGCGTGAGCTGCAAGGAAATCATGACATAGCCACTGTTTTCTCAATGTGCCAAGTTCACCTTTAAATATACTAACGTTGTATGGTCTAAAGTCGCTTGGTTGGTAGACTGTAATTAGTAGATCTTCAATTGTAAATGATTCGAGTTCGAAATCACCTGGATGATGTGCATGTCTGAAATCTTTTGGTTCCAGAGGGTTATCATAATCCCATTTAACACCACGTCTGTCGAGGACACCTCGTATACCCTTAATTGAAGCGTCTTTCACCAAACCTTTACCATCTAACCACCTCCAGAGAGATAGTTCAACGTCAACTGAGTCTATATTTAAATCAAACATGGTCCAAGTCTCTTGAGGTGGGGGTGGAGCTATTCGTAAAGCCAATTCGTTATCTTCGTCGTGGTCGTGTGCGTTATCGTCCCAAATGATCTTCCGGCGAACAGAAGAAGAGTCGGGTTGAACTGGTGGGAGAGTTTCACCGCCTGAATGTCTTGAAACGTGCACATTTTTGAAGGAAATGCGTGAATCTTTCCATTTGGGGAGGATAGCGCTCTCGAACGCAACAGTGACACCTGTAGCTTGAGTGAGATAGTTCGATATAGCGCCTGCGATGTAATTTTGCAATCGTAAACTATTTGCGGTTGCGAAGATAGCAGAGAAGAAGGTAGTTGTACCGACGAGAATCCAGAAAATATGTCCGAGGAGGAGCCAGCTGATGAATGCACTGAGATCGTCGGCATTGAACTTCCTAAAGCCCCTTATAGTCCACCATTTCCATCTAATACGTAATCGCTGGAAGAAGCCATTAGCGAGAGCGAGTAGTTCGTCCTTCGTCGGCCTATGCGGGTGGGGTAGGTCCCTAATGAGCGACCTGAAGAAGGGAGAGTATTTCCTGTTGTCGTTGGGCTGCTTCGACTGATGTTTGATAGAGTGGGTGTGCAGCTGAGGCTGACTACGTAATCTGTATGTTTGGCTGACCAGCAGTTTGCTGCTGGGGAGTGTGTTGGGGTGTATGCGTCTATAAATATTCCTCCCTATATAACTACTCAGATAGTACATTAAATAATCTTCCTAACAACAAAAATAAGCAAATCTGCAGAGAGAATAAAATATAGGAGAGTAAATAATTTTTTCTACTTGTAATAAAGTATAAAATAAATAAATAAATAAAGATTAAATTTAAATATTTTTTATCAAAATTCACCTCAGTCGAGCAAAATTACAAACTCTGTTGTGAACCACCAAGAAGGCAAAATGTCAACTTACTCAGCAGCACCTGTGATTGTCGACGGTAAATCACACCTTTTAGGTTAGCTGCTCTCTATTTCGCACCCTTCGCCTCTTACCCTCCCCTAGGAAGACTCGCTAGCGTCGTTGCAAAGAACCTTCTCAACGGTAACCGTGTCGTCGTCGTCAGATGTGAGGAGCTCAACTTGTCTGGCTCCTTCTTCAGAAGAAAGCTCGAGTACATGAAGTTCATGCGTCTTCGTCACTTGGTCAAGCCATCCAAGGGTGGTCCATTCCACCACAGAGCTCCATCCCGTATCTTCTTGAAGGCTGTCCGTGGTATGATCCCACACAAGATCGCTAGAGGTGCTGCTGCTATGCAACGTCTTAAGGTTTTCGAGGGTGTCCCACCACTCTACCAAAACAAGAAGAAGATGGTCGTCCCACAAGCTCTCCGTGTTTTGCGTCTCAAGCCAGGCCGTAAGTTCTGTACCCTCAAGCGTCTCTCCTCAGAGTTCGGTTGGGCTCACGCCGAAGTCGTCGACAAGCTCGAGGCTAAGCGTAAGGCTAAGGGTGCTGCTTACCACGAGCGTAAGGTTGCTGCTACTAAGCTCCGTGCAAACGCTTTCAAGGATGCTCCACAAAACGCTAAGCTCGCTGAATTCGGTTACTAAATGTACCCCTTATAAAATTTTTTACATCATGAAAACCGCTTGGTGTTGATTCACTTCATCCTTTTTTCGTTAGTATGTCCTATTTAAATATTCTATCTAGTTATTTAGATAAAAACCCTACTTCTTTATCTAAAAACGATCTGCTTTTATATGATGAGCGGTGTATTACGATATATGACAAGTCAGTCTGGTTAGTTATGTCAGGTAAATACTAACAACTAGTTAGGTTCCCAAAAGTATGATTCTTTTACTTTGTAATACTTCCTAACTTCCTTACAGTCAAAGTATCACTTTCTTATCCTTCCGAGGAAATCAAGCGATCTCCCCTCCTATCCTAACTCTTTAGATGATCTACTCAACTTCGATGACGATATCATAAACAAGGTACTAGATACTCTTGATAGGACATTAACACAAGTTGAAGAATCTATTCATGATATGCAATTACGCGATTATGGCAAAACTTGGGACATAAACAAAGGCTTTCACGCTGTTCCTTCACTGAATTGCATTCATCTGCATGTCATGTCAAACGACCTCATTTCTGATCGCTTGAAAAACAAGAAGCACTACAATTCTTTCCACCCTGGTAAGGGCTTCTTCATACACTTCGACGACGTATGCAAAGCCGTTGAAAACGGTACCAAGGAGGTGAGCATATTCGATAAACACTAAACGCGCTAAAGAGCACCAGCAATTAAGGTCCTCCCTTAAAGCTAAAGAGGTGCTACTCAAAGACCCTCTTCAGTCTCACTATAACGGCAAGATATATACCAACATCCCAAAGCTCAAGACTCACCTGGTCGAATATTTCAACGACAACGTCATAAATAATCACTAAAGTAATAATTATGTATCAGTATGCTATTTCTAACAATATTATTAACTCGTCTTCACTTAGCTTTATCAAGTGCCCTGTTGAATCCACCAACTCGGTTCATGTACTGTCTGTATGTCCTCGGCTGGTGTACCTTTGCAGCACCTTCTTCATTACCGACTACCTTTTTACCCTTGGAGTTGTCAATTGGGGTATTTCAATAAGGATATCACCCACCTTGGTAGTGTCGAAGCCACCGAATCCCATCATTTGTTGCATAGCTAAGCTATCCTCATCAATATCCTCCTCTTGCTCCTCTTCTTGTGATGCAATCTCTTCTTTGTTGTGGGCTTTCTTCTTTTCTTCTTCTTTTGCTCTCTCTTCTTCTTCAGCTCTCTTCCTCTCCTCCTCAGCCTCCTTTGATTGAAGATACTTCAACATACGCTCCCTGTCTGCAGCCGAGCCATCACGGAGATCTATACCGCCTAGTTTGTGATCTTTCTGACGAGGTGGAGATCTACTTCTCCGTCTGTGGTCTCTATGGTCTCTGTGGTCTCTGTGGTCTCTGTGGTCTCTGTAGTCTCTGCGATCTTCCCTGCGATCTCTAGGATCCCTTCTGTAATCTCTATCGTCTCTCCTGTAGCGATCTCTATCTCTGTCATCGCTGCGTCTATCTCTACGTCTATCTATATGATCACTTCTATCTCTAGGCTGATATCCAGGTCTATCAGATCTCTTGTCTGTAGCTCTTCTCTCGTAATTGTCACCTTCACCGTAATCGAGCATGGTTGTCACTCTTAAAGAGATACATCCACGTCAATAAATATGAAAATACTAAATATTTTAATATTATTTATATCAACTGCATTAGCTAAATCATCTTTATTAGAAAAATATGATAATTTATCAAAGAAGTCAGATTTCGTAGTAAAACTAAATGACAAAAGCTATGATGACTTGATTAACAACCCAGAGAGGGATTTTAGCGTCGCAGTAACGCTCACAGCAATGGATGAAAGGATGAAATGTCTACCATGTCATAAATTTCAACCTGAGTTTAGCTCTGTCGCTAAACATACTAAGAAGTCTTCAAATAAGGATAACATCATATTCGCTAGTCTTGATTTCATGGATGGTCAATCTATTTTTCAAAGGATGCAACTTAATACTGCACCAAGTTTGTTTTATCATCCAGCACATACATCCAAGAGTGTCTTATATGATTTCAACAGACAGGGTTTCTTAGCTGAGCGTATTGTTGACTTCATAAATGCGAACTCAGAGTTTAATTACACCTACAAGAGACCAATTGATCACACAAAGACCTTACAATTGCTATTTGTGTTGGCAATCGTAACGATACTCGCAAAAAGATACTGGAATAGTCTCACTAAACCTTTCATTCTCTCCAAGTGGTCATGGGCAACCGTCACTCTCACAACTATCGTCGTTATGACTTCAGGTTATATGTGGAATCAAATACGCAAACCTCCTCAAATGGTCATGACGAAACAAGGTGCACAATACTTCGCTAATGGTGTTACAACCCAGTATAGAGTTGAAACTATCATTATTAGCTCTATATATACCTTACTTGCAGTTTCAATCGTTGTTTTATCAACTTTAGTACCAAAAATAGATAATCCATCTAGACAAAGAGTCGCAGTCTACCTTTGGACATTCATTTTGATGATAACCTTTAGTGTTTTAGTTTATATCTTCAGAATGAAGCAACCAAGTAGGTTATTTTCATCTTCTTATATCTCTTTTACTCATACTACCACAGTTTACCCATTCAGACTCTTCTTTTAAACATAAAGCATTATAAAATAAATACAATACAAATTTCTTCTTTCTTTCTCTTACGATATCAAATTGCTGAAGGATCTCCATTCACTCTAGCCCAAAACATGTTGTGTTTCAGCTCCAATATTTGCCTCCATCTTGTCATTTCCCATGTCTCTGCTGGCGTGTTTAATTTGAGATCTAAAGCATTTTTGTTTTCGTTCTCGTCATTCGTTACTGCCTTATCGTCACCTTTGCTTTCAGTTTCTTTGCTTTCAGGGTTCTCTTTTTCAGGTTCTTTATTGTCTTCATTTGCTTTATTCTCTTCAGTTGGATTCTCACTTATTGATGGCTCCTCTGATGGCTTTTCGGCTGGTATTACAGGAGGTGCGCCTGTCACCGTTCCTTTCCTACCTCTTCCTTTCTTTCCTCTTTTTGGTTTTGCTGGTGGTGGTTGTGGAGAGGACATTATAGTCTCATTTGGTGTATCTTTGACTTCATTGTTGGTTACTTCACTATTAGTTTCTTCCTTCTTATCAACATCACCATTCGCTTCATTCTGTGAAATTCCTTCATTTGACTCATTTGACTCATTTGGCGCGTCCTTAGCAACCGTAATTTGTTCTTTTTTAGAGTTGTCTTCTGGATTATCATCGGCATTCTTCTCATCTTTGTCAACCTCAACATTCTCATTCTTCTTCTCTTTGTCAAGTTCTGGTAACGAAACTGGTGGATTCGCAAGTGGAGATGGAGAAGCAGGTTGTGATGAGGATCTACCGAAGCTACCCCAGAATGTTCTAGTCGTACGCTTCTCCTCACCAGTAGTGGTATTAACTACATTTTCACCAACATTCTTTAAAGTCTGACAATCATTTGGTGGTTTGAACGCTCCACTGAGGGTAATAATAGATTGCTGAAGTGTACGAATATATCTCCAAAATTCACATGTAGCTCTAAGTCTAGGTAAAGCCCACACCGGATCAACTGGATATCTAGTAGCGTTTGGTGCATTAGATAAACGGAAAACGAAAATATTTTCACATGATACCGTTATTGGAGGTGTTGGTATTGAAGTAATAGACCTGTTACTTCTAAATCCAAACAAAGATGATTGTGAATTTGTTTTGTTCATTCCATTACTCGTGGATTCTGGTATAAGTAAACGACCTGATAATGCACATTCAGTTCCAGGACCGAATTCATTTTTTGCAGCAGGCTCTAATTCTAAACTTCCTTCAACGATTGCAGAAAGTACTTTTCCTCTAGTCAATAATCCGAAAGCTCTACTAAGATCCAGTCTGAGGGTTGGTTCGATGTCTTCCTCTAAGACTCTACGAAGGAAGGCGTGTCCGAGATCAAGGGCAGGAAGTGGTGTATCTTTTGATTGTGACTGACGCACTGGAATGAGATTTGCAAGGGTGGTAAGATAACTTAAAAACTCTAAAAATGGTATGTTGTTGTCTATAATTTTTGTTGTTACGATTGTCGTGGCAGTTGCTTCACTTATAAGTGGATCATTGTTGGTAGTTCTTTCAGCTCTTTCAGCTCTTTCTACCCATTCATTCATCTGTTTTTGGGTCAATCGTACAGCTTCTTCTGCCTCTGCTAATCTCTCTTCTGCAACTTTTCGCCGTTCAATTTCTTGGGCCTTGATTAGTCTCTCGACACCAACCATTCTGTTAGCTTCTCCGAAGAGGTTGGCTGATAAATCATCGAGATCTTGCTCAATTGCAGCCTTATCTTGACGTGCAGTTGTTGCTTTTTGAGTCTCTGTCACAATTGAATCAACCATTCTCGTGAGCTCCTGCATAACGTTCTCTCGTTCAACGAGTGTCCCGTTATCGAGACTTTCTTTGATAGAAGCCTTCTCTTTTTCTAATTGCTTAATATAATTGTGTAATCTGGACATTTCTTGCTTCGTAGAATCCATCTCATACTCTAAATTATCAGACTTCTCAAAGTTTCTAACTAATTTGGTGTTTAAACTATTTAATTGGCTGTTTAGTTCATCAATTTGAGCTCTCAAAGATGCGATTACGAGTGCATGAGGTTCTGTAGATCCTCTAGCTGCAGTTGCCTCTAAGTCATTGATAAGTAGACTAGTTGGTCTGGTTGATTGCTGGAGGCTATTTAGATGGTAATACAAGTAAACTAAAGTAACTCACCTCTTTAGAGGATGTACGTTTAGAGTATTCCACTGTCTGCTCCTCCACCACTGGTTGATTCTCTTCTGAGGAGTGGAAGCTATCCTCATGAGGTTTGTAGGATAATTGTGGAGTCTTATCTGCAGCGCCATCAAGCGTATGATCTGGTACGACGTGCATATCAAGTGAACTATTAGATTTTCTTATTTCATCGTTTATCTGACTGTTATCGAGTGAGTTATCGAGCTTGTCATCCTGGAGGTTATCGCCTTTATCGATTAAGCTAGAAATAGACTGAGCAGACTAGTAGAGTTGTAGCTCTTTATATTATTTAAAGTATTTCACTCACCTCCATAACTTGATAGTCGACGTCCAAGTTAAACGATTTATGGAGAGCGTGATTGATATTACGATAAATAGTAGAATAAAATCTAATTTAAATAATTTAGATAATCTCATAAATTCATTAGAAGATCTAAAGTCTAATAAAAATAAGCCATCGGCAGCGAAAGATAATATAGATAAAATAAATAAAACTACGGTAGATAATTATAAAATACTAAAGAAATTGGACAAAGCTTTCTCGCAATCTGAATCTAAATTGGATAGCATTCAATTTAATTATGACGTAAATCTCAACAAGGCGATTGCAACTTATTTATTAAGATTGGGTTGGTTTGATGTATTTAAGGAGCATTGCGACGTTTATAATATATCATTCGATCAAGCTTATATAGACAAATTACTCAGTTTGAACGCCGTTTTGAGTGATTTACGTTCAAACAACTTGGAATCTGCATTAGAGTGAGTTGTTTGCTTTTTAATTACATTCTCTTAATATACAATCAGCTGGGCAAACTCTCATAGAGATAACCTCGATGCTCTCAATTCGCCGCTCCTATTCTACCTTCACAGGTCGAAATTTCTACAACAAGCCACATCAATAGAGAGTTTAACCTATTTTAAAGAACACATATCGCCATACTTATCCTCAAAGCAGTTTTCATCACAGGCTAGTTCTTTACTAGCAAGTCTCGCATTCAGGGATCTCGCTAATTCACCATACGCTTATCTCGCCTCTGACGATATACATCAAAAGTTACTCTTGCCCACTTTCGAAGAATACTGGTGTACAGTTAGTCACGTTCCGAAGATTGATCATCTTGAGGCTAGTTTGGATGTAGGCGGTGGTCGTGCATTACCAATTCTATCAAGATTCAATCAATTGATACAAAAAACACGAACAGAATGGTCACAATCAAATGAGCTACCAGTTGAAATCCCATTAGATGACAAATACAAATTCCACTCTGTCTTTACTTGCCCAATTAGCAAAGAACAAACGAGCGAGAGTAATCCACCAATGATGCTCACTTGCGGACACGTAGTTGCAAATGAAAGCTTGTCTAAACTGAGTAAAGGTGGTGGTAGAGTTAAATGCCCATACTGTCCTATCGAATCTCAATCCTCTTTGGCGTTGAGAGTGTATTTCTAATTTTGCTTTTCTCTTGGAATGTTTCACAACACTGTAATTATTTTCTCTTTGTTATATTACTAGTACATATTCATCTCTATAAATTCGAAGCATGAAAATCGTTAAATGAGTCTAGAGAGGTTTTCTGATAACTTTTTACCCTTCAATCTCTCATAGAGTTTGACAAAGTTGTCGTATAATACTTCAGCAGCATTTAGAGTCTGCTGAACGTCAATCGTACCACTTAAGTCATTGCAATACTAGTAGAATGGTTAGAATTGAGTAACGTATACACATCAGTAACCCACCTTGAGCATCTCATCGAACTGGGTACGTGTCAACATGAACTATAAAAAAAATAAAGACACTCACCTCCATCAAGTACTTCAAAATAATATCCCTATGAGACTCGAGAACAGCAAGAACAATGAATAGCTCAAAATGCTGCGAATGAGGGCGAGTAAACAAAGCCTTTGTCCTTAATTAGTCACCTAACATGGTTAACAAGCTAACTTACCTCCCACAATGTGAGAATATCATTGAAATTAAACTCCCTCTTAAAATTAACTAAAATCCACCTGAAACAGAAGAACATATTGAGGTTATCACTCTTTGCAAAGTGAATATAGAGTTCGGGATCCATGACTTTGATTAATTCCTGAAGTGTGATCAATTTCCTTGACATTCCACTCTGGTCAGCTAGGAAATTTTCCTTTGTGCGATTCATAACGCTAACGAAGCACCAGAATGTCCAAGATCCGCTAGCTTCGCTGATAACATATAGAGGAGCGCAAAGGTCTGACATTCCCTGCACGTATCCTAGGCCTTCCTCGTAGAAATTGTAAGTAAGCAGTATACCCTGCAATCTTCTAACGTGGGCTACAGAATGTAAGGAAAGTTTAAAATGAAAAGCTATAGCATACCATTAGACACCGCTTGAGATGTTCCTTCATTGTCATCGCTGAGTTCACTCTCACTACCACTCGAGCTGTCAAGTGTACCAACACCGAGCTCCATCTCATCCAGTTCTGTGTCGCTCTTGGCAAACAGCGGAAGATTTCTGTCTGTTCGAAGACAGTCTACGCGTATGCGATGTCTCTTTAATTTGTCATCAGAATTTATTTCATTAGAGAGAATTTACCCACTTCTTCAGCTACCTTTTTATCGTGAAATACACTTTTGTTCTTCCAGGTATCCTTGAGTTGAGCGTATTGGGTACTTGTAAATATGTGAGTAGTTCATCATTCGTAAGAAGTATTACCCACTCCAGTCTGTTCCAGGCTGCTATTCTCTCTTTCTCGGTGGTATTCCATTCAATAACACCCAGGATGAATGGCCAAATATGTATCTTGGCTGAGCTTTCGATGGACTGAAATAGTTAGATAAAACGTATCGAATAATACACCACCTACCCTTCTAAAGACACTCAAAAGCATTTCAGATTCTGTGATGGAAGGTTTACCATCACCATCAAACCAAGTCTGCCATTCCTCAAGTGTAATAGGGTTGCTTGGATCTCTAGTTGTTTTCTCCTGTGATTTCTTATCTTACTATTAGCAAAAAATATACTTAGTAATAAGGCGAAACACCCACGTCAAGCAATTCAAATTTACCAAGTTCAGTAGACACCCCTAAATCAGCTGACCGAAGGACATCATTCTCTTTCAACCGATTTTTGTCACCCTCTTCAGCTACTCTTCTCGCCCATTTAGCGAGATAAATACGTGCACTATCATATTCACCAGCTGTATTCCCACTCATTGATGTATTCCCACTCGCGACTGCAAGACTTTGTACTGGAGTTGGAAGATGGGGTATAATTGGCTTTGCTAGTGGATGTCTAAGCATACTATGTGCTGTCTGCTTAGCAGAGTTAGTGATATTTGCAAAAGATCTAATTGTATTCCTATAAACTGATGTGAGATTATCAACAGATGGCGTAGCGTCTAGGACGTTATCTGGAAATAATTGACGCATATTATCAGCAGATCGAGAGTGTTGGTGGTTATTAAAACGAGTCGCATTCCTAGTCATGTGGTTATTATGAGCATTAAGTGCATAGTGAAGAATTGAAGTCCGTCGGCCATGTCTGGGCGGTGTTGATGATGATGGTGTTGATGTCTCAAGAACGTTCTCGTCGAGAAAGGGTTGTAAGTGTATTTGTGCGTCCATCTCAGTTGGTTCTACTAAAAACAAGCTGTTCTCCAATTGCGAGCGGAGAAGGGTAACATATAGCTTCAAACATAAGAGGAATTCCTGGCCACCCCAAGTGCTGGATATGTGTCGACTGGGAGGGTATAGACTATCACTTAGTGATGGTCGAGGTGAGGTCAAAGCTGTACTGTTCTCGTCGTCGTGGAAGTGTAAAGCAGGTAGTGTGACACCACCTAACAAATTGATAGTAATAGTACCATACCAATGCGTTATAGAAGGTGGATAGACGAGCATTGAATAGATTTCCTTGACAGGTAAACTAAAAGCATAACTGTCACTATCTGATGGCGGTGGGTTGACCAAAGTTGTCGGCTTATTTGTAGATTCTACCATAACGAATTTATCCTCCTCATTCATTTCCTGTATAATTGACTGTGGCAGCCAACTTAATAGGAGGTTCTCCTTCTCGGTGTATTTCTGATCGCCGGTGCGATCAACTAAAGCAAGATAACCCGCTATTGTATCTTTACCGGTATGCACGTAGACTTTAGATTTCGCATATACCAATTTACATTCCTTCGTCATCGTTGCTCCGCAAGAGATGCGATATAGCGGAGATCTCCTCTGATCTCTACGACGAAGATGTCCACGTTTAACGAAATAAAAGATTGGCCATTGGATGTCATAGATGAGCGTGAGTGTGTATGTGTTTATCTCTATATCAGCTTATCACATCATTAGAGATAAAGCGCTTAGAAAACAGCGTATACCACTTAGAACGTACAAATAAAGAGCTTTTAGCTTTCTTACCAAAGAAATCTCAAAATAAACTCATAGAAGGCAGCTTTGAAGCACAATCGATCGGTTCCAGAGACCAAGAAATCCAGGCGATGGAGGATGAAGAACAGCTCAGGAGGCTATCAGACGATAATGGAGATGATACAGAGCTCGTAAATGGCGTTATAAAGGAGAATGAATACACTATTGCAAGTCAAAATGAGCGCATATCATTACTCAAGTACGCGAAAGCATTACGTCTCAACACACACGAGGAAGCACCTAAAGAGACACCTCCAGCACCATCAACGGGTTTAGAATTATAAGTAAATAATAAATTGGTTAACCAAAACAAAAACAAAACAAACAAATTTCAGGAAGTGTATATCTTAAATAGCATCAGAAAGTTCAACTTGAATACCGTTATGCGGTTGTTGATCACTCATGAGCCACTTTGTAACGAAATTGTCGTCATGCTCTTCCATTCCTTTCTTCATGGACACTGAAGGGTATGGTGTAGCAGCAGTTGGAGTGATGGGTGTAGCCGACTCTGTAGGCGTAGCGTTGCTTTGAAGGTTACCCCCGTTAGTTTCGCTACCTTCCCTCTCAATAATTTGAGGCAACGACGATTGTGAACTAGCATGATCAATCTCTACCGTGTGGTTTTGCTGAGGTGACGACATTTTACTAACACTAGCACTACCAGCTTCACTTTGTGTTTCTTTCTCCTCCTCTGATTTATTCTCTTCGATTGATGGTGCAATTGGCACGGCATTCAAAGCAGAGCTCGATCCGGTATTTGATGATCTATTATCTTGGGATGATTGTGAAACCTGGGAATGATAAGAACGTTGCGATTGTTGTGATTGTCGCGAGTTCGCTCCAACACTACTGCTTGACTGTGGCTTCATCGAAGCAGATGTAGATGTGGATGGTATAGATGTAGGTATCTCTAAAGATTTCAAGAAAGCGTCAATAAACAACTTACACTCATCGAGTGTCTGTGCGTTGTTAACTATCTTATGCATCCTAACCAACTTCTCTTTATGGACGTATTCACTAGAAGTGACTGATTCGGGCATAGTCTGTACTCCGGAGCTGTATTTGCCAGAGCTAAATCTACCATTTGTTGATGTACTAGTATGCTTTTCTGATGACGATTGATTGTGTGAATAGCTAGAGCCAGATTGATACTTTTCACCTCTTTCGACGTCAACCAATGCAGGTACTGGTTTGCGTGGTGTAGCTGGTTTACCCTTCCTTTTGACACTATGAGAGCGCACGCGCGCAGGTAAAGGAGCGCTGAATGATGGCGTCATTGATGGCGCCATTTCATCGGTATTAAGACTAGAAGTGCGACTAATGGCAGGCATTGGTGGACTTAGATTGAGGTTATCTTGCGAAGATTGAGTTCTCCTCAAAACAGCAGCTGCGTACTGGTCAGCAATTGCAGAGCTCGAGCTTGGTATCGGATATTGTTGCGCTTGTGCTGCTGAGAGCTTTGGTGATTGCTGTATTTGTACGTAAGAAGCTGGTGAAGTCGAGCGTTGTGGTGATGGTGATCTAGTAAAGCTCGTTGACATTGGAAGTGGAGATTGTATTGGTGGAAGCTTATCTTGTACCTGTGGCTGCGGCTGTGGTGGCGGTTGTGGTTCTACTGGCACCTGTGGCAGGACTTCTGATTGTTTCAAGGATGTCTCGGAGCGTATTGAGGGTATAGCAGGTGATGGTGACTTTAATGGAACGTCTGGGTGGCGTATAGTTGATGAACTTGACTTTGCAGTGGAGTTCGCGGATAAATTCACTGGGAAACCGGTCGTGGTGTTCAAAATTGAATTGTTTGAGTTATTGTGTGCGTGCTTCGAGGATTTAAAGATTGACTTGAACTTGCTAGAGCTCTTCTTTGGCTGCAGCGGTGGTTTCGGATTCCCGGGTGGCTCTGTATTCAGGAAGGCTATCAAATCCCTGCTGAAATCCGACAAGCCAGCTGTCTTATGGTTTTGTTGCGAGTTCGGTTCATCGTCTACACTAGAAGGAAGACTGTTGATTGATCTGCTCTCCTTTTGGTGTTCCCATGGTGGTGTACTGTTCAAGAAGTCCATCAGGGACTCCTTCGGTTTCGTGTAAACAACATCGTCATCGAACTCATCTGCCTCATCGAGATGGTCATCGTAATATCCCTGCTTGGATCTTGTTGACATCGTTCTCGTTGTTCTCGTCTGCGGGGCTGTCAGAAGAGCGGGGTCAATGCGTGATTCTACATACATCAACGCTGTTCGGTGTGAGTGATAACTTCAGAGTCTGTTTATTCTGTATGACCCTGTCAAATTTATTCTCTGTTGCCTGAATTTCGTTAGAACGTGATCGTTCGGGTTGAAATGCAGCTTACAGTCTCAGTATGGTTTGAATTTTTGAATTTATTCTTGAAGTACACAGAAGAGCGCTTTGTTATACTCCCTTCTGAATTCGCGGATGTTGGGGTATAGACTCCCCCAAACATTCTCCAACTGCTCGAACGGCGATGCAGACTGCCTGATGTATCGATGGCGGCTGGTTTGTCCCTCCTATTCAAACTAGCGAAGCTGTTAATTCTGCTTACTTGGCTGTTCATCGAACGTCTTCTTTCTTCCGCGCTCTTGACTTGCGATTCTATCATATCTTTGACAAGCATACCATGTATGAGCGAACTCAATCTGTCGTTCTCTGTATTCGTTTAGCTAGACTTCTGTCTCAATTTTATTACCTACCTTGGATTGCGTCATAGAGGTCACTCAGCATTGCCTCAGATTTGCTCGAGTAGCGCACTACAACAGTACTGAGATCCTGGCAGATAATTTGTGCGACATGCTCTAGTACCGCTGAGACGAATATCGCAGCTGTAGCTATACTCCCAATGTCACTCTCTACTAGCTGATAGAGTTGTTTCTCAAGTGACGCGGCCAACGAAATAGACTGTCTCACAGGATCGGAATACTTTGACTTTAATATAGTGTGGTATCTCAATGCCTGGGCGTAAAGTTAGTTAGGTTGTCTGTAAAAATTCCCTACAGACCTTAAAAGCAGCATCCAACTCGTAGTCTTCTATCCTGTCGCTATCAAACATTCCATCTGCGCTACCCAGTGGATGGGTTGCCTGCAGCTTCAATTCGGCTTCTGTGATAGCATTTTGTCCGAATCCTACCGGGAATACATCTAATGTTGCCCTCCTTATCAAACCCAGTCTGAAGGAGCGTGACTGTGTGAGTATCCTAGCAAGTACCTCGTCAAGTAGGCTATTCAAACTTGCTAGACACTCCAAACTAATCCCGACTGCTCTCACATCTGAGCACAAATGCGCTGCAGCATTCCTAGACAAAAATGTTGCATCTTGTTTTTCCATCTTGATCGTGTGCTCTTATCAACTTACTTGGATACGAGAAACTACGGGATCCAAACTAAGGAATGTGAAGATCAATCTAGCGAGTTGTCATAAATCTGTCAAACGTGTATTGACGTATGCGCTTGTCAGAATCACCATTTGTACCTTTATTTAACTATTATGTCAAATCCTAGACCGATAACTCCACCAGTTTGCATCTATATCTCTGGCCGCTTTTGTCTTAATTTTTTCATCTTCGGTATGAATATATCGTTTGATAAGGAAAATTACAAATACATTGAAGAACGGAAAATATTACAAAATAATCAAGTTTTCCATCTGTCTATTAAACCAACTAACTCTTGCATCCTTCTTTCTATTTCTCTCCTAACTATATCTCTCATTTCGTCAGAAACGCCCTCTAACTTGTTGAGCTCTTCAGGCTCAGCTCTTGCAGGATCAACTGCAAGTCGTGTGCCATCTGGTAGTGGAATAAAGAGTGTCGCAGTGTCATGCATATACCGTGTCTCATTGCTGGATGTCTGTGGAAGCTCGTTGAGGCCACCAAATTTATCGACGAGTTGTATAGATGGACGGCGCTTCTCGTTCTTCTTGGTCTTGTCCGCATTATTGACGATATTCGCCCTGACTTCTGCCTCGACCTCGGCCTCATCGGGGAGCTCATCTAAGTTTGGTTCAAAGGTATCAGCGTGTGGGAAATTTGTCGTGCTCCCCGTATCACTATTGTCCGCTTCTTTAGCTTTCGACTGAGAGCGTGTAGAACGTGTGCGTGTCCCTGTCTTTTTTGACTTGCTGGTCGTCGTTTTCGAACGTGTGTTCTTGCGTGTACTCTTCTTTGTCTCTGGTTGCGGACTTTGCGAGCCATCCTTCGTCTCGAACCTCTTGCGTTTCCTGGCAGCTTCCCACTCCTCTTCGCGGTCTTTGTCTTCCAAATCATGGGCTGCATCACGTACACCCTCACCACGTACCGCTCGGACAAGATCACCACCAAATTTATCCTCGAATTCTCCTAAAGTAAGACCGTGCAGTGCTTTTGGTACGCTGGCTAGAATAGAGAGAGAGCGTGCTGTGAATGCACTAACCGATCTATCAAGATGTAACTTCATAGCTTTGCGTTTGTTGTCGACTGCGCTGTGTTAGGGTGTACTCATATATCAAACTATAACTGACCATCTAAGAGGTAAGACTGGAGAATAGCATCTATCTCATCATCACTAAACCCCTTGTTCACCCCACGGCTTTTGTCTGGTGTCGCCGTGACTGCAACAGCATTCCTCATCGTTGTTGTTATCAAAGAAAGTGGAAACGCGTAAAATAAAGAAAATAACGCGATTTATTTTTACATTATTGTTAAATAAATATAAATTTATCACTCTTTCGTGAATTCCCATATCTCAGTTGCTGATCCTTGTTCACCCATTGTGGATTCTATCAATCTCGCGTTAAGCTTTATATTCTTTAAAAGCTCCCAGAAATCTGCTTCTCCGTAATCTCTGTATTTGTATCCCAGTATGAATTTGGCAGAGCTGTTTACCTGGAACAGCGTATCCAACGTTGATAGTAACATTGGGAATGAAGACGTGTTATACGCGACATCAGCCGCACTGTTTAGTCGTTTAGTTATATAAGAGAGCAAGAAACAAATGAACCTACATAATAACATCAAAATGTTCCTTTTCGAGTGGACTTTGAGAACCCCAAGCTAATTCCCTAACAAAGACGTCATTTTTGTTGAACAAGCGGGAGTTCCTGTCTACATTCTGCTTTAAGAGGGGTAAAGCGGGTGCCAAATCAGTAGCTACGATTGTGTGTTTGTGTGGTGTCTTTTCCAAAAGAGCTGCCAGAGTAATTGATAAAATGCCTGTCCCAGTACCTATAGGGCACGTTAAGCGTAGTAAAAAGACTTAGGGACCACCCACCGAGTTCCATTATCCGTAAGGGCTTTGAAGAGCCTCCGAAGAAATTGTACTTTTCGGATGAAATTTTTTCTGTGAGTATGGCAGACATGGCCAAACCGGAGTCCCAAAGTTTCTGAAACATGTTAACGAGTTGCCATCTCCAGCAATTATCACCCACTTTATCCAAATCGTATGAAGTATCTTCGAGAATGTGAATCAGTGACTTCTCGAACATAAATGAGCGCTGTATACGAGAATGTTTATCTGAGTGTGGTACATTTGTCGCCATAGTTATCGGTAAGCTCGTAACAGGGATTGGCGTCTTGCAATCAGGACTGTGTGCTTTCAAATCTGACAAAAGTGGTCTAGTGGAACTGCCGCGTGCCCAGACTAACAAGCTGACCTTATCTCCTGGTCGTATGCCCATACTAGAGAGTCCCTCTATCTCTATCAACTTGTAGGAATCTTTGTTAGATTTGTAAGTCAAGATACTAGGTAATTTGATAGGCTTTGATGGTCTATTTTGTATTAATAAAGCAGCATCTATAGTCAAACCAGTTTGATTGTCATAGTATCTATATAGCTCAGATATCGTATACTATGAATAGAGTACCCACTCTGTCCTAAGATCGTTGGTTATCTGTACAGAGAAAATCAACTTGTGCGATAAATTGACAGATTTGTTAGGCAGTCTCAAGAAACTCAAATAATAGAGCATCCTTTTCCTGAACTACCAATGAACGTAATAGAAGCAGTCAATAACTACATAAACAAGCTGGTGAATGAAGTGAAAGGGATGAAGGTGCTCTTATTAGACGATAGCACGACAAGCTACCTCTCAGCTGTAACTACCCAAACCCAGTTACTTTCTTCAGAAGTCTATCTCACTGATAGAGTAGAGAACTTGAATAGAGAGCGAATAAGCCACTTGAAATGTATCGTATACCTCAGTCCAACTGCTAATTCCATAAAATACCTTTCGAGCGAACTCAGTAACCCAAAATATCAAGAATACTTTCTGTACTTCTCGAACACTCTCACGAAACAACAAATCGAGCAATTAGCAGAGTCTGATCAGTATAGTGTCGTTAGAGAATGTCAGGAATTGTTTGCTGACTATTTAGCTTTGCTTCCTAATCTCTTTAGTTTGGGATTTCAACCAACAAAAGACAATTTATGGTCAGACACACCAAATACTTGGAATAGAGATTGTTTGGATAGTACTACGAAATCGTTATCAGCTCTGTTGTTATCCCTCAAACGTAAACCTTTCATCAGATACGAAAAGATGTCAGATTTAGCCAAAACGCTCGCTGAATCAGTTAGCACAACTATTGACACGGAATCACAGCTGTTCGATTTTAGGTTGACACAATCTCAACCAGTTTTGTTGATCTGCGATAGAAGAAATGATCCCGTTACTCCTCTCCTTACACAATGGACATATCAAGCCATGGTGCATGACTTAATAGGCCTTGATAATGGTAAAGTTGATTTATCACAGGCTCCCAATATACAACCACAACAAAAACAACTCATTTTGTCTGTAACGAACGACAACGATAGCTTCTATACGAACAACTTGTTTGCAAATTTCGGTGATTTGGGTGCAAACGTCAAACAATACGTGTCCGAATACCAAACTGCTACAACTGGAAAAGGAACAACGGCAGATAATATCCAGACTATATCTGACATGAAGAAATTTATTGAAAGCTATCCCGAGATGAGGAAGTTAGGAAGCAATGTCAGCAAGCATGTATCATTGATAGGAGAACTATCTCGGTTGGTAGACGAGAAGAAGCTCCTACAGGTTAGTGAACTCGAGCAAAGTTTGGCTAGTAACGAAAGCCATTCGTCTGATTTAAGGGTAAGATCTTGCACACATGTAATATTCCATCTAACGATGGTCACAGGCAGTCCGAGAGATGATCGATAGTCCAGATATACCCCAGGAAAGCAAAGTTAGAATAGCAATCCTTTATGCATTACGTTATCAGAAGCTAGCATCTAATGCTATAACAGCTGTAGTCGGTCAGCTCCTTCAACAAGGAGTACCTCAACATCGTGTCGCGCTTATCTACGTCATGCTCAACTTGGCAGGCGCTGACAAACGTCAGGATGACCTATTCATGAATGATAACTTCTTCAGTCGAGGAAGGTCCGCATTGAAGGGTCTTCAAGGTGTTGAGAACGTGTACACGCAACACACACCACATTTATCAGAAACAGTCGATCTCCTCCTCAAAGGAAGACTTCGTGAAGGGAGCTATCCAGGTGTGAACGCTGATGGCGGCTCACTAAACCAGCGTCCACAGGAGGTTATAGTATTTATGATCGGAGGTACGACCTACGAAGAAGCTAGGAGTATGGCTCTTCTAAATGAAACTATGGCGCGCGAGGGTTCACCCACCAGGGTCCTTCTAGGTGGGCATACTGTACTAAACAGCACACAATTTTTAGATATGTTAGCTGAAGCAGCAACACATTTCCCACCTAGTGTCTATAGTGCACCACCATCTTCGCAGAATCAGAATCAACTATTCGCTGTCTCAGAAATGGACCAGATGCTTGACCCAGAGCGTATGGCATCAGCTGCTAAATCCTGGATGCAGAGGGTACGCGAAGATATTGAAGACAGGATAATGATATAATGAAAATTATTAATGATATACATAGCTATTCGTACGAAAAATCATTTGAATGCCGCTTTGATACTATTTTGCATAGCTTCACTGAGTAGTGGGACAGGATGGCGAGCAGCTGGGTTTTGACCGTATACACAGAAGGTAGCATATTTAATGGCCGGTATTCCACCCTTCATTACGCTTCCTTCGAGATGTGCGAGTTTTCTTTGTAACTTAAGTGCTAACGCTTGGTCACCATTATCATAGGCTTTTTGGAGGGATGCAACGAGCTCTGGGGCAAAATTTGCAGCACCCGTTATGCTTCCCTCAGCACCTACTGCTAATGCCCCGAGGAGGTAGTCAGAGGCACCTGCGAAGACTGCGAAATTATCCGTTTCGCTGTATTGTCAGATACGCTTCAGAGAAGTTGGATACACTTACCGAAGCTCTGTCAAACGTGCCATCTTACCAACATCATGGTCAGTCTGCTTTATACCAACGATGTTTTTGTGCTTTGCAAGTCTTGCTATCGTGTCTGATGACAAATTTATACCAGATGTGACAGCTGGGAAAGAGTAAATGAGCACAGGGAGTGGTGATTTATCAGCCAGCTAACAAGTTGTCAGAAAAGCTCATTAGATACAGTATCACTCACCACACTGTAATATGACGTCAGAGCTTCCTCATTGAGACTACCAGCAAAGTAAGAAGGCGGTAAAGCAAGTACGAAGTTTGCACCATTTGATGCTGCTTCTTTAGACCTTTTTACTGCTTCCCACGTCGATTGTGCGCCTACACCAGCGATAAGAGGTGCGCTCAGTTTGTTATCATCGATAACTTTCCTAGTTGCCTTCGTGATCTATAGAATGTATTAGATTGGTTAGCTTGATAGATGCTCATTTACATTGTTCTTCTCCTCTTGCGAGAGTGCAACATGTTCAGCCGTTGAACCTTGAGCAACAATACCAACTACTCCAGCTTTGAGGATGTTGTGAACGTGAGCAGTGATAGCTTCATAATCGATACTTTGCTCTGCGTCGTCTTTGTATATAGTTGGCTAAACAAATCAATAAGGTACTCGTACTCAAATAAACAATGATTGACTTACGATTGGAGCGTAATTTCCACGTAATAATTGCATTGTGATTTGATGGTCTACAATTAACCAATGTACGCTATATATATGTATGAATATCACATGATGTCGTCATTGCATTCGTTCTATCGATAAAGCGAGACATAAATAAGTTACAAAAGCAGTCTATTGAATACATTAAGTCGAGCATCGTAAGCCATCCAATTCCATGCACCATTTGTACCGGGATGTTTAGATGATACTGTGCTTATAATATCTTGAGCGACGAAACCGCCTAAAACAGCATGGACGGGAGTGATAGATGTGGAGAGTGTTGGTATAATATCTTTAATAGTATTTCCGTCGAATGGAAGTGGCGTGCTTGTATCTGTAAGACCTGCTTTCTCAACCTTCTTGAGAAGATAGTTGTTGTAAAAATTCTCTGAATCTTCGGCAGTTGGTTCTCTCGAGTGATCATCAAAGAAGCTCCAATACGCCAAAACAAGTAGCCATCCACGCCATTTAGATAATAAATCTCTCTTTTCACGCATTTTACGTGTATGTAAGCCAGGTTGACTTTCTATCAACTCACTTAGTGACTTAAATTGCTTCGTTTCGCCTTGATCATTGATCGCAGAGTTATTGACTATCACATATCCCGCTAAACCGAGGGTACCGACTATGTAGAGTGGAATAGCTGGTTTGAGATGACGGAGGATGTCGTTGTAGACTTTTGGTGATAAATCGGCTGCAATAACGAGAGTAGCGTCTTTATACGCGTCGCAAGAGTCACTGTAGCTCTCAAGCTGGACTACATTTATGTTAACATGTGGATTGAGATTGTTGACGTTCTGTTTAAAGTGACTAATGTCTTGTTCATCATTATGCAAGAAAATAGATGTACTACCTGATGCCTCGCATTTTGTATTCTTCTTTGTTACAAAAGTGATAGTACCTATACCAGCCAAAGTAAGGTTCTTAGCGATTTCAGAATTGAGACCAGAGAGTGGATTTAAGAAAACTAAATGGCTTTTGCGTATTTTATTCTGCGCTGAGAGACCCCATAGACGTATTTGTCTGTCGTATAAATTGGCTTCCTGGTCTGTCAGGGTAGTAGACATGATGGTAGGAAATAAAGGTGGGTATCTATGGTGTCAATTTACAAATCTAATAATTTATCCACTTGTTTCTGATATTCTCTTCGTATCTGGATAGATATCAGCAAAAGAGAAGACGTGAGAAGGCTTCAACTTACATTACTGAAAACATGTTCCTTTTCACCAAAATCTGCGTACAATACACACCAAGTGGCTGTCACTAGGATGAAATCGCCGTTAGCCTATCAATATTAAGATTGGTCGATAAACTCACCAGTAGACAAGCTGAAGCCTAAAATATTTATGAATCGATTAAATTGGAACTTCATTCCTTCATTCAACAAAAATTTTTGATTTGAAATATGGATGTTGTAATGCATCCGATATTTTTATTCTCTTGTCTTGGTCGAATGTCAGCATTTTTTGCAGAAGGTCAATTAACTGTAGAGATGATAAATCCCTTGTTTTTATTATCTGGTCAATTGATTTCATAGCTTTAACAACCTTCTTTGATTGTTTCGTCGTCGTGTTATTAGGGTAATCTAATTTAGTTCCCCTAAAGAACTCTGGCTTGACTCTAGAACTCCGCCTAGCGAAATCCTCTGACATTTTTCCCATTACTATTTCCATCATGGCGAGGTGCTCCAGGTTATCGTGCGTTTGAAAAAGCGCCTCTCCAGTGATCAATTCTATTATAATACAACCAAGGCTAAAGACGTCACAAGGGTATGACCATCCAAGACCTATGCATTCTTATTAGCAATCGTAAAATTTTCTTTAATTAAGCCAACGCACCTAGTATAATTTCAGGCGCTCTATAATGCCGGGTACTCACAACTGAACTGTGGTACTCATTTTCAAATGTTGCGCTTCCAAAATCTATCAGCCTTATATCTGTATCCATCAGGACCTTCCTCTGGGGCCTCCTCTCTGTTGCGAGTTCCATTCTTGATTTATTAGAAACGAGAAGTATATTCTCCGGTTTAAGGTCTGTGTGAATTAATCCTAGTGAATGCAAGTAAGCAACCGATTTCAGAAGCTGAAAACTGATCTCTTGTATTTGTGTCAAAGGGAAGGGTGTGAACTTGTTCGATTTTAGAAAATCATAAACTGATTCACTCAGTAGATCTGAGACTATACATATGTGATTCTTGAAGTCAAACCAGTCAATCATTTCGATGCATTTGTGTAAATTCGAGGGGTCATTATCCCTAAGCTTATTGAGCACTCTGAGTTCGATCCTTGAGGCATCTCTGTATTTCTGTATGCTCTTTATAATCTTCACCGCAACATTCTTCCTCGCTAGTCTATCGTAGCATTCAACTACTTTTCCAAATGTTCCTTGTCCTAACAACTTCTGTATTCTGTATCTTCCATCCAATTCGCTATTCTCGATGATAATTAAGTGTCCCTCTTTATCATCACATGGTACAGGCAATGGTACAGTTTGAGGAGACGCATTACGCGCCTTCTTTCGTTTGTTGCCATTAGTAACACCGTTTACAACTGAAGCAGATGTCGACGTCGATGCTGACGCCATTGGCTGTCTCCTTTTCCGTCCAACTTGTGGGATTGCCTCATCGTCATCTGAGTCATCAATTGATATTACTTCCGTATTATTCACTTGCTTTATCGTATATTTCACATCTGCATCCCTCGTTTGCCTCTTCGCCTGCCTCATTTTTTTTTATTCGCTGTCGTCACTCTAGTAGACGATTCATCTAACATCACAGGAAGATTTCAGAGAATGAAATTTTTAAATTCTATTTAATACAAAATCTACGTCTACTTCTTTACTATTACGGGAAATACAGGGTGACGTCCTGCTCTCTAATGCTTCACGGAGTTCAACCACACTAATGTGTTTCCTGTCTCGGTTGTTCTGTGATTCTGACATTCTGCGCTTGACTATACCATCTGTTACGAATTTATTGTATGTCTCTTTGCTAGCTACATCGACCGCTCTCTCAAATGTCCATTCGAGTTGTAAACGTTCGAGTAATTCCGCTTTTGTCAGTCCCGTAGCGGCAATGACACTAGGGTCATTTACTATCACATCTATAGCCTTTAATTCGTCAACGATAGGGCGACCTGTTTTGCTACTCTCTCCATCATGTACTTGATCCCAGTCATCCTCACTTGGGAAGAGCATAGCTTGAGGAGTTTGTAAACCAAACATTGGTTGCTCTCGTACGTCAATTTGAGTAGGTTGGCTTAGTAATGTGATACCAATTCTATTTAAGCCATCGCTTGCAAGCTGTTTAATCCGTTCGTTACCCCACCTATCACCAATTTCGTACCAGCTTCTAGCAACTAACTCACGAATAGCTTTGCATTTTGCACGCTCATCCACCCCCACATTGAGGCCACTTCTTGCTGATGGTGAAGCTGCCCAACTTGCAAAACTGCCCCTTCGTGATCCAGACGATTGCAATCCCGGTCCGAGCATTAACTGTATAGCATGATTGTCAAGAGCACGCAGGAATGGTACTAATATCAACAGCGCTTGGCATATATCTCTCCTATGTAAAGCGACGATTATTGATAATAAGGCACTGAAATCACTAGGGGTGGCAGTATTAGACGGAAGTGAAGGCTTGGTATGAGTCATTTGAGCGACTTTCTTGAGTCTACTGAGCGAGTTATCAATATGTGCAGTACCTTCAGCCTCTTCTATAATATTTGTATCAGCGAGATTACGACATATTGCGAGTGTATAAATGGAAGCATTCAGTGCATTGACGAACTTCTCAAACATCACCTCATGACTTGTATCAGCCAGATTGAGTTCACCTTCTATGAAACCAGCCAAAGCCCTCACATAGGCCACACGAACGCCATAATTTGGTTCGATGAGCAAGCTAACAGTTCGCTGCCAATCCAATGGACTGACTCTTGTACGTTTATTTGACACTGGCACCTTCAACTTAGGTATGATTACTGCTTTTTCCTTTCCTTTCGGTGAATATGGTGGTGTTTCCGTCTCTTGAGGTGTTGACGGTATATCTGTTGCTGGTCCGTCGTAAGCTGCTGCTAGGATTCCACTGAGGGAGGACAACAGGAGCCTGAGTAAATCATCTCTCACATTTCCTTTCTCGTGGAATTGCACAGTAGTCATCTGATCTATGATCTTTGCGGACATATCTGCAATTTGATCAGAGTAGTACGTATGTGTGGCTAGTTTCGAAAGTGTATTGATTGACATTGGAGCGAGTGCATCTTGGTTATCAATAATAAATCTGTACTGGGCGAATTCGATGAGTTTCTCAACTATATCCATGACTTGAATGCCAGAAACGGGATCCTCTCGTGAGAATAAATGAGCGAGAATATGTAGGTATCCTGATTGTTTGGTCGTTGTAGGGAAGGTCTCCTTCGAGTCTAAGAGAAGTTTCAAAACGGTGAGTGGTATGAGGTATCTAAACTGAATTGGTGTCCACATAAGAACGTTCTCCATCATCCAATTCAGCCAATCAACTTCCCGCCACCGTTTGTTTTTATCTAAGCTGTCCAAGGCTGGTGTAATTATTTCTTCAATGAGCGACTTGTTTGTAATGTTTATGAAAATTTGTCTATAAATCGATAAAGAGAGTATAGCAAGTTGGACCTCATCTATGTTAACTTTTTCCTGTTTCTCCGGATCATAAATGAGTTGATCAACTGGTGAATAATCTAGGTTTGGCATAACCTGATGCTGTAAAACGTCCAATTTGTTTGAATCCGTCAACAAATTGTCTAATAATGATACTATAATAACAGTCAAAGCTTTTCTTCTATCTTCCTCTGGCAGATTCTCCACTATCCGTGTAGAGAAAAGCGATTTTAAGCCTGTTAGAGCTATCTGACGGGTGCGATTGCGTGTATATTCATCAGAATCATTATTGCAAGCCATACTATTAATTCTAAATAAGATTGACTGAAATGCAGGTAAAATTTCGGATGCAATTTCGATTTCTGGGTGTTTGGCAAATAGACTAATTAACTAATGACTATCAGTTAAAATGTATGATATAAATGGTATGAGTTACCCACAGCATTGATAGATAGCACCCTGACCTCCATATCAGGTGGTACTGGGGGCGACAGGGCCGTATCGACGATTTGTATTACGTAACTGGGGAGAAGCGGAGCTTTTGGAGGTGATTGTAAAGTTATCTGATTAATGATATTGAGTGTGGTAAGTATCTGACTGGAGTGATCTATCAGTTGACGCTCATCACTACATTATACCAACGCACCATCTTTTCCGGGGATCATGAAAAACGCGACTTGATTGACGTGTTTGACGTAGTAGATGTGAGCCGACAGATTCCCTTTTCTTCTTATTCGCATGTACGTGGTATATCAGTTTCGACAACGCGCTCGCATTCGGTGTACTCCCAGACTGATAGCAACTGCCTACGAGTTTTGTCGTGCTAGTAGACGACATGAATAGCGTACAGCATGGCATTGTTTATTTTATTTATTAATTTTTTGATGGAAATGAACTGAAATGCGTTCTCCGCAAAAAGGTCCTCCTCTTTCGAGAAAATCAGGCACAAGCTAAAACTCAGTCAGGTGGAAAATTGAATAAATTTTCAGATTTTTAAATCTGCAGCTAGGATCAGATGGTCAGACGCCGTGACGTCCAACTTCGGTAGTCCAGGTGCAAGACTGTCACAAGAAGGAATGTTTAGAGTCGCCTCCACTTGAATATCCCTCTTCCTTTCGTAAAGGATGTAATCTAAAGTGAGATTACCAAACTTTGGCATGTAATTTGTCAATTTTGGTTCATTTGCGCCTCTCCTGCCTGTCAGACTGGTATCACGCTCGGAATAGAATTCTGAACCGTTAAGGTTGTCGTACGCGCTTTCAAACTTTGGGAGATGTTTGAATGCTGCAATGAGTTGTTCAGGTGTTGGGCAATTCTCGTTTGGAATGCTATTTGTCATAGGAAGGTTCGCGCCTTGCTCTGGTGGCTTATCTGCATATCCATCCAGGACGCTAGAGTGCCTAACTCGGGACATTTCCACCCTCTGACGTTCTTTCTCGTCTATCGAACCATCAACTAGTACTTGGTAAACGAGCTCATGCGGTTCGCTGTTGAGATCGCCGCAGAGAAGGATAGGCCAATCGACAGAAAGCTCCTTCCTCAGTTGGTCCGCTTGCTCTAAGAGAATGTATGTCTGGCGTGTCCGCTCGTAAACGAATGCAGGGTGCCAGAATAAGTGTGAAGTAGCGACAATGAAGCCTCTGGATGTATTTGTGCGTAGAGCTACCACTAAACCCACATTGTTTGTCTTTCTCGAGAGAGGCCAAAGAGTGTGGCTGTCGTAAGACACTGTCTTCTTCTTGACGAATTGGAAGCTCTCTTTATAGAAAATAACCAGACCATGTTTCTTGATGTTGTCGTTTCCATCCCTGCCAAAGCAGTCTACATGGTTGTACTGTGCGAGTGCGCTTTTGAGCTTGTCTAATTGGTCGACCTCTTGCAGACATAGAACGTCTGGGGAGTACTTTGTTGACTCCTCTAGCAATCTCGGCAGTCTATCTTTTAATTTAAGGCAATTGCTTCCTGGATATAAATCACGCTTTACTAAACTTTTTTGATGATGTAAGCGAGAGCATTAGTAATCGCTAAACTGACCTCTGAGAGAGCGTATTCCAGGTGGCTACTCTAATAGTATCGCTGTATTTCGCTTTGGCGGTAAATTTTCGCTGCTTTAAAAATGCAGGTCTGCTCATACGCTGACTGTCACGGTTGAAGAGCTACCACGATGTCGACACTGATAGTAGGCAGTTTGAACGCAGCAAGAACGGATATCTATCAGAATTTAATAACTTCCTTAAATGATAGCAGCGTTGTTAAGCTCATGTATGATAGGATACTTGAGGGTGGATACATATTAGAAGATAACGCATATAAAGCTGTACACCTTTCGCTCACCCCAGAGGACTACCAGGTCATCAATTTGGAAAGTTTGCTACTCCCACTTTTTAAATCACTGTCTAGTGACGGGAGACTGCACATTCACAACATTACAGACAATGAGAAATCCTCTATACAATCACAACTGATTCTCACGGGATTCTCAAACAGTGAACTCGCTTCAGATACTCTCACTGCTTCAAAGCCTTCCTTTGCACCAACGGCTGCAGTCAATATCACCCGCAAACCGAAATCGGCGAAGAAGAATCTTTGGAATTTCTCGACGGCGCCACCGATTGACCCTGCCAGTTTACTCACGGAGGAAGATAAAGCTGCTCCAGCCACCCCGCTAAGTTGTCCGACGACCAAGAAGAGACGAGCATGCGCTGACTGCAGCTGTGGTTTGAGGGAGCAGCTTGCACAGGAGTCACAGGTTAACATAGACACTTCGGCAGACCTTCCAAAGACCTTCACGAATGTCCAGGAAGCCCAGGCCAAAGGTGCCACATCCAGCTGTGGTAGTTGCTACCTCGGTGATGCATTCAGATGCGCGTCTTGTCCATATTTAGGTATGTAGATGCTTTATGGGTCTATTTACTTTTACTGATCCTTCTTCCATAGGTCTTCCTGCATTCGAACCCGGACAAAAAGTCGAAATTGACATGTCCGCTGATCTCTAGGCATTGTATTTCATTTTGGAACGCCCTCCATTTCCTTAGTTACTCCCATTTAGTTGTCACACTCGCACCTTACGACATATCTTTATAAAAAGTTTATATGCATTTCTCTATCTACAATACAGCTGTGTGACTACTAGTAGTCTCCTTCCATCCACAGACCTTCATCGAAAAAGTCCCGCTACCACCACTCAAAGCATTTAAGTGTGATGAATATGCCACCATATTAGTTAGTGGCACTTGTGCATGCACTTTCATCCTGTTCCCTTTGTCACCACCTTCGAATGACCGCGTTGAAGCTTCCACTGCTGGCGGAATATACACTGAGCTACTAGAAGCACTATCGACACCCTCAGAATGACTATCCTCTTCCATCGACATCATTATACCATTCCTAATACTCGTCACGTCGCTAATCACCCGTCCTACATCTGCTTCGTAGGCTGTTATGTAGACGTCCATTAAAGGTTCTATTATGGAGGTACCCAACTCTCTTATTGCCTTTACAATAGCGAGCGACACGGCAGCAGTTAAGGCAGATGGTGGTGACAAGTCTTTGTCGACTATGCGTGGATTGTAAACCTTTATCTCCAATCCGCGTACTGGATGTCCTTGGGTTGGTCCACGCGCTGTACCCGCCAACATACCTGCTCTGACAGCTTCTTGGTATTCCATTCCGAGGTCACCAATGTCCATAACGAGATTGTTGCCAGCATCCTCACTGAACTCTTCCCTTCTGCTTATCTCTATGGTTATACCAGCTTGAGTTGGTTTTTTATTCACCTCGCGTGCATACTCTTCGTCTCTTGTGATACTCGTTTCACTGGCAAGTGTCTCAAGGTACCCCACTCGCATTGGCCCCATGCGGCATCTAACCCCGAATTCTTCGCGTAATCTCCTGTAGCTTATCTCGAGGTGAAGTTCACCAAGTCCAGAAAGAAGTGTCTGACCATCTCCACCTACGGCGTGGCTTTCGAAAGCTTCACTGATGACAAGTGAGGGATCGCTACGTACAAGCGACTTCAATGCCTCGCTGACAGCAGCTTCATCTGACAATGACTCGGGTTCGATCGCGACGCTAAAGACAGGCGGAGGTATAGTTATGCTCCTCAGCTGGACGTTTGTCATCTTTGAGTCGCGGGCATCGGTGAGTGTGTCACCTGTCTTTGTATTCTTACAACCAATCAAGACACCGATTTGACCAGCATAAAGTGTATCTATTTCGACGCTGTCATCTGCGCTCATTAAAAGTAGTCTGTTAATGCGCTCCTTAGAGTTATTTGTGCTATTCCAGAGAGTTTTCTGCTTGGTGAGTGAACCGGCATAAACTCGCACCCAGGTGAGCCACCCTTTGCGAGCATCCCAGACTACCTTAAAAGCCATGGCTAGTGCGCTCACTTTAGGATCTCCAATTGCGTAAGTCTCACCACTGATTGTGGGTGACGCAGGCACATCCTTTGGTGATGGCAGATAATTTACTATTGAGTCCAATACCTTATCGACTGAAATATTCTTGAGGGCAGACCCGCATAAAACTGGAAGTACTTCGCCCTTGTAAACCTTCCTCCGGAGTGCTTGGTTAATCTGCTCATCAGACACCTTATCGTATTCTTCTACAGCGAGAAATTCATCGCAAAGTGTGCTATCGACTTCACAAAGGGATTCTATGAGACACTCCCGTGCTCTTTGTTTCTCAGTGAGTACCTGTGCGGGCGTGCTAGCTGGTGCATCCCCCAAAACATCAATTACACCGTCAAGGCCATCACCGCTCTTGTTGAATATAGGTAATTGTAATACTAGAGGCCGTGTGTGCATTTTTGAGATGGTCGATCTGATAGAATGGCTGAAGTTTGCACCAATTCTGTCCATTTTGTTAATAAATAGAATCATAGGGTTGAGATCGTATCTATCAATACGTTAGAACTCTTGTAGGTGCCCTAATAGCGCGCACCTCTTCGCTTGTTTCCATACGCCTTCCGTTTGCGCTTCGACACCCTCTACAGCGTCGAGTACGACAATTCCACCATCTAATACCCTTACTGCTCTCTCTACTTCAACTGCGAAGTCTGCGTGTCCAGGCGTGTCTATCAAGTTAATCCTGTGGTCTCTCCATTCGAGCGGTACAGACGCAGATTGGATCGTTATCCCGCGTTCACGTTCTGCAGGTAGAAAATCAGTGATTGTTGTACCCTCGTCGACATTCCCTCTGTTTTTCAGTATCCCAGACGCACAGAGAAGACTTTCTGTGAGTGTAGTCTTCCCGCCGTCAATATGGGCAACGATACCGACGTTGCGGGTACGAGCTGCATCTGACCAGGCTTGTGTCTTGTATCCTCTACTGTAATGGCAGAGTGTTCTGCTCAGCCGGAATGTTGGCCTGAGTAACATCGCCGTTGGATATCAAGGAAGAAGATGACCTTAGGTTTATGTTTGTAGCTTTCCTTGTAATTTACCGACCAAATGAGTACTCCATTTCTCTACACCAATTTCTTGGTTTTTAACTATTAACATATGAACAAAAATGGGATAAAGTACAGAATAATAAGGGAAAATAAAAATGAATTCAGTGTATACAACAACTCCTTGAGGCTTTACTTAGCCCATAAATCAGGGTTCCTATCTCGGAAGTTCTTATTTAAGGATACATTCTCAGGCCGTGAAACAATGCGTTCAGTTCGCACAGCCGCTGGAAACTGGTTGATAACACGCGACGACGCAACGTGCATCCTTTCTATGCGTTTAGATCAGTGGTCTCAGTGGGTCTTCCCTTACGTCATTGTCTTCTCTGCTCAATCAAATCAGGCGCTTTTATTTCGATACCCGGGCTGGAAGATGTCGCCTTAAGATGAATGAGCTTCAGTGTAATATTAAAAATGAAAAAACAGGTGCAATTATTGCTTTAGCAGAGTATGCACGCGGTGTCGATACCCTCATTATTTCGACAGAAGATGAGCATGATGAGTATGTCGAACAGTCTTTTTTACATACACTCAACTAAAAATTGCAGGCTGCTCATGCTATTCATTTTTATCGTCGTAATGAAACATTCATTCGACACCAAAGCGAGGATAATCTAATTCGAACGATATCTACCTATTCAAGCGAGCTGAGCAAATTAATAATAGTTATATGGGGAATGTTCTCAATTTTACATCTGTCAACACTGCATTGTCTGATTTCTGATTGATGTCAATTTGACACTTTTACATTTATCACTAAGCGTCTCCATAACATACTGGGCTTCTCATGTTTCGGGTTCACTACTTCTGAATGGTGATGCATAAGACTTTATCTTATGTCAAGTTCCTACTATTGGTTGGATTTGCCCTTTGTTTCAAGACACAGTTGACGTATTGAAGTATAGCTGTACAAAGAATATAAGATGACAAGTCCAATAATTAGCCGTGTAGTCTGGGTAATCGCAGTTTATTTTTATATTAATCAATATTATTTGAGTAGGTCATCATTTACTAGTCGGAAAATAATAATTTGCATACAAGAGCTTCTCAATCATAGCATACAATAAAACTTATTCATATAGTACATTAATTAATAGCTTATAAAAGTATAGCTGCGCCGACTGCCAGTCCACTGGCGACCATGGCACTACATTTGAAACTGAAAGCATTGGCACCAGAATCTCCATCATCATCCTCACTGTCGCTGTTATCGTCATCGTTGTTATCGCCATCTTCACTTTCAGATGGTGATGCAGTAGTTGTTGTTGAACCTGCAGTAGAGGTTGAACTCATAGAGGTGCTACTGCTGCTGCTAGATGAAACTTGCTGACAGATCGAGTCATGTGTCACAGCGTCCTCAGAGGGCGCTTGATTCAAGCAACTTCTACATTCATTGTTGGCGGATTGGAATACCTCGCAATAACAAGCAAGAAACTGTAACTCTTCATCTGATATGTTTTTAAGGTCTTTATTGGACATTTCAAAATCTTCTTCTGGATTACACCTATCGACTAGCTCCCCCTGATAATCGGAACACTCGTCAACGAGACACTTTGAAATATGGCTATAGTCTTGTCTAGCCTGTAAAACCACGGCTGATGCAGTGCCCGCGAAGAGAAGTTGAGCAATTTGGGATGTCTTCATATTTGGATATATTATATTACTGATGGTTTTCTGTAACGTGAATCTGATATTTATACAATCTCCATTACTTCCGACTGTGCTTGGCACTGTCCCTTGCTTAAATTGTTTTCATGAGCTTCTCGTACGTAAAAGTGTTGATAACTTCTCAATTACTTTTCTTCTGTAGTTAAAAGACAACTACTGGAATCTTATCCCATTTTATGACAAAGAGTCAATAAGCTGTGCTTTCATGTACTAGTAATGTGATTTAATGCATAAACTTTAAGATTATATTTCATGCATACACCTGTCAATAAAATTCACATCGACTCATGGTAACTTCAATATATTGGCTTTATTCTTGTACTTATACATTTATGATTTCTATAAAAGATAAATATCCCGATTACCCAATTACTGATAATTATAGTTCTGTTCAAGGTGAAATTCTTGCCACAAAAGCTATCATCGTAGCTACCCGCATCACCGCCCTGTAATTATCTTCTTGTCTATGATACGGTAAAAAATTTGAGTTCATCAAGCTGCTGATATCCTGGCAATGTTCGTAAATTTTACTTTGATAGCTTCGTCAGTGCCGACACTTTACACTTGACACTTTACAACCTCGTAGCACCTGTAAGAACAATTCAAGACATTGACAAATTCATGATGTCTTATTTTCTCGCTATTACATTTTCGAGGTTATGCCTATCAGATTTGTGCACCCAGCACATCTAGAAAGATATTAATTTTACAACTCTCGTCGTACCTGAACCGTCTCGGTTATCGTGTACTTTATCTGGGCCATGCATAAAATAAGTTGTTACTTGAAAATAGAAAAGTGATAAACTTATAAATTACTACATCTTACAGTACTTTGATTAGACTTGATTGTTTCATGTAAAAATAATACATTTGCAGCTGAAAATATTCCATACGAACTTTCTTTTAAGTAATACTACAACACAATTAATGGTTTTTACAAAAGAACTGCTAGACTGGCTGCCAGACCAATCGCAACCACAGCACCGTACTTCAGTTCAATTATGTTGGCAGCAGAATCATCGTCATCGTTGTCGTGGCTCGCAGACGGCCATGGAAAATTGCTTGTAGTTGAAGTCGGGATTGGATCACCTTTGCAGCGAGCTATTATAGCGTCTATTTTCTGATCTGGCGATTCTTAGCTTCTGAAACAAAAGGGAATCGGACTTACCTTCATTTTTCAAGCATGTTTTGCAATCTTCGGTAGCTTTTATAACAGCTGCACATTGACAATCATGATGCTGCAATTGCTTGTCAATGGGACTATTGTCGATCATTACTGGCGTTGGTCCGTACGCTCCAAAATTGTCGTAAGGTAATTCATGTCCCAATAGAATTTGAGAACAATTACCTGCGAACTGTTTTCCGATGTCTGAGCATTGTGTATGAAGGCAATCACTGCTCTGACCTGTACCTTTCAGTAAGCTTCGACTGGCAAATGTCGCACCAATCGTGAAAAAGAGACATTGTAGTACTAGTGCAGACCGCATAATTTTTTTAATACTACCTGTTGGTTTAAAAGAGGTTAATCGAGGGTTTATTCTTCAACACTGCATTGTCTCCTAACTGCCACCGTTGACGCACGGATAGCCGATGCTGCATCTGTCATGGTTAATGTCGCTTAACAGTGTCGGCGTCCGCATGTCGGAGTTTCTAATTGAAGTAAGAATACATAATCTCTACGTGTTGTTACAAAATTAGTGCTATCGCGGATGCTGTGAGAAAGGCAAATGCAGATGGAGGTATGCGACTAGACGACCCTGAATCGTCGTCATGATCATCATCGTGATCAGCGCTAGTAGGTATTATCGAACTGCTACTACTTCTAGTTGGTATTGGAGTGGTGTCCGTGCTGTTGTAATTGACACTGGTCCAATCATTTCCGCACATTTCCTCATAGATAGGATTTATATCATTGTGCAAAGCTAAAACATTTTAGTGTAGTCTTACTGTGTTAAAACGTCTTACCATTTCCTACACATTGCTTACACTCATTGGAAGACTCACTGAGTGCTTTACAGCCGCACTTCTGATACTCCTCGTATTTTGGGTCGTTGAAATTTAGATTTTCCGGTTGCTCGCCTTGTAATTTCGGTGTGCACTTATCATTTATCGTTTGATCATAAGTGGTGCATGAATCTGTACAACTATCTATCGCCTGCCGCTGAGGATCGTTTTCCAAGCTGGGAGCCTGTCTCGAAATATATTTCGATGAAACACTGGCTAGAAGGGCCAAAATAATCGTGTTGTAGAACTTCATCGTGAGAGTTGATATGATGGCGTTCATATGGGGTGCCATTTAAGTACAAACAGGGTAGTCTAGGAACATTGCCGAGCATAGCATATCAGTGCAGTGATATGAGTTATGCGAACTGAACAATGTTTATCCGACCAGCTGATTGATATGTGGTATTGCAAAAGCTGCCGTCACAATGAAACATCATAGCAAAAAACTCGTAGTCGAGAATAAGAAGAAATGCGATGATTTATACGGTAGTAATTATATAATATATACAGTGTATCCTGTAAATAAATAAAAACGCGTAAATAAGATTCTTCTAACCAATTAGCTAACTGATGATGTATTCTCTATCTAACTATATAGACTAAAATTGATGTGAATAGAATTTATAAGCTAAGAAACGCGTAAATGATTCACATTTTAAATTCTCCTCTTCGTGGTATTTGATAAACGCGTCTCTCACTCTCACGACGACTGGTATGAGCAGAGTGCGATTTAGAAAACCGGCAAAAAACACGCGTAAAGGTCCATCCACTCCACAAGTACTTGATGAGAGACAAATATTAGCCCAGAAGTTCGAAAAACTAAAAGAATGTGACAACTTGGACGCTACTTTAGGTTTCTCGAGGTATGAACAAGGGCCAGCGAAGGAAGGATGGCTGGTAAATATGCACCCTACACTTATCGAGGATCCAGACTATATTGGTGGAAAAGCAGGCGTTGATTTCTATTTCATACAAGATGATGGTGGAATGTTCAAATCAACGCTGACATACGAGCCTTACTTCTACTTATGCTGTAAAGTACGTCATACCATAAAGTTTAGTTCCATATCTGATCGCTTACAGCCTGGCACTGAAGCTGCCGTTGAGGAATGGTTGTTGCGGCGGTATGAAGGAACAATTTATAGGATAGAACGCGCACACAAAGACGATCTGAAGTCACCAAATCACTTACTGAGTCTGCCCAAGGCCTATCTTCAGCTGAAATTCAGGAATGTTCAAGACTTACTCACGATTCGAAGAGAAGTTCTGCCACTCGCTCAACAAAATGCAGAGAGAAGGTCAGCTGTGGATGCCTACGCTGACGTTGTAGCAACCGCTGAACAGGATGTCACTATAGAAGAAGAACAAAATGCTAGGTCGAAGGAGGATCCGTCACAATTGATCATTGATGCGCGTGAATATGACGTACCATATTATCTACGCGTTGCAACCGATTTAGGTGAGTAAAGGTTTCCCCTTTACATTAATACTCACCTAAGTAAAGGTATACGCGTTGGTTTATGGTACACAGTTACAGGTAATGAAGGCAAAGTCAAAATGGATAAAATACCAGATCGTGTTAAGCGTGCTGAACCGGTCGTCATGGCTTACGATATTGAGACATGTAAAGCACCTTTAAAGTTTCCGGACAGCGCTGTCGATCCAATCATGATGATTTCTTACATGATCGACGGTCAAGGTTACCTCATAACAAACAGAGAAATAGTCTCTGAAGACATTGAGGACTTTGATTACACACCTAAAGAAGAATACGAGGGTCCGTTTACGATTTTCAATGAGCCTGATGAGGTACGACTTTTAACTAGATGTAATCATTGTTGACAACATCTTCCAGGCAGGCGTTCTCAAACGTTTCTTTGAACATATCAGAGAAGCTAAGCCAACAGTTATGGCAACTTATAACGGTGACTTTTTCGATTTTCCCTATGTCGATGCTAGAGCTACTGCCAATGGTCTTAGTTTGTACGCTGAAACTGGCTTTCAGAGAGACAATGAAGATGAATACAAAAGTGCGACATGCTCCCACATGGATTGCTTCAGGTGAGTTTATTTAAGCAGCGAATCGTTTTACTCACGCTTAAAAGATGGGTCAAACGTGATTCATATCTTCCACAAGGTAGTCACGGTCTTAAAGCTGTTACTGTTGCTAAGCTCGGTTACAATCCAATTGAGCTCGATCCTGAACTTATGACACCGTAGGTTTGAAATTTTTAAGAAAAGCTTATCTAAACCCTAAAGGTATGCCATCGAACAGCCACAAGTCCTCGCTCAATACTCTGTGTCTGATGCGGTAGCTACTTATTACCTCTACATGAAATATATCCATCCGTGCGTTATATGTTGATGACTATTTAAAGCTGACGCAAGCAGCTTCGTTTTCTCCCTCTGTAATATTATCCCACTAAATCCAGATGACGTCTTGCGCAAGGGTTCCGGTACACTCTGTGAAACTCTTCTTATGGTGGGTAACTATATGTTAATTGCAAGAGATTCTCATATTGCATTAGGTTGAAGCATACAGCGCAGGCGTTATTATGCCAAACAGACACGTTGATCCACATGGTAGTATGTATGAAGGTCACCTTCTCTCTTCTGAGACATATGTCGGCGGTCACGTCGAAGCCCTAGAAGCAGGTGTGTTTAGGAATGATATACCTACTGACTTCAAGATTGTACCGAAAGCTATTCAACAGGTAGGCGTATACGACTTGCGATCTACATTTTATTAACAAGCGTAAGCTAATCGACGATCTTGACAATGCTTTAAAGTTCTCAATTGTCGTTGAAGAAAAGAAGAAACTTGAGGATATTGAGAATTATGACGAGGTGAAAAATGAGATTAAAGGTGTCTTAGAGAATCTACGCGACAATCCTAACAGACAGGATCCGCCATTGATATACCATCTTGACGTTGCTGCTATGTATCCGAATGTGAGTGTAATTGGTATCTAGTTTCTGTACTAATAGCCTTCACAGATTATGTTGTCAAATCGGTTGCAACCAGATGCAGTTGTTGACGAGGGTATGTGTGCAGCTTGTGACTACAACACACCAGGGAAACAGTGCGACAGAAGACTAACATGGGCATGGCGTGGTGAATTCTTCCCCGCTAAGAGAGACGAATACAATATGATTAGACATGCATTAGAATCTGAATCGTTTCCAGGCAAGTATCCAGGAGCATCTAAGCGAAGATTTATTGAGCTTTCAACAACTGAGCAATCTGCACTCATGCATAAGCGTCTTGGTGACTATTCTAGAAAGGTATACCGCAAAACACATGATACCAAAATTATCAACCGTGAAGCTATCATTTGTCAAAGAGAGAATCCATTCTATATTGACACTGTAAGAGCTTTCCGTGATAGAAGATACGAATATAAGGGTTTCCACAAGCAATGGAAAGGCAAGCTTGATTCAGCGAATGAAAGTGGTAGTCTCTCAGCATCTGTTGAAGCAAAGAAAATGATTATCCTTTACGACTCACTACAACTTGCTCACAAGTGTATCCTCAACTCCTTCTATGGTTATGTCATGCGTAAAGGAGCAAGATGGTATTCTATGGAAATGGCTGGTATTACTTGCCTTACTGGTGCAACTATCATTCAAATGGCTCGTCAGCTTGTCGAACAGATAGGAAGACCATTGGAATTGGATACTGATGGTATTTGGTGTATGTTACCTGGTTGTTTTCCAGAAAATTTCAAATTCAAGCTCAAAAATGGTAAGACGATGGGCTTCTCATATCCATGTGTCATGTTGAACCATCTGGTTCACGATAAGTTCACTAATGACCAGTATCACACCTTGACAAACAAGGAGAAAGGAGAGTATGAAGTACATTCTGAGAATAGTATTTTCTTCGAGTTAGACGGACCATATAGAGCGATGATTTTGCCAGCATCGAAAGAAGAAGATAAACTGTTGAAAAAGCGTTATGCTGTATTCGAAGAGGATGGATCTCTCGCTGAATTGAAAGGATTCGAAGTTAAACGTAGAGGAGAGTTGCAACTGATTAAATTTTTCCAAAGTGAAATATTCAGCAAATTCTTGCTAGGTAAAACAACCAAAGAGTGCTATGACGCCGTCGCTAAGGTTGCTGATCAATGGTTGGATATTCTATTCGGTAAAGGAGTCACACTTTCAGATGAAGAACTGGTAGAATTGATTTCCGAGAATAGATCCATGAGTAAAACTTTGGCTGAATATGAAGGTCAAAAGTCTACATCGATTTCAACGGCTAGAAGACTTGCAGAATTCTTGGGTGAGCAGATGGTCAAAGACAAAGGTTTGAGTTGTCGTTACATTATATCAGCTAAACCAATTGGCGCACCGGTTACAGAGAGAGCTGTACCGGTCACAATCTTTACCGCTGAACAATCAATTAAATCTCACTACCTTCGCAAATGGTTGAAAGACAATAGCTTGACAGATTTTGATATCAGAAGCATTCTCGATTGGGACTACTACATTGAAAGATTCGGTTCAGTTGTCCAAAAGATCATCACGATTCCTGCAGCTTTACAGAAGATACCAAACCCAGTTCCACGTATCCAACACCCTGACTGGCTTTACAAGAGGATAGCAAACTCAGATGATAAGTTTAGACAACATAAATTGACTGATATGTTTGAAAAACAAAGAGAGATAAATCAGGATATGGAAGATCTGGGTGTCGGTTCATCAGTCCCTGGTAAACCAAAACAGGCCGTTGTACGTAAGAAAAACCGTCAACAAACTGAGGAAGAAGAGCTAGCGAAGATCTTGGAAATCTCAGTACCAGATCCTGATGAAGATTATAGCGCATTTATCAAGGTCATGAGAAAGCGTTGGAAAGCACAGAGAGCCTTCAAGAGAAAGCATGGATCCAAGGCATCTAGAAATGAAGCTGGTGTTTCTCGACAGACCGCTTTGGGTATGTTCCAAGATCATTCGCTTGGCTTCAGTGGTTCCTCGTGGGATATTGTCCAAGTATATCCATCTGTCAGACCAGGTGAATTTAGACTCTGGTTGAGCTTAGGCGGTAATTTCCAACAGGTTAGATTGAGAATACCTAGGGAATTCTATTTGAATTTGAAGAGCGTGCCAGATGAAGGTGTATTTGCGGAAGAATACCTAGTTGAAAAGGTTATAAGAACATTACCACGTGATCAACCATGTCTTAATCTGTTCAAACTAACAGTCCCTGAGCGACTTTATATTGATAATGAGTCGCATTTCAAGAACTTAACTAGTAACATAAACGTTGACAGTGTTTATGAGATGCAGGTGAGATTTATCATGGTCCTGCTATCCGTACTAACAACATCTAAGGTTCCCTTAATCGACCGTGCTCTTATGAAGCTTGGTTCGAAGTGCGCTCTCTCTAAATCATCAGGTGGTGGATTGAGCAAAGGTCTTGACCGTGGTTTCGATTTAATGGACTTATCGAGTGCCTCTCAGCCAACGGCTGGACGCAACTACCTCCAAAACTTTAACCAATCCCGTTATATCTATATCTTCCACGCGAATGTTGACAAACGTCATATTTTTGGTGTTTTCACTTCAGAACAAGGCTGTAAGATATTTATAGTCGATTCAACAAATAGAACACGTCCACAATTGCCAAATCTCGAGAAAGTTTATGGTCAGACTTATGACAACTATATCAACAGAAAGTCTGATGACTTTGAGGAAGCATTTGAGTATTCATCAGAAATGGAATTTGACATTACTTTCCATGGTAGTGAACAGTCAGCTGTAAAGAACATGTTCAGACATCTTAATGGTCTCGGTGGTCAGAGACATGGACCCACCATCGCTATTCTGAATTCACCACAATCACAATCCTACTTCTCACAGTTCGGTGATGGATTGAACAATTACCCAGTCATTGCAGTTCCAACATCACGTAAAGATCTTAGCGTTGATGAGAGTTTGATGTGGTTGCCGAAGATTTCCAAGAGAATGATCGGTATGTACTTCCGTATGTCTACTTGGATAAATGAAAGGGTTGGGTTAGCTAAGCATTACGATGTCCCCGTCGGAAACATCGAAAGGGATGCGCCAATCCAACTCGCAGACATTTCTTTCGCAAGGAGATTGATAAAGAGTGATATCTTATTATGGTGGTCGCATTCATCAAAACCTGATTTGGGTGGTCGTGAACAGGACGTTCCACCTCAGCAATTTGCAGATGAAGGTGGTGGACCTATTGAGTTTTCAAATCCTGGTACTTTCTCTAATGTAGTGTTGGAAGTGGAACTCAGAGACATAGCCGTCAACTCAATCTTACAATCTTCACTAGTGAATGAGATGGAAGGTGCAGGATCTGCAGCAACTGTATTCGACAGTACTTCTCACACTATAGACGAGTATACCAAAGGACAAGCCAAGGCACTAGTTACATTAGGTGAAGCTGTTGTCTCGTCACAAGTATTCTCAATCCTCAAATCAATGGTTAAGAGTTGGTACTTGGATAAAGCTAGATCAGCCGATGGTCAAAATGCATTTGGTCATCTACTTGTCGACCATTTACTCAGATGGATTTCATCACCAGTTTCACGCCTATTTGATCCTGGTATTCATCGCTTTTTGAGGGGATTAATGAAGAAAGTATTCTTGCAACTTTTAGCAGAAATTAAGAGACTCGGTTCAGGTATAGTTTACGCTGATTTTGGTAGAATCTTTATCCTGACTTCAAAGCCAACGGCTGGTTCTGCGGCTGCATACGCTCAGTATGTTCTCTCAGCTACAACTTCAGCTGAGTTGTTCAAGCATATCTCTCTAAATACCGTCAACTTTTGGGATTACCTCGTTTTTATGGATCTTTCCAACTTCGGTGGTGTCATTAATCATAACCCAAGTTCAGCAGAGGCACCAGAGGAATTCCATGTTGATATGAAATGGAACATACCACAATATCTCCCAACAGCGTTGCAGACCTACTTTGATGTCGTCATTGCTGAGTATATCTATGCTATGTACTCTGAGAAACGTAAATTGGGTCTACAATATAGAACTCCATTGAGAGCCATAGCTAAAGAAGGTGGAGAACTCGCAGTCGACGAATACAAAAAGCAAGAAATTGAATTTGAGAGGAGTTTGATTACGCGCATTATGACGAGAAGGTTATTAAAGATAGTTACTGATATGTCTAAGAAACAGACAGAAGCTGCTACTGAGCTTGCTAGTGGTGTTGAAGATAATGAGGAAGCAAATATGTTTATCTTCCCACTCTTGCCTGGTTCACAAACCAACATGAAAAATCCAACTCTAGAATTTGTGAAGAGTACTTGTGCAGTTCTGGCATTGTCGAAGGATGTTGCAATTGAGGTCACCATCTTAAAGCGCAATTTATTGGATGTACTGAAAGTGAGAGAATTGTGAGTCATTATTTTCAACCTTTAAGAGGAAGCATCTAATAACTATCTCAGCTCTGAAGATGCCCAATTCAAACCACCCTGTGAAAGTTTCAAGGTTACTGGTGTGGTTTGTAAAGCCTGTACATTCGTGCAAGATCTTGATCTTGTCAGGGATGTTGAATTACTTGATGACGATTGGCCTTGCGCATCTTGTGGACGCTCACAAGACAAAATGGAAGTTGAGCTGACGTTATTGGGTATGGTAGATAAACTTGTTGCATCATTTGCGGTGCAAGATCTCAAATGCGCAAAATGTGGATCAATCAGTGAGTGATATTATCTTCCCTAAGCTGATGAAGCTGACATCGTCTCAGAATCTAGCGATCTTGCTCCACATTGCCACTGTTCTGGTGCTTGGAAACTCACAACTTCTAGAGAGATGTTTAAGAGACGAATGGAAGTAATAAACTCCATAGCACGCTATCATGAACTCAAGATGCTTGAGGAGCATACAGAAAGTATAATGACCTGAAATGTTGTAGAAGTACAAATAATTTATATTTCCAGTTTTATTAGCATGATCGAATGTCTTGAACCAAATTTTTGATTAGTTCGTGGTAATCACTGTTGGACGATGCGTTAAACATACCAATATGTGCACCCACTTCATCGCTAGCGAGGGTATTTGAAGCTTTAATAAACATTTTGTTGTTGGAAGGTATCAAACAGAATGTACGATCATTCAAATGGGGCAAATGAGTGTAATAGTTCTTAAATAGAACATCGTTTGTCGATATACTCTCTAGCCGTTCCTTGAGCATCCGTGAATTCCATAGATTAGAGAGAAATAGCAAATGATCGACAGTCTGCCCAGTTGTCCACCGATACGCCTCAAGGAGTTTGTCCCTACCAAAGTAGACGCCAGCACCAAGTGCAGATACGGTTGCAATAGCTGCACCTGCTGGCTTAATGTAGCTTGTGCTGGCCTGTTGCTGTTGCTTGGTTTTCTTCTCTTCCTCCTCTTTAGCTATTCTCTCACTTTCATTCAACCTGGTGGTACCCCAGAGGGCGCCCACAAATGGAGCTAGAACTGTCGCTCCACCTGCGATTTCCTTGATTTTGTTAAACTTATCATAGTAATCACCAAATTTGGCTGTCGTATGAGCGAACACATTGGGATGTAAACCGACCATCGGGCTATCCAAATTGAGAACAGCTTTTATGTTCAAATGACCACCCTCGTATGTGTCTTTCAAATATAAATCAGCGGCGAGTAAACCGCCCATTGAGTGTGCAACTAATACGTAACTTGTGTATCCGAATTCCTGATACTTTTCTTTCATCCAGATTTGTAGATCGTCGACCGCCACTTCCTAAACAATTGTTAGGATTGTTAGGAGTTTGAAGGCAGAAAGTTATATAACTCACTAATTTACCTGAAGTCTTCCATGGTGGGTATATTAGAGTGCTATATTTCGATTCTTCATTTAATGCAGCTTATTCGTCAGCCCAGTCTGTTAGTCTGTTCTGTTATAGACCTACATTCTAAATCACTAGGAAGATCGCCGAAAGTGTCTGCACCACCTTTAAAGCTGTACTCTGAGTGAACAAGAGTGTGCAATACCTTTACACTTACCCGTGAACAAATACTATAGCTATCTTATCGGACATGATGACGACAGAAGCGAAGAAGCGAAACCACCTTTATTATTATTTAATATTCAGATTTCAAGTAACTAGCAAACAAATAAATGAATAGAAGCACAAGCTAAAAGTGGAACATGCAAAATGAAATGTATCAGATCTATCCATGTCCGTATCGATTATTTTTGACCTTCAGCCATAAAAGCGGTAGAGAAATCCCTTCTTACGCTATCCAAACGGCTATGATCGACGACTGGTGCCTGTTCAATATCGCGATCTATTGTGAACATGTCACTCAACTCCTTGCTGAGTTGACCTTCTATTCTATCTTTGACAAGCTTGCCTAGGATTGTATACATTTTGTAAGCATGGCCGCTGCCACCTGTTGCGAATAACAAGCTTTTGTTTGATTTTGGGTGATAATCTATAATAAAGTCTCCATTTTGTGCATCGCTATACCAACATACTCTAGTCTTCCATTCTAGGTTTTCATCATTGGCAATTTCAGGATAGACTTCCCTCAAACCGCCTCTCAATTCTTCGTACATATCCGTTGGTATCTTTGAAATAGAGACAGCTGGCTCATTCTTACCAAGCTGTTCTCTAGCATTGCCGAGTGAAATTGGTGCATTCCTTTCTTTGCTAATATATCCCGCATGATGTTTCGAGATCTTAAAGTACTTGGACTCAGTTGGCGGGAACATATAGAAACCAGTGCCGAGATTGATGATGATAGGTGAATCTTTATAACGCTCGTACTGATCATCAGTCAATTTAATCATTGCAACGGACTGAGCTGATGCCAACAGCATTTTGTTAAGTTGTTCATCGAGGAGAGTAGACCAAGCGCCGCAAGCGATAATAGTCAAATCGGCATGTAATACATCCCCATTGGTGTTCTCTACACCTTCAACGATATCGCCTTTCCATAAGACATCCTTTACATTGAAGTTTGGTATCAGTTTTGCGCCCATTTGTTCACAACGCTCGGCTAAAACAGCCGTAGCGCGCCCTGATTCTATCCAACCACTAGCTCTATTAACGTAAGCTGTATGTTCAAGTGGGTTGAGTGGTACGTTCTTTGGAAGGACATCACGAATAGTGTGCTTATCAAGCATGCTAACCCTCGTTGGGTACATAGCTTTCACGTGCTCGTATGACTCTTTAGCATACTCGCTTTCTCCCAATACGAGCATACCAGATTGGTGGAAGAATGCTTCTTTTGTCCAATTTTGCTCTAAATCTGCTATGCTTTCTGACGCCATCTTTGAATATACGGCATTTCCATAATCTGCACGTACTATCTTGGATATATCCTGCGTTCTCGCTTAGATTCAACCTTATCAGTTGCGCTGTACAACTCACAGTTGAGGCGCTCCCGGCTGCCGGAATCTGATCCGATTGCTCGACGATAGTGACAGTGTAGCCATCTTGAAGTAATGCATAGGCTGTACTCAAACCGAATATTCCAGCACCAACGATTAGGACGTTCTTCTTATCTGTAGTCATAGTATTAAAGCAGGAAATTAAATTAAATTAAATTACAAAATCTAACGTGTCTTGATTATACCAGCGTTAACAAGTTTCATAACCTTCTCTTGAATAGCCGGTGAAGACTTCATATGGTGCTGGAGAACAGCTGGATCAGTTTGTGATTGCTGGAGTATAGATTGCATAACAGGGTCACCCATTATAGAGGCAATTTCAGGATCTCTCATTGCTCTTTCAAGCGTCTGCTCATCTGATTCTTCACTACGTTGGCTGTAGAGTGCGGATTGGATCTTTGCTGACCACTCTCTGATTTCTCTACCATTTGTACCCTCCTTGTCGTTATGTGTAGCCTTGTCGAGTGCGGCAGCAGCTTGTGTGTAGTCTCTCATACCGAACAAGACCATAGCTTTGCGGATGTGAGCACGTACGAATGAAGGATCAATCTCAATAGCCTTGTTGGCATCCTTCAATGCTTCAGGCAGGGCGGCCAACTTGTTGTATGCAGTAGCTCTGTTGGTGTATGCACGAGCATTGTCTGGTAATCTCTTGATAGCTTCAGTGTAAAGTTTGACTGATTCTGCGAATTCACCGCGCTATATGTCAAGTTAGATAAGAATATCCCTCGAAAAATGCAGACCCACCTTGAAGGCAGCATTACCCTCTTCGCGTGACTTCTCTGATAATTCTGGGTTGATGTAGGCGGCGATTTCAGCATCCTTCTTCTCCTTCTCTGTAGCTCTGAGCTTGTTGAGGATATCAGCAGAGCGATGCTCTGTCAATGACTTGTTGAAGTAGTTTACAGCTGCGTCGAGATCCTTCTTCTTGTAGTGGACGCTACCAATACGACCGAGAGCTTTAGCTACAAGCTTGTAATCCGCACGGAGAGATCTGCCCTCTTCTACGGCCTTCTCACAAACTTCTAAACACTTGTCCAAGTCACCTTTCTCGAAGTAGACAGCTGACAAGTTTGTAAGGTATGAAATGTCAGTGCTATCAAGTTCCCAGGCTTTCTCGTAAGCTTGGATAGCTTCATCGAATTTACGTGCCTTGTAGGCGTCATTACCTTGTTGCTTAGCCTTGAGAGCTTCCTTCTTTTCATCGGAAGTTGATGTCTCAGCCTCCTCCATTTTAGCTTCTGGTGCTGGGGCTTCTGCTGGCTTAGCAGCTGGAGCTGGAGCTGGCTCAGCCTTCTTGAGATTCTCTGGAAGCTCGTCACTGCCTTCAGGGCGCTCGAATGCTTGTAAATCAACACCCATCAAGACACCCATAACTTGAATCATACGGGTGTCCTGGAAAATATCAGGTGATGGTTGACCGCCAGATTGAATCTCCTTCAACTTAGCAACGAAGGAAGGATCAGCCAACATTGGAGCGATCTTTGGGTTACTGGCGAGTTTGCCGATCAGGTTTGGATCTCTAAACATTTCGGCAATTCTGCCTGGTCCTTCATCATCAGATTGTGCAGCATTCTTTACATCAGCAAGACCCTTTTGCAATGAGCTATCAGTTGGTGCAACCTTCAAACCACTTTCATAGGCCTCAACTGAGTCCATGTAGCGATGCAATCCATGCAAAGCTGCACCCTTTCTAGCGTATCCTTTAGCCCATTGTGCATTCTTAGCAATTGTAGTGTTAGCATCCTCTAATGCTTTCTCATAGTTTCTCAATCCTGCGTAGGAAGCTGATCTGTTTGAGTAGAGTACGTGGTTGCTAGCATCTAATGAGATAGCCTGAGTGAATATTTCGATAGCTTTATTGTAATCTTTAGCAGCAAATGCTGCGTTTCCTTGTGTTTTCAACTCGTCTGCAGTTGGCATCTTGGATGTAGAGTTCAAAGGAGCGTATAGCAGTTTACCTTTCTGATGTCTATTACTAGAACTTTCTAGAGTCAGTTTTGTACTATTAATTTCTATACTATCGTGTAATTGTCTACATGGCGTGTGCCATCAGAAGCTTCTCGAAAACAAAGCAATTGGGTTGTTGCATTTGCGCGGTTAAATATAAATGTATAGTATAGACACATTTTATTGACTACATTGGTGCTCTTTAAATTATCAAATTCGCTTTTTATTTTGTTGAAAATTTGACAAAGAAGAACAAAGAGATCATGCAACAGAACAACAAAGGAAGGTATACAAATCGACCAATCATTACCCCTTAAAGAGATATCCAGAACATAGCCTCACTTAGCTGTCATTGTCAATAGGTAAAACGAGGTCCATCTTTCAAGATATCAATCAGGAATAAGTACTTAAGAGAGGATGTTTCTCATTGATGATTATAGTCCACGACATACAGTTGAAATGAGGGACGAATTGATAGTTCCATATTTGATTACACGCTTCTACACGGCTGGAGAAAACAAAACAATACACGATCCGGATTTCATGCAGACATTCAAGAGAGCTTACTTGCATGTTAATGCAAAGGGCATGTCTGAACCTTACATGAGACACCCACTAGGTGATGTCTACAAAGAGCAAGACAACTTGATTATTTTAGAAACGAACATTGCAGGAAAAACAACGAATGGATCCAAGAGACATTGCCACAATTGCAAAACTACGTCTACACCATGTGAGTTAGTTTGCGACCATTTCATACACATACTAACAATGCAGACTGGCGTCGTTCAAAACTGTACGACAAGCTCGACTGCTGCAACGCGTGTGGATTGTATGAAGTAGGTATTAATTGGTATTCTAAGTTATATTACTTATACTAGTACAGAGACATCATTTAGAAAGTAGACCTATATACTTGAAGCCAAATGGCGAGCGCCTGAAGATAAGAAAGGATTGTTTGCTGGGGTATACGAAATAAGCCAGAATAATGCCATGAAGACCCTAAATAGATACTCTGTCATTGCCAAAATAATGCGTGCATATTAAGTAGCCATTTCCAAACCAGAGGAAAGCAGCGGCTATGAGTGCAACTATCCCAGCTTTATACGAGTGTGGTCCTATATCCAATCCCTCGCTGTCCCTGTAGATTGTCAGCTGTGCAGAAGTTCCAACGTCAAAACGCACGCAACGACGGAGCAGATACCGATAGTAGTGAGTAAGCAACTGAATAATCCCAAGCAGACGTGCAACGGATGCACCTTCTTATGCCCATCCTCATATATGCGCTTAAGCCTACCGAGGCTCATGATGGCGTTGAACAAAGACTGTGTATTAGTTTATGTTACTATCTAGACATCCAAAAAACTACTAATCTTGCTTACACCACTACTTCGGTACTGCTCCGGTGTCCCATATGACGAAACTGCAGCGACCTTACTCTTTTCCTTTCATTAAACTATCATGTCAAACTTACAAGCAGTAAACTTATTCAATATCCAAGGATGGGTAGCCGTCAGTGAGTGCTCGACTACCTCTCGAAAAAAGCTCTAACAACTTATTTAGTCACCGGTACGTCATTTCTTTACTACATCTTACGATCTAACAGAATTCAGGCGGTGGTACAGGTGTTGGCAGAATGATGGCAACCTGCTTAGCACAGAATGGTGCACGTGTTTACATTACAGGACGTCGCCTTGAAAAACTTCAAGAAACAGCTCAAGGATTTAGCAATATATTCCCAATTGTTGCTGATTCCACTAAAAAGGAAGACATTGAACGTATTGTTGCAGAAATTGGTAAAAAGGAAGACCATGTTGATGTCTTGATTAACAACTCTGGTGTCACGACAGTGCATGCTCAGTTGGATGCAGAAGACAATTCTCCAGAGGCAGTCAGTAAGCGCATGTTCGAGCAATCATTTGATGACTGGAAAGATCCATATGCGATCAACGTCGCTGCTATGTACTTCACGACAGGTGCGTCCCTCCGATGTGAAAACTTTGTCTCACGGCCATAAAGCGGCCTTCATTCCGCTACTCGTGAATGCTCAGAAGTATAGAGATGAAAGCGGTAACGTCATAAACGTTACCTCTGTCTCTGGTATTATCAAAAACTCTCAAGATGGTCAATTCAGTTACAACTCTAACAAAGCAGCTGCAGTATCACTCACAAACCAGCTCGCTTTGGAACTCGCCAGACCACACCTTGGTATTCGTGTTAACCAACTCGCACTTGGTTATTTCCCATCTCAAGTACGTCATATTTTCACCAGCTGAGCAATACTAATAGGACACACAGATGACATCGATCGAGACAGAGGGTGAGAAGGACCACTTTAGAAAAAACTGGAATGTTCCATTCGGTGAGTGAACATACGATTGTCTTATTATTCGATATTGACGAGCAATACTAGGTCGCGCAGGACGTGCAGATGATATCAGCAAAGTTGTTCTTAACCTCGCTACGAACGGTTACCAAAGCGGATCCACACAGGTTGTCGATGGTGCATACATCCTCGCCAGCGATCACCTCCACCTTGATAAATACGTCTAATTGTAGCGATAATGAATTTGACTTAGACTTTAAAACAGCTTTGAAGTTGTTTCAAATATCTATTCTGAGGTATATTAAAATAGTCGTCTACCGCCAAGGTTGTGGGGGTGAACTAATGAAATAGAAATTGCGGACGAAGTGAAGAGTAAGTGATATACAATGCCGATATGCAGTGTGATGATGCACCTTGGTCATCCATTAAACTGCCCTGAGTCAATGCGGCGCCTTTTGCTGGTTTTGGATGATACTAAACGGCGAGTGGAGGTTTTGATATCGCATTCGGATGGTTATAACAGCGATATAAGGGACGAGAAAGAGCTGATTGTGTCAATATAACTGTCGTGACTGCTGTCAAACTGATTGTCGGAGTCAATTGAGGCGAAATGGACCAAGAGAATAAAAGACTCAAGCGGATATTGACGCGTATATATTGCTGTATTACTATTATAATGACTAGAGCAGTCGTGCCAGCGTGGAAGTCCTCCTTCTGGGCCACACAGGTAGGTACCTCAAGGAACGGGTTCAATTGTAGAGTAATAAACTGTAGATATATAGTGCAAGACGCTGATATTAATCTATGTGCATATTTAGTTAAATTAAAAATACAAATCTCCCCTGTAATCAGTTACGAATTTATGAAATTCATTCTCGGCTCGTCCTCTAACTTGCACGCTCATCACCATGCAAATTAAATTCTTAGGAATCGCAGCATTAGTAGCAGCAGTAAGCGCTGGTCCAGTCGTAAGTATACCGCTACACGCTATATCGATAGCACTCTCTAACGTTGCTTATCAGGTTAGAGACGTAAGACGATCCTTAGTCTTTCTACACACTCTAACAACAATCTCATAGAACGACGTAGAGAGCTACACTAACATCCGTCCTAACCAACTCTGGAAGCGTGATGTTGGCGAAGAGAGTGAGGCATTCCTGACATTCTGACAGCATATCTAACTTGTTATAAGGCTACACAAGCCCACCACCAAACCAGACTTACAAGAGAGTCAATGAGGAAGGTTCGGATATTGCTCCATTTCGGCGAATAGTGTGTTAACATTTCATCCAGGACTTGTAAACCCACCTCCAAACCAAACTTACAAGAGAGTTACTGAGGAGGGTGCGTAGCCTCTTATTAGACTACCTATCGTGCTCACAGCTGATTAGGTCTTGTTAACCCACCACCAAACCAAACCTACAAGAGAAATGATGAGGAAGGTGTGTAGTTTCCAATTATATCATCTATCGTACTCACGGTTGATTAGGTCTTGTAAACCCACCTCCAAACCAAACTTACAAGAGAGTTAACGAGGAGGGTGCGTAACTCCTTATCAAACTTATTATACTTACGCCAACCTAGGACTCGTTAACCCACCACCAAACCAAACTTACAAGCGCGGTGGTGTAAGTTGTATCGAATATGGTGTGTCACATATCTAACTCTCCTAATAGAACTCAGAGGAAAGCTACACCAACCTCCGTCCAAACCAAACTTGGAAACGTGTTGATGAGGAGGGTGAGTCGTGAAAATTTTACTATGTTGTCTTTATTGACCAATTCAGGCCTCGTCAACCAAGGACCAAACCAAGTCTATTAAATGCTTACAAGCTAAATAAATAGCGGACATTAAATACACATTTCCACTCTTAACGATCTATTTTCATACACACTTTCGATAAAAAATAGCTGTAAAAATGTGAAAAAAGAGTGAAAAGAGCGAAAGCACATGTGAAAGATAAAGCAAGTTACTATATTCTGCCAATCATTACAAAGACAACGATTTTAAATGTAAGTGTCGTAAGCGATTGGTGCGATGGTCTCTGGGGTTGTCTTTGACTTGAGAATGTGACCTTGACGTGGTTGAGCTGGTTGACGCTTGAGGTTAACACGTTCACCCTTTGCCTTTGCGTCAGTGAGAGCCTTTCTGTTGTCCTTTACGCGTCTAAGGAATTCCTCACGGCACTTTGAGTGCTTGACGTGTTCAATACGGATGTTGACACGCTTCTCAATGTAGCGTGAACGGACGACCTTGTAGACGATGACACCGACGGCGCGTGGAGCGACGTTGAAGACGATACCGGTGCGACTATAAATCTTTTAGAAAAGGTTGGGGTGTGAAATGGAAAGTACGCACCCGTGGTAGAACTTGTGTGGCATACCGCGTTGCTCACCTGGGTTGGCCTTGATGTCGACAATGTCACCGACCTTGTATGGGGTGAGGTAGGTCTCAAGGCGGATTGGACCGTGCTCTAGAAGGATGTTAGGTGTGTCTAGAAAGACTGTAGTTAAAAACTAACCCTTGAAGTTACGGGAGAACACTGTAAATCGTCAGTATAAAATTGCTATCAAAAGCTTCTTCTACCCACAGTGACGAGTACGAGCGCGGAGACCAAATGAGTGAGGCATCTTAATAGTAGATATATCAGAATATGCTCTTATTTATTTATTATTTATTCTCACTTTCTACACTTGCTTGACGGCTAAAGAGAAAATATCTGAGCAAGTTTGAGGGCGAGAGGGCAGAATGAAAAATCTGATTTTATGGTAGAATTTAGAGATCATATAGTATATTATTAAATTATTATTATTATAATAGCATTATTTATTTATCTTAATTATCCGTTTAGTAGTCGTATATCGCTATACTTGCTGTTCTATCGATCTCGCTACAAGGCTCTATACAGGAGTTACTAGCATTTTATTATCAATTACTGGCTTATTTACTGCCACTAGCTTTGTCTTCCTCTCCAAACTCCTGCTTGACGTATCCTTGCTCCAATGCAAATCTGAAGCTGTTTATTAACGCAGTGAGTTTCGTAAACGCTTCTGAATAGCCTTCATCTATCTCTAAACCCTCTGGTGTCTGCTTAGCGTGCTTCTCTACAAGCTCCTTCAGTTGATGAACCGCTTGGAAGGGATCCGTAGTGTATTTGTTATCAGTCAACCACTGTCTAACTTGGTTGATATCTCCTGGCGTTGGTGCGTTTATTTCCTTGCGTTCTTCTTCTCCACTCATTCTTGAATGTTACTCCGATACCACGATTTAGGCGTATGCAGACAAAAACACCTGACGATATCTACAACAACTTTAAAACTCAAGCACGGGAGGCTAAACTAGCAAAAGCGAGAGAGAAAGAGGAAGCTGAAAGGAGAAGTTTGGAAGAAGCTAAACGCAAAGCAGAGATTGATATGCCTCCACCATTCATCGCATACTACCATAAAGGGGGTGGTTGCTCAACTGGACGCAGCTGTGGTCTCTCTTCGCCTTGCTCGAATGAACTATGAACTAATGGCTATTTAATAACGCGTCATTTATAAGCTGTTTGTATATCTACACTTATTATTTAACAACAAATAATTAGCAATCTGTACTATAAACAATGCATGATTTACTGTTTCTCCTTTTTTTCAGGACAAAGGCGGGCTAATAATCACCGATTAGCAGAACTTTCCTTGGATCGCTTAGCTTTCTTTCTCGTAATGACTAATCAACGTAGTTGTGGTTTCAACTTTTGGAATGGCTTCTTAGGTATACTAATAGTTGCACAATAGACACCCTCTTACATAGTAATAGCTATAATCTTACCACCCGTTTCTGTAGCAATCACCACAGACTGTCAGAATAATGGTGTAGTACACGTACTTCTCAATATCGTCCTCTGGGTATGATATCAGTTGAGCGCCTTTAAAATTACTCATATTACCATAGAGTTGTCTTATTCTTCCGGGAATCATACACGCGTGAGTATAAAAGTATGTATATACCAAATCACCTAACACATTTAGCTTCTGGGTTCTCCTCAAATGGGATGAACGTTTGCTGCAAAAGCAATCGCCTGAGGTTATTTACGTTCAGCAAGCACCAACGAATCAACAGTCTATCACCCCTATACAGCAAGCACAAAGCTCACCGGCACATAAAGCTGTACAGCAGCATCCTCCAGACGCTGAAACTTCTCCATCAGGTCATAAAAACCCGCAGAAACAAGACCAACTTCCGAACTACAACGACTCACAACGTGAAGCAATCGTATAGATTTTATTTTACTTAATAATGACACTCCTGTTATACTTCTGTTCTCTCTAATATGCTTTCGATTAAATGATTAGGTTTGGTACCTGAATCATAGATCCTGGATCATGGATCGTGGCTCTAATAGTGTAGCGGTATAACTTAAACCGCTTTCTCCGCTTTTAGCTTAAATTCCTCTTTCCACTTACGCCAATGTCTAACACGATAGACAATATCGTCAGTCATTGCTTAGGGCTCCTCATTCCATCGATGTCCACAGCCTGGTTAACTGGCAGTGCAGATGGGATTAATATGCCGTTTATCCTTCATTTTATACTCGATCTCGTCATTTTCGTGGGTAATTCTACTGAAGTTCCACCAAGGCTAAAAATTTTAGTTTAGCTTTATGTCTACAACAATCGCATATATGTGACTAGTAATTCATGTAAATGTTTATGGCCTAAATGTTGTAGCTATTGGGTTGTCCTCGTTTGTAAGGAAGGAAGACAAACGGATGCTCACGACGATATCGAGAATGGCTCTTTATCGGACCAAGAACAAAATCATAAATTAACAAAATTTGATCAAGTTTATCCATAGTTGTATTCATTTCTTTTCCTGTGTATCTCCATTTCACAATAGATGAAATCAATATATGAAACACCATATTTTCTTACAGGCGCACAATTATGATTTATAACTCAACTATGTATGAAATCGGTCGTTATTAGACCAAAGATGGCAAAATGCTATGTTTTGCGTCAAAGGGTATCATCAGAACGTGCCGGTGTAAGTTATACCGACGACGAAAAATTTCGACTGATAAATAGAATCAACTAACTTGGCTTTTTGAACTTTCTACAGAATATTCAAATTCTAAAAACTATGTATTCATTCAGGAATCTGCTAATTCTCTCACTCATTGCTCTCATTTCTCAAGTTATAGCGCAAGACCCGATTGACGAATATCGCGACATCTTCGTTCGTGAGTGTTTAACTAGACAATTAAAATAGCTTACATTTTTTAGCATTTGAGCCTACACCTGGAGCTCATTATTTCTTCTGCGCGCTTTACCTTCTCCTCTGTGTAGCTTTCTTCATTTATGTAGTCTTACACAAAGATTGGTGGGCTCTTTGTCTCCCAATTGGCGCCTTATTCGAAGGTATTGGCTATCCTAACAAGATACGTTTCGCAAAATCTCTTTCAATGGGTAGGTTCTTTATGACGTTAGGTTACAAACTTCTAAATCTATTTAGGTCTATTCATAGCGGGAGATGTATTCATTCTATTAGCGCCGGTTGCATATTTAGCATTTAACTATCTCGTTTTCGGAAGATTGAGTCATAACATCGCCAATGACAATCGTATTGTTAAGGAAAAGCGTAATATTACTATCATATCTCCACGCGCTATCAAACATATCTTCGTATGGTCTGACATATTGACATTCTTATGTCAATTTGCTGGTCAATTGATGCAAATTGCATCAGAACAACGCCCTAATGGAAACAAAGTAACCTTAGCTGGGATGATAGCACAACTCATATCCTACCTCTGTTTCGTCTGTATCGGTTTATACTGTCGCTTTAAAGCTGTACCTTCGTTAAGAATGACGACAATTGGTAGGGATATCGACAGAGTTTTGATGCTATTATCGGTCAGTTCTCTCTTTATACTTGTGAGTGATATTTGAAGAATGTGAAAATAAGAAATTCTAACAAACTCATAGATTCGTTTGCTCTATAGAGTAATTGAATTGAGCGGTGGATCAGGAAACTCGATAGAGAAAAGCGAAGCTTGCTTCTTTGTACTTGATGCTGCACCAATGGTTATTGCTATTGGCGTTTGGCTCTATTGGCCATCACGTATCGTACCAATGAAGAAGTCCACGAGCGGTTTCCACGGTCTAGAAGAACAAGAAAATACATACTTCTTCAACAACAAATAAGCTACTTTTGTATTATAGAACATAACAAATTTTTCCGCATACTATCGTTATTTCGTCATTTTCATCTACTTTTTGTTCGTGAACTACCATGCCAAAGACGCTACCGAGGGGCTCTGCATGTTTGGCTTGTCGGAGGAAGAAGACACGTTGCGACGGTAGCAAACCTATCTGCGGTAACTGCGTAAAATCTGGAGGTTTAGAATGTGTATACGACGATGAAGCCAGACAATCAGTGCGTCGAATGACGAAATTGAGAGCCTATGAAGAAAGAATACGAGATTTGGAGATGGAATTACAAAATATAAAACTTGGTAACAATACCGACATACAAGGATCATCGCCAGGCACATCGAATACACCACTCAATATTGCTTCATCAAGCTGGCCTAAGGATTTTCCGCCGCGGGATATGGCGCTTTATTTGATTAACATATTCTATTCATGCGCGCCATTCGCTAGTAGTGACATATCTAAAACGAACTTCGAGTCGCGGTTGATGCATCTCCCTGCTAATTCTCCTCAGTTTCCAAGCGGTGCACTCTGTCATGCAATTTTTGCGACCGCCTACCAACACTTGCCAAATAAAACGCCAGGGGATAAGCACAGCGCATTGGCGATGCAGAAGATGAGCGATCCAGGGAGTGGACCAGGATTGATGTTTGTATTAGAACGCATTCTGGCAGCTATCATACTCAGTCAGCATCTACATGCTATTGACAACAAATCTGAGTTATACATACCTGCCATCTTCGCAGCCAGGGGTGTAGTTGCATTTTCACTCAACCATGATAACGATTATCCATCGAAATGGTTTCTCAAAGAACCTAAAAGCGATTTAGAAGCCGAAGAACGACGGAGACTCTACTTTAAGGCATACATCATTGATCAATTGTATTCAAGTGATACTGGCATATCTCCGAATGTCCTCCATGAAGATCACATCTTTACACCCTTGCCGTGTCCGCAGAAGGTATACCAGAGTAGTACACATACGTCAACTATCCCAAAAAGTACTGAATATGTACACTCACCAGTGTTCTTCCTTCAGAACTCCTCAGATGGTCTTTCATTGCTCATTAAAGCGACAATTTTGCTCGGGAGGGTAAATATATGGCATATGCGTGGATTTTATGACGCAAAAGCAGCCAACTTATCTTCTCCAAGTCAGCTACCATCCTTCATAGAATTAGACACACTCATACAGGTATTCAGACAGGCATTTCCTCAAGAATACAGCGATCCTGTTAGAATTGATGAACAGGGTTTAGATGTAGACAATCTTGCTGCTCACATGGTAGCTGTTGAATGCATGCTATCCCTACATAGAGTTTTCAAGAATGAACCATTATCTCAGTCAAGATTGTTATTCTTCTCCCGTGTGGCCGTAAATTCTGTATATCGGATAAAGGCGACGTCTTACGATACGACGAGGTTACCAAGCTTTCTGCTCATGACTTACAGTAAAGCCGCTTCAGTTCTCATTGACGCGTATGTTCAAGCGAGAACGATTCATGATGAGGCAGCGTATATAGAGAATGAGTTATTGGCAATTGGGGATTTATTCCAGAGTATGAGCAAACACATTCCTGCTGCAGCTACTTGTGTAAGTTTTTTACTTGGTGCTTTTAACTCATCTTGACAAATAATCAGCTAGGTGCACTTGAAGACAAAGCTGTTAAAGCTGGTCTACAAAACTTTTCTCAGATGTTATCAGGTGAAACTTTATCACTACCTCAAGAGCTCGTTGTACCGGTTTCGCAGCAGCCGACATCCAACTGGATATCACTTGATACGACAACGACAGCAACAGCATTCGACGACTATGATTTACTGTCTGGCGCGTCGTTTACCATCACAGATGAAAATAGGTGGCTAAATAACACAGGAAACACGGACTCATTCGATAGTTTCTTAAGCATTTAGAAATACTGTAAAATTAATTGTTAGAAGTATGTACATCATTTATCATTTTCATTTAAATTTCTCGTTACAAATTCCATTCTAAGTCGTTACTCTATTCATGCACCCTTTACTTCTTTGGAGGTAAAGCAGGTGGTGGTGTTGGTGAAGCGTTAAGCGAAGGGCTACTGGAGCCACTTTGCTTGTTGCCAAAGAGGGCACCTTTACCGGCAGATTTGATGAGTGCTCTTCTGGAAATACCTCTGACATCAATATAGACTAGTGCTGCGTTGTGTACCGAATCACCGACTCCTCTAACAGCTTGACCTGCATCTTGGCCATATTTGTGAGCAACCATGACAGAAGTAGCCATTGAAGTGTCATTAATTAGTGTTTTTCCAGCTTGCTCGACGGATGTAAAGACATTGTCGGCAGCCATGAAAGCGCGATTGAGGAAGCCTGTAATATGTTAAAAGGATTTACTTTTTAATAGCCTCACCTACCTGGTTTCTTGTCTGCATTCCTTTCATCATCTTTCTTGCCTTTTCCTGTGATATAGGCACCGACACCTCTTGCAGAATCTGCAATCATTCCTGCAGTTTTAGCTGAGACGTTGGCGACTTGACCTGTGACATTGTGTACCCTTGCAGCATTCTTCCTTTGGTTTTCAGAGAAGACGAGTGGTTTATCGCCCGCCTTAGTACGTGCTACGAAAGTTGAAGAACCGGCAGCCAAACCCTTTCCGAGGAGGTTACCACCACCGATGATAGCCTGACTGACGTAGTTGCTACTCCTGATCATGAGTGAAGGGTCTTTTGCGGCTGTAACCTTGAGATGATCTTGTGGTTGTTCTGGTAAATCAACAACAACTGGTTGCTTCTCGTTGCCTTTCTCAGTGAGAGAGCTATCCTCGACGGCAGTACCTGCTGCGTCTAGTGAACCTAACACGTGACCATCTTGTGTATCAACCAAACAGAGTTTACCACGGAGATCATTTTGCTCTTCTGTGACGGGAAGAGAAGCATATGAACCGAGGATGACGTCGAAGGATTCTTTATCGTCATGTGAGTATTTCTCTGGTAACTCCAACTCAATGAAAGCATCTGGGAGTGTTGGTGAGGGTATGCTGTATCCTCTGTCTGATATTCTTTCAATTGGTATAGCTGCAGGCAAGGCCATTTCAAATGGCTGCGCTTTCTCTGATCTGATAGAGAGTACCAACCAGTAGTCAGCGCCGCTAGTTTTGTTTGTATCGAATATTTCCGTTGGATTGTCGTAATTTATCGTGGAGTTGACTGAAACCAAAGAGAGGTCTAGTACGCCTGTGCTTAGAGGTACACGCTGATTATCGTATGATTGATAAGCTGTTGTACCATTGAAGGAAATTAAAATAACTGCCTGGTTGTTTTCCATTCTTCGTAGTTTCTAATCAACGATCATCCTATGCTGTGCCCAAGAGTTAACAGGACGAGCATCTTAATAAGAAATTTCTCAACGTCTATAAAAGCAAACGCTTCTAGACAAGTCGTAGAGCCTAGAGGTAAATTCACAGACACTACCACCCTTTTAAGCTCATTTGGGAGGTCTCTACAAGAGAAATGCAAAATAGAAGATTGGAATCAGCTGTTTAGCAGTAGTAGTCGTGACTTTGAGAGAATTGGAATGTTAGTATCTTATTCCATCCCAGGAAGACAAGCCTAACACTCCCGTAGGACACCACAAGATAGGAAATACCTCCTATGGTGCTTGGAAAAGTTCAGACAGGGTCAATATCCAGAGTCTTTTGCACACGAGCCATCGCCAAAGAAGGAATTCAGAGGATGGGGCCCAAGGGTTCAGCATGGCAAGCGAGTACGCGGTTTGCTCAGATCAGGCGAAGAGCCAGCTCCAAAGAGGTAATATCTATAGAAAATGCATGCAATTTTATTATTCAGAGCCTTCATCGTTGAAAAGTTTTGGTAGATCCTTCTTTGTCGTAAAGTCTGGCTCTGAACTGTAATACAGCCTCTTTGAGCAGTCAGCAACAGCCCAGTCGAGCCCTTCAAGGAGGTGCTCTCCAGTTACTGCACTACAGGATTGTATCTTCCAAGTGTGTGTCTTGATGCTATCTAATTGAAGGGTCTGTTGGGTGGGTTAATTGAGTGTCAGTTGATAGAAATACTATACTCACATCTTTTATTTCATCTTGAGTCATGGCACCATTTACATCCTGTTTGTTTGCGAAGATGAGGACGGTCGCACCAGCGAGTCTCTATCGAATTAGTTAGAGCGTTTGACAACTTAATAATTCTCCGCACATCCTCACTGAGTAGATCAAACAATTCAGCACGGCAATCCTCCATACGAAGCCGATCGGAAGAGTCAACAACCCAGACAATACCGTCATTCTGCTCAAAGTAGTTGCGCCAATAGGGTCTAAGCGTGCGCTGGCCACCAACATCCCCTATAACAAATAAGTTCATGCAATCTCTGCTTATCAAAGGCACTCACAAACGTTGAGTGTGTAGCCTCTATGTACGAATGTTTTGATATTAAAACCCAAAGTTGGTGAAATTGATTTGATATCCTCGCCATTTATTCGCTTCATTATTGTCGTCTTACCAGCGTTGTCTAATCCTCTATGCAAGGGTGAGATTGTGTCAGAGATAAGAAGACTCAACGGACAGGAATAGGAAGCGCATTTCACGTGATTTATATCGCTGTTTACGTATAATAGTGAGTAATCCTAAGATATTTTCAGCTTTCTAAATATCCTGTGATAATCTATCACCCTTACCCATATCTTTGTGATGGAAGTATCTGTTCAAGGGGTTGTAGTGATTTTACAGAGCATATAACTACATCTAAACTCAACAACACTCCCTATCTCGCTTGATCTCATACTCTGATGAGCACATCTACGCAAGTCAGGCCGAGCAGACCCATCGGAGGCTTTAGAGGCGGGTTAGTAGCCTATTACAGTCCTATTTATCTAAATAATAAACAGTCTACTTGGATTCTCAGCTGGATTTGTCGCTGCATCTCTAGGAAGTTATTTCTATTTAATAGACGATTATAGAGTTCGTTTTTAGTTTATTATACAACCAACCCCTAAGAACGCCCTCAGAAATCAAATGAAAGTATCGCTACCACAGTCGCTAGCGTGAGTAAGGAGAGTGTAGAACTTGGAAAGAAGTTCAGCAGGATAGACGCACTCGAGGACGATTTTGATAGCTTAAAAAGTAGTATAAAAGATGAAATCGATTTAAAATCACAGCGCACGCAGTCCGAAGTTGTACGTCGTCACTAATGAGACCTTCGATATCTTACTTATCACAGCAACAATTACAATCTGAAGTGAGCGATCTGAGGACATACATAGTATCCCTAGGTAAGTACACACTCGCTTTTATATAAACACCTCTAAGACATCCTCAGAGCAAGATATTAGTCGCTATTTCGCAAGCAACAGGGATCAATATATTCGTATTTAATGCATCTGTCTTTGAAAATATATCTTTCATCTACTAGTACACGTGTGTTTCATCAGATAGCGTTAGTTGTGACATATTGTTATACACCTCTTGTTCTGCATTATACCTAATACTCCTATTGTCCATACTTGTGCTCATTGAGATGTACTTCATCGAGTCTATCACGTGCGTGATTGATAGTGTGACTCTGCTGTGGTAATTGAGGTTCATTCGTGACCCTCTCAAGGCCATAGCCTTCAGTTTGGTGCGTTGGCAAACGATAAGCATCGTTCGCTTCGATGTACCTCGAATTGTGTGGTTTGTGGGATAAAGGCTCACCCAAATGTGGGTAATACTGCCTGTAACAAACATAGGCGAAAAAGCTACCGATAATAGCACCAGCGATAACGTCTGTAGCATGATGACGATAATCCATAGTACGGGATACTGCAATCAAGACCGCACCAATCCATGGTGTCCAGCAAATCCAAGACTTGATTGTGTGTCCTTTTGTATCGAAAATTTGCATCTTACCAGCCAAGTAGAAACTGAAGTATCCAAGTAATGCAAATGAAGAACTTGAATGGCCACTAGGAAAACTCCTAAAGCCATCTTGAAGGATATTGAAATCTGTCTGAGTGCATATCGCGGCGGTAGAAAGACCGACGTCTGCATTAACACTTCCTGCGGTTGGCTGGCAGCGATCAATGAAATCTGGGCGCATCCTACCCGCAAGGACCTTAATAGAGGTTGTAGTAGAGATCGTTAAGGATATAGTGAGTAAGAATCCCAAGATCGAGTGGTGGAGATCGGTGTATGATCGATACCACTGAGTGGAAAGAACCACAAGACATACTATTACCGCCGTTAGCAATGTTTGTTCAGTAAGAGAGCGCTACCATACCCAATGGAATCAAGCCAATGATTATACCCAAAAGTGTCATTGGTACACGCTCTTCCGTAGCGTAAGTGTGTCTAATGGTAACATCATTGACATCAAACTCCCTCCAATAGCCATGTACATTGTTGATTAGATCTATATCGTTCTATTAGATTCTGTATACTATCAAACGACCACTAACAAAGTAAACCGAGTAAAATAGCACATATAATCCAATCCATACCGTAACTAGCTACTAATTTCCATTTACTTGTCACTATAGCTATGATATTATCAGAAAATTGTTCTTCTCGGCTGTGCAGCACACACGGTGATCTATATTCGTACGACGAGCGTATGGATGTTGAAGAAACTTAGGCAATATTGAAGGTGGTCTGCTCAAATCAATCTTAATCATGATCGTTGTTAGGAAAGAAAAATAGATAATCGAAACGATGTCACAGCACGCATGCGGGAATGCTTGGCAGGAAGTTACGATTATATGATAAATATACAATAAGGTTCTATGCGGTGTCATATACGAATTTTGCAAGTCCGTAGCGTACACCGAACGCTATTACTGAGCATCCAGTTTGTACCGCCAGGGCACAGAGGGCTAGATCACGTTCGGACATACTACCAAAAAAACAGAGCAATCCATTCAGGAGCGTTAAATTTGTAGCCATTTTTATATTTCCCTCTCTATCCTTCTCAATCTTGACTAGATTTACGAATGTGAGAAGTTTAAGCGGGATACTAACATAACTTGGGGGTACCTCTTCAAAAATGGCATAGCTAGGCTGTAATTTACCATTCTCGTGGATATACCTAAACAGGTGTTAGACGATTAACTCTCATGCTCGTGCACCCACCTAGGCACCCTGTGTCTGGGACAAGGTACCAAACCGAACAATTGAGGAGTCGAGAAGACGAAGTTGAAGATTTGGGGTATGAAAAATAGTAGAAGTGTTTTGGAGAAGTGTGCGAGTACACCGACAATCGCAAAGGCCATTCCAGCGAAATAGCAGAATGTGTCACCTGGGAAAACCCTCGCTGGATACCTAGACTAAATGTGAGACATAAATAAAAAAAGACAATATTACCTACCAATTGTGAAAGAGCAAAGCTAGAGATGCACCTATCAAAGGTAACATAAAGTAGAGTGAAAACAAATGGCGTTCAGCTTGCTCGACTGTTGTAGGACCAACGAGAGCGGTCACGGACCAATCATTCACCCATTGTGGGAGATACATCAATAGATTTGGAGAAATTGGTAAAGGTAGATGTAGGAGGTCATTTATGACGACACTCATTGCTATCACGACTGCTTGACCAACTTCAATTCCATTTATACCAGCGAGAATATTGATGCTGTTCGTGCAGAATGTAGACAACATGGCCATATAAAGGTAATAAAGTGGACCTATTGAGTTTTGTTAGGGAATTCTGCCATAGCACGCCTACGCACCAAGATGAACGACTTTACCGAAGTACTGTCGAGCTGGAATAGGCATGACTACATCTGTGATACCACTAGAATGCGTTAAGAGCTTGTGAAAAATAAACAAGAAACCTACCCTTCCGCAAAATAGACAACCAACATTGGTATACTAGCTATGAGAGGAATTGGCAATTTGTACCTCCATCTAATATCAAAAAGATCATCTAAGAATCCCAATAATGTGGCTGTTTGAAGAGATAACAATGCTGAGAGATATGTAGCAAGCTAAGTGAACTGTGTCAGAACAAAGACAATAAAACGCGTTGAAACGCGATGAAAGTAGTATATTAACCTTATTATGAGGAAATTGCGGCTGGAGAGTACTGCCATATGTCCTTAAATGTTGAGCGAAAGAAATGGGGGCGAAGAGAAACAAGAGAACGATGAGTACGCAGGCTGGAACGATACCTAAGGACTCCGGGCTAAGGAGATGTTAAAATGTAGTAATGTAGTGTAAGATAGCCTCACACGAGCTGTTTATATGGTTTGAGAAGATCCCTACCTCTGAGGCCAGCTCTGACGAGGTGAGGAGAAGACAAAGGGATGAGTATAACGGTAGCCAAGAACGATACTATTGACATAATAATCGGTGGTATTATAACGTTATAGCTGTAAACCAATAGTGGAATGATTGATAACGGTATTATCAGCAGCGTCTTTGGTGGGTATATCGTAGGCCTATACGCAGCTGGACTTGGACTGCTTTCTGGAGTATTCGATGACACAGTATTTTTGTTTTTCATCCAGTCTATCATCTTTTGATCTTGGTTGATTATCGTCGACGATGTCAGATTATAGCGAAAGCGAGAGCTACCAGTCAGACAGCAGCTCAGATAGCACTTCTAGTGTCGATGATATTCAGTCTCAAGAAAATCTCGATAGCTTGCTCTCAAAAGCGAGGACAAATCTTTCATCCGGAAATGCAGACAATTTGGAACTCAACGAGGACGTTGTGAGGTTTGATAGCCTAGACGATGACGATGAGAAGTGAGTGCCCTTACTACCGCTCTCTGGTGCGCACCCTCTAACATAGACAACAGGCCAATACCACGCTTGACGAGTAAATACAACCTCGATACGCTACCAGCGTTGAAGCCATCTCAGAGGAGATCTCAGAAGGCCAAGGAGAATGCTCCAAAGAGTAGACAGTTGGAGGTGGGTAATGCCATTCGGATAGGCTGTGATCTGACGATAAGCACATAGTTGTCTGCTATTGAACATCAGACGAGAGATGCTTTGGATAATGCAGCTGCTGCTATGTCTAGTCGACCAGCCCATGATGCGGGTATCAGACCGTCTAGAAAGCAGATGAAGGAGGTTAGTTCGTAGTTACAGACTTGGGCTATCTTAATAAAGAAATACAGGCACGGGAGGCTACAACCGGCAAAGACTGGTTCGACTTGCCTGCACCACCGGCAGCTCTACTGCCAGAGTGGAAGCGCGAAGCAGAAGCCCTGCAATTGCGCAACTCACTCGATCCTAAGCGATTCTACAAGGGTGGTAGCAAACTGAAGCTACCAAAGCACTTTGCGATTGGTAGAATCCTCCCTGGTAGGAACGCTGGAGACTCACTCGCGGAGGGTGCAGAGGACAGCAAGGCGAGACGACAAGCGAGAGGATTCGTCAACGAGCTCCTCGACGACAAGACAAGCCAGAGGTACTCGAAACGTAAATACAGTGAATTGCAAGCAGAGCGTGGACAGGAATACGGTCAGAAGAAGAAGGCCAAGGAGACGCTCAAGAAGATGGAGAGGAAGAGGCGCTAGAAATATTGTGTGAGTAGCTGGGAATAATGCGGGTGAAATTAACAGCTAGCCAGAATAATACTATTTAATAAATAATTTATTTAATCCCAGCTGAGTATTTAGTTTTTTCCTTATTCGAATATTTCAGATATTCGCTGCGCTTCTGACTACTTTCAAATTTTTTAAAGTGGCCAGAAATAGGGGTAATTTAATATATGCCCTATAGGTCCATAAGAAATATTTGTTTGAACTAGCAAGACTGTCTATTATTTAGCTATCCTGGCATTTCTCTTTTGCCACACAGACAGCTAATTCATACTAGACTAGCAATATGAGTAGAAGACTTAAAATAACAGCCAGGTCGAGGCTACAAATAGTAAAAAACCCTCAATTCATCGCAGAGGCGTACACTTTCGAAGATGACTCCAAGGCCACCACCGGTGTCGACTCCGCTGAGGCAGAGGAGACCCACTTACAGAACGCGATAAGCGCGTCGAAACAGAGGAACGCTAGGCAGAACCAGCAGGTTATTTCTTCTCCAAAGAAGAATAAATCTACACCTCAGTCAAAGCCTCAGGAAGACGACGCTTTAGGTATTATTCCAACTCCGGACGCCACTGGTAGAGTCACAAATTATGAGAAACTTTACAAGCCTTTGCCCGCTCCTGAAGCCTGGTCCTATATCAAGTACAGCGACACCATAGAGGAAGCCCAGCTCGGTGGTTTGATCTATACTATCGATGAGCGTGACTTTAGGTTCATTCAGGAGCATAACAAGGCTGTAAAAGGCGAAGGAACATCCACCGATGGTAGTAAGAACGACAGTGATAGCAAGAACACTGATATGCTCATTGAAGAAGACACTTTTGAGCTGATTATGAGTGTCTTTGAGAAAGTGACCGATGATATTGCTCCCACTCTGCATACAGTGAGTTGATTTCTTCGTCTTATATTCTCTTTTAACACTGCTTGTAGGACATCTCAAGAATTCCTGAATTCTCAGAGTTTGAATCTCACTTTAGAAAGTCGGATTTCCTTGATTACTTTCCAAACATCGCACCCCTTAAATTAACCCTCACCCCCGACAACCTCGTAAAGCTTGGTCAGATCATCTATCAGCACTGGCGTGCTCGTCGTGTAAGACGACAAGGAAAACCTATACACCCACAACTAAACTATGATGAGAGCAACGATGGCGATCCATACGTTTGCTTCAGACGTAGAGAAGTTAAACCAGTGAGGAAGACAAGAAGAGCTGATTTACAATCCGTCGAGAAGATGGAGAAACTACAAAAGGAGTTGCTCGCAGCTCAACAACTCGTTGTTAGTGTAATTGAAAGAGAGAAGAAGAAAATTGAAGCAGTTGAAATGGACAGAGGTATTAGTAATCTTCGTCATAAACTAAGAAACGTCAAGAGGAAACAGGGCGTTATTGGTCCTGACGATGGTAAAGCTGATGATGAGTTGTTAACTGGAACTAAACCAAAGAGGATCAAGGTTGATTCTAAGTTGACTAACAAGAGAACGACGGGATCACCTGCTGTTAGTGTGTCAGCCGATAAAGGATCTGTACCAATCGCTGCACTCATTGAGAAGCACATACTGGCTAAGCGTGAAGCTGATCAGATGTGGGAAGATTTCAGCGATCCTTCACAATCATCGAGTAACTTCCCTGGTGCTAGATTCTTTCGCTCGCTGTCAAGTCATGCTGAGCATGATGATGAAATGGGCAGAAGATCGTTTAGAATGAGAATTGGAAGGGGTGGTAGAAGAATACTTGATAGGCGTCATCCATTCATCGACAATGATGAAGATGCTTTGGTACACTTAAACGATGATGAGAAGAGAATGAGACAATTACAGAAGTTCGATTCGAATGTGGTACTCAAAAGTAATATCAAGGGATTAGGTCCAACATTTGGTGAAGATGGTAACAACCTACTTGTTGATGACTATGATGAAAGGTGTGTGACTTAGTGTGGTGTTTAATGCAAGTTTTCTAACTCTTTATAGGTTTATGCGATATCGCGCTTCACTTCTTAATGAAGAAGATATCAAGAATCTTACAGCATCTACACCAAGCGTTGATGCAGCTATGCAAGCAGCCTTGGCGCCACCGGTGCCACTTCCTCACTATACTATAGTGCGACCTAATGCCAGCAGCAAAGCTCAACAATTGCAGCGGAATAACTCGAATGCTTCAAATGTTCAGAATTCTGGAAAGCCTCAGGTTGCTCAGCATTTGATAAGAAAAGCTTCACAACAGAACGCCCAAGGTGCACCACTTCAGAGAAACAATTCAGCAATGAATGGTACAACAGCAGCACCGGCACCGACAGCATCAAAGCAACCAACACCTAAACCACCAACACCACAAATGAACGGAAATACTGCACTTCCAAACAGCAATGCTACGTATAACACTATACAGCAATTGCTTGCTGTACAACAACAACAGCAACAGCATCAGCAACCTCAAAATCCAGCTCAATTGAATGCATTATTGCAATCAACGAAAACACAACAACAATTAAATCAAATGAGGCAGTTAATAGCTAATCAAAATAACAATAACAATGCATCAAATAATCAATTAAATCAACAACAGATGCTAGCAGCTTTGATTGCCAAGCAACAGCAGCAATCAAGACAACCGCAGGCGTCACAACAACAGACTAATGCAGGTGGTATGACAGCCCAACAAATAGCTTCAAATCCACAATTAGCTGCTTTTTGGAGACAGCAGTTGTTAGCTCACCAACAAGCACAATTACAACAATCGAACCAGTCAAGTAATGGTGCAGGTTAGATTGTTACAATTGAGCAATAACCCTACAAACGCAAATTGAACGATAACTTTTTAATTTGAATTAAGAAATTTTTTGTATACCAAATTTATCGAAGACAGTAGTACATTAACGATGGAATAAATAAATTATGTGATTTTTTATGACAACTTACTTGCTGTTATTCTCAACAATTGTTCAAATGGTTTGGATAAATTTTGATCATCCTTTATAACAGATTGCCAAATTTGACCATGATGTGGTTCAGATTGTTTTGCATTATCTAAAACAGCTTGCGCATTTTCTTTTGTACCATCTTGTAATTCAAATTTATACCACCATGCCCAATGATCACCATTATCAGGATCAGCTTTACATGATTTACTTAACCATGATCTAGCTTTATCTTTTTTACCTTCCATCCAGAGAGTTCTTGCGACTGTAACGATTATAGTTGGATCATCTGTAACTTTACGTAAAGCATCAACAGATTTGGTTTTACGTGAAGGACGTGGTTCCATCCAAATTGCAATTGACCAGAGTATACCTGAGTTTGGACATTCTTGTAATGCCTTTGAAAGTAATGCCTTCGCTTGGTTTGCTGCATTAGCTCTTTCTTCAACTTTTATTGCTTCTGCCCAGAGTATATCAGAATTCTTTATCGTTAATCTAGCTTTTTCAAGTAATGCACGTGATCTAATAATTACACCCATCCTTTCTTCAAATTGTGATGCTAAAATCCATAATGGGACTGAATGAGGACATAATTTTAATCCAGTTGTGAATGTATCCCTTATTTCTTTATGTTGTGATTGATCAATTAAACCAACTTTTATCATATAGAGTTTATCAAATTTTGGATATTTTTCTATTGCTTGATTCACATATTCAAGTGCCTTCGCTTTATCACCATGTTGACGTTCAAATACCGCAGATTTCATCCATATCCTTTCAGTACCTGATTGTAGACGAGCTTTATTAAGCAACATTCTCGCATTCTTTATTTCTTTGTTCTCTGCTTCTAATTTCACGGCAGCTAACCAAACTGCTTCAGATGATGGGTTCGCGTTGAATGCATCACCCAGGACTTGTCTAGCGGCATTAACATCACCACCCAACCAGTGTTCTTTCGCCAACATGAGCCATAACACTTCAGCTTTTGGACAGTATTGTGTGGCTGTTTTGAGTATCTCAGTGAGACTCTTTCTAAAGTATTTTTGTTAAATTACTGTATCATTCAAAAAATCATTCTCACCTATCACCATGTTGTTTTTCTAATTCTGCAGCACGTCTCCAGAGTTTGCTACGTTCAGGGAAGACCTTCAGAGCGAACGCAATGACAGCTCTGGCCGTTTCGATAGATCCTCTATCTTCGAGGGCATCAGCGTCATCCATCCAGACAGCATACCTATCCTCTTCTTCAATTTCTTGATATACTGTTGCTTTGACGATAGCAGCGCATGTAAGTGGTGAACCTTCTTCTTCAACTTTTTCAGCTTCTTTAAGCCATTGTTCACGTGAGAGTAGTGCACCAGCAGATCTCAATGAACCAACACCATTGTTCATTAATTTGTCAATATCATTAGAGGATGCCCCAATTTGTTCTTGTAAACGTGAAGCAGCTATCCAAATTTCATGAGACGTTGGTATTGTCTTTCGAGCTTTATTTATAATCTTCTTCGCATTATCTGGTGTTTCTAATCTAGCTAATGCGAGCCATAATTCTACAGAAGATGGAATCAATTCAGTTGCACGAGCGAGTAATATTAAGGCATCCTGTGGATCATCCTCCATATTAACAGCTTCTTTCCAAAGTCTAACACTATTAGGTATATATTCTATTGCTTTCCTGAGTACTCTACGTTTTGACTTTGGGTCATTCTCCAAATCAACCGCTTTAAGCCAAATTTTTACAGATTGTGGTAGATGGCTGACGGCATTTGCGAGAATTACTCTAGCGTCTTGTGGTATATTCAAACGGGCAGCTTCAAGCCAAACGTCTTCAGATTTTGGACAATTGTCGCAACCTGCTGCTATCACCTTTCTGGCAACAGCCATTCTACCAGCTACTTCTTCGACTCTACCCGCTGCAATCCAACCAGGCGCGTGCTTTGGGTTGGTTTTAATGACACTCTCTAGCAAAGCCCGAGCCTTCTTGATATCACCAATTTCAGCGTCTGTTTTGAGTTGAACGGAATTCAAACCGGTGAGGTAGCCCTTTGGATCGACAGAGGTGGAGGTGCCAGAAGTGCCGGAGGTGCTTGCTGACGAACTAGCTGTATTAGTAGAGGAGGGTGAAGGAGTGGCATTACTAGTGCTACTGGCAGCACCACCGAGTTGATCAAGACGTAAAGAGAGTGATTTATCTCTCGCTTGACCAATTTCACGGAAGTCGGTAACTGTACCAGATGAGGCGGGTGTTGCAACACCCTTTTCATCATCAATCGATGTATTCACATCGTTTCTGTCCCTCGCACCTGCTAATACACTATCAGGTACAACGTAGGTTTTGCCATCATTACGAGTGTTATTCTTGCGTCGTTTACCCGTTATATTACCAGCCTCCGGGAGTGCACCCCATTCTTCCTCGCTGACTGTGGCTAAAGAACGCTTTAAATCTGAGAATTGAGTTTGTATTTTTGGATTAGCTGCTAGATAAGCTTCTTGTGCTTTCTTCTCTGATGCTTCCCTACGCGCTCTACCCTTCTCGTCCATCCGTTGATCAATCATGTCGTAAATCTTATCGGCTTCCTCATCATCCTTATCGTATACCGTACCCGCGAACAAACCAGTTTCATTCTCTGGATCTTGGAACTGATCAGGTTCAATTTCCTTAGACTGCAGATCAGATACGGCTTCCTCCATCGTACCAGCTTCTCTAGCAGGACCTATATCTGATCTAGTGGTGAAACCAGAGGCACTGAATGGCTTGTTAGTGGATGTGGTAGCAATTGATAGCGACGTACCCTCTACCCAAACCAGCGACGTATCCCGGAGGAGCTTGCATAGAAACTAAAGACGTGAGCAGTGAAGAGGTTGAGAATAGAATACCCACGGAATGCGAACTTGGACGCATTGTTCTTTAATGGATTTGTTCTACTCATGAGAGTGAGAGCGTGAGAGTGTGAGAGTGTGAGAGTGTAAGAGAAGACAATAGAACGGATAGAGAGTGTATAAATATATTTTAAATGTCTGATTAAATTATATAGCACCTTTATTAATAACAACGATGGGAAATCAAACAAGTGCGATAGACCAAACCTGGTTTCACGTCGTTAGAGTTAGAACAAATTCACCCGCCTATAAAGCGTCTATTGAGCCATTCTTCGATTTCATTACAAGCGCTAAACCATTAGGAATCAAAGGCGATTTCCCAGATAAACCACTTGAGGAAATCGTACAGGAGCACAAGAATACACCAATAAAACTAACGATCTGGTCGTCAAAGAGACAGTCTTACAGAGGTGAGTGCCTTAGTTCATCACATCATAGACCAACTTTAGCTTCCTAGACGTCGAAATTATACCCTCCATCGAATGGAACACAGATGGTAGCTTATTGGGACTCACTTTACGCGCTTGCGATGCTAATAAGGCGATTAATTCTGCTTTGGATAATGTCTGGCACATACTCGAAGTTATAGAAGGCAGCCCAGCAGAGTCTGCTGGATTGGTCCCGTACGGTGACTGGGTCATCGGTTGGCCAGGCGGCGTACTTAGACAGGAGAATGATTTCTATGATTTGGTCGAGATGGTGAGCCTCCCTCTCTTTCCCTTGAGATCGTCTACTAAAGCACAGACAGCACACAGATAAACCACTACGGTTGTATGTCTACTCTTTCGATTTCGATACCCTGAGAGAGGTTGTTTTGGTACCAAATAAGCAATGGGGTGGTGAAGGCTTGTTAGGATGTGAGTATTATGCCTTTCCAAAGAGACACTAATAACAACGCTCAGGTGGCGTTGGATTCGGGTTACTCCACCAAATACCAATCAGAGACGGTAATTGACTGGAAAGTGAAAACTGAAAAATTTCCAAAACACAAAAATCTTGTAAAAAAGCCATCGCCTTTAGACAATAACGTGCATGAATAAAAACAAAAGCCAGTGCTTGCCATTAAGCTTAGAGCAAACCAATACGGTTAGCGACGTCAAGAGCATCGTGATCTGGGGTCAATCTGATGAAAGCCTTCTTTGAAGCATCTGGACGGATGAGGGTGTTGACCTTAGCGGCGTCAACGTCGTATAACTTCTTAACAGCGTCCTTGATTTGACGCTTGTTAGCTCTTCTGTCAACCAAGAAGACCAAAGTGTTGTCATCTTCAACCTTCTTCATAGCAGCCTCAGTGTTAACTGGGAGTTGGATAACTTGATATTGATCAAGTTGGCCACGGGAAGGAATTGATTTGCGTGGGTACTTTGGATCTCTTGGGAGGCGAAGACTAGCGATTGTAAGTAAAGAAAGAGTATAGAGGGAATACCCACGTCTTTGGCTTGTAGAAGTGGACTTGAGTGCGGACCTTGCGGCTCTTGTTGGTTTGACCACCCTTGAGAGTTTGCTTACGAGCTGACAAAGCCTTGTTCGTAGTCTGGCTGGCGTTCTTAGCTGGCATTCTGTCCTATGGCTTATTTAGAATTTACTAGGCTTTTTTATTTTGATTTACCTCGTGAGCGTATCTGCACTAGCCTATGAGATTTTTTGAGAGACGCTTTTGAGAGACGATTTCAAGATAAAAAATTTATTTAAAGAGTAAACTGCTAATTAAATAATTCATTATTATTATCCATACAATACATTAAGTACATTATTTTATTCTCTCTTTCTGCTCCTCGAGAACGTCTTCTTCGGCCATCCCTCCCTCGTGTGTTTCGATAGTCTGTATTCTCTCTGTGCTGCTTTCTATGTATTACGGTCGCCCTTACTCAAGGATACACTACTTGAGGGTGAAATATCACGATTAGATGGACTGATGTCTCCAGTAGACATACTATCCTGCCGGGTAGAAGGGCTAACGTCACCTGTTCCTAGACTTATACCGTGGCTCTTTATACTAGCGTCTTGACTATTGGAGCTTATCCCCCGAGTACTTGAACTAGCCGGACGATCGTCATCACTTAGACCATCACTATCGCCGCCGAGACTTTCAAGTTCACTCGAATCGATATCACTCGTATGTACGCTTGAGACGCTCTCCATATCCTCTTCATCATCTTCCTCTTCTACGTCATCAAATACACCTTCCTTCTCGCAAAGCTCGTAAAGCATGTTAACCTCCTCCATTGTCCTGTCTGTCCCTCCATCCGTGTGCATAGGTTCGATAAGCCTCAAGGCTGACAATATACTCATGTAGTCATCGCCAAGTTTAGTCGGTATCCTATCAACACTGCCATCGTCTTCGCCTGATACTTCCATCTTGCTTTCTTCAAGATCATGCAACCATATGTTTAGATGCGCCATCTCACGTCTCGCTTTCTTGGTCGAATGCCATTCTTTTTCCTTTTGAGCCATGTTTTTCGCGATCTCACTCCTCGAAGTCTGTGTAGCTAGCAATTGCGCACGCAATTCCTTCTGTTGCGTTTTTGCTGCGCTTAGGCGAGCAAGTAATCCAATTACGTGGTAATAGCTTTGTACCTAACGAGCAAATCAGACGTGATTGGTTTTATGTAGACAATCGACTCACCTTTTTTACGAAACCGACCTCTAGGATACTCATCATATGCCTCAAATCGTGCATCATTGTTCTTGACTGTGCCCGAGCGATAGCTTCTTCAATTTCATCTGTGACTATTTCCCAAACGACGTCAAGTTCATTAACGATTGTAAGAGACCTATTGATAGCTCTACCAGCTACATGTTTATGTTTCGCGTCAATCTCATCGATAAGCTCATCGACACCATCATTGGGAGGTGCAATCAGTGCTTTATATTCAAATATCTCATCTGGCACCTTTTTTCTATCGGAAGGCTCTTTAGCTGTCTGTCCTAGCTGTTCACCTTGACGTTTTCTTGAAAGTGGTAATATTGGTCTCTTGAATATATCCCGTGGTTTTGGAGGTCTTGGTTCACTCGTCTTTATTCTCCTAACCTTTGGTACCTCTCTAGCTGGCTCCTTTGGGCGTAATGCCAGCTCATCGAGCTCCTCAGGTGGTGTTGGCGGAGGAGCAACCTTGGGTGCTGATACACGAGGCCTCTTGTGAGACCTATCGAGTGACTTTGTTGCCTTTTTCTTCAGCCTGTTCATTTTCTGGGCTGATTCTGGAATGGTATCAAAGTCATCTTCATGTGAAGGCAATGGTGGAAGTGGTTTCTCGAGACTGCTTCTTTGTGCCCTCTCAACGCTGCTACTATCGCGCGTTGATTTCTCAAGACTGACATTACGTCCGAACTGTATCTGATTCTGCAATGAAAGACGCGTTTGCTCATTGCTACTTTGACTTTGTGCACTACCCGCGCGTCCCTCAATACTACCACTGTCATCCCTTCGGCTGTGACTGCTATCTGGGTGCCTAATACTCTCGCTACGGCGACTGCTTGGAGTATTCTTTGCTGTTGATTTCCTCAGACTTTGAGAAGCTTCTGAGGGGAATAGATCATGCTCTAACTGTTCATCACGCCTACTCGGTTGACTATCAGGAGCTCTACTTGATAGGGACACTGAACTGTCTTTACGCGCACCTGATAGTCTACTAACTCTACCCAAAGATGGACTACCAGTAGCTGGTGATTCACTATCACGGAAAACTGGTGAACCTTTCGTTGCACTGAGTTGACTGAAGAGCGAATTGAAAGCAGGGTTGACATCTGGTGGGGCTGCAAATGGCGATACCGCTGGCTCTTGTATAGCTGGTTTAGGAATGTTCAGCTTGAGTGGTGCTGACTTGTGTATTTCGCCACTTTCACGCGACAGTTAGTGAAATAGGACTAAAATGAATATCTACCTACCCTCTTTGTCGAATACGCTGCTCCTGATGGGCTTCACGCGCCGCTTTACTCCCTGCCGGTGCGTTATCCATTTTTGAGTTTATCGTTTAAATCACAGAAGCGCGTATCTCAGATATCGACTATCAAGAAAGAAAATAAAGAATGAGTTTACAAAATAAAGCAACAAGAAGATTATCAACTGTCGTTAGTCATTTAAGGGGCTATTCCACATCTAGTCCAAACCCTAGAGTAACCATATTTGGAGCCGGTTTGATGGGTGCCGGTATAGCACAATCAAGCGCTATGTCTGGCCATAAGGTAGTATTAGCAGATGTTAGCGATAAAGCAGTACAAAATGGCAGGGGAATCATCACAAAGGGTCTCACCAGAGTGGCCAAGAAACAGCACCCAACTGATCAAGCAGAACAGGATAACTTCACTAAGAGGATATTAGAGAATGTTCAACTCACAACAAACCCTGAATTAGCAGTTCAGGATGCTGATATCGTAATTGAGGTGTGTATAGACATATTCAACATCTACGTCATTTATCAACATAACAGGCTATTATTGAGAATGTACGCATAAAACAAGACCTCTTCGTTGCTATAGACAGTGTCGCGAAACCCTCGGCTGTGTTCGCTACAAACACCTCCTCACTCTCCGTTACTGAAATTGCATCACTCGTGAGTGAATCGCGTAAGAAAAACTTTGCTGGTCTTCACTTTTTCAATCCTGTCCCTCAGATGGCGCTCGTCGAGTTGATCAGCACACCCCTGACGTCATCCTCGACGAAGGCCATCTTGGAGAGCTTCATTGAGCGTCTATCGAAGAAAGCAGTAAGCTGTCAGGACACACCGGGTTTCATCGTTAATCGTCTTCTCGTACCTTATCTCCTTGAGGCTATCCGACTTGTTGAGCGCGGGGACGCGAGTGTACAGGATGTCGATAGCGCTATGATGCTCGGAGCTGGACATCCTATGGGTCCATTCCAACTTTGCGATTTCATTGGATTGGACACCCTTAAGCATATAATGGACGGCTGGAAAGAGAAAGCTAATGGTAGCCAAGCTGATATCTCAGGAATTGAACCTGCCTTGGTACAAAACATTGCACTCCTTGATGAGCTCGTTGCTGCTGGAAAGTATGGACGCAAGTCAGGTAAAGGATTTTACGAGTATTAAGGAATGTCGTAAGATGCTGTACTAGCGTATACGACGAGCATAATGAGATTACCATTGTATTACTTTTTCAATTGACGAAGCATTCATTCTTCATTCTTATCGACGATCATGTCATCATCACGTTTGCCAGCAAAACCAGCTACTGATAAGCCAAATATTACTCAACAACACAAAAGGAAATCAGCAGAATCTGTGACTAACGCACCAAACGTGAAGCTTTTCATTGGAAATATACCCCCTTCAGTTAATGAGTACACTCTGATAAAACATTTCAAAACATTCGGGAAGATAAAGAAATTGGACTATTTATATCATACAAGTGGCCCTTATGAGGGACGCCCCAGGGGATATGCATTTATAGAGTACGAGAGCCTGCTAGACGCAACAACAGCGAAAGAACTATCCCATAAGCGCGCATTTGATGGTAAACTTATCGTAGAGTATACCAAAAACACTGACAACACACCCATCAAACGTCGCAAAATACCATCCCCAGAATACACCATCCTGTCACTACAAAAGTCCTCGACAGTGAAGAAATCAACAGATAGTCGTATACAACAAATACAAGACAAGCTTGCAGAAATGGACAAAAAGTAATACAAAGAAAAGGGATCTAAGGATGTAAAAAATTTGATATCCAAACAGTCAACTTTATTGACTAGCGTCGAAAAGCATCTGACCTTTCGATTTACCACCTGCAGCAGCCTCCGGTGGTGGTGGAACATAAGCTTCTGATGGCAAGCCACTTTCGTCAACTTGTTCAGCAGCTTCGATGGTTGTGTATAACTTTTCAGCGATTTGTGGTGGAGGAATCCTACCGAGGAGGATATCTTTTGCTGGAATTGATGTACCATAGAATTGACTATTTGTGTCCTTTCTCTCCATGATTGCTGTGCCTTCTAAACTGACGCCAGCGAAGAGACCCCTTGACATTGAGTAAGAGAATAATGGAGAAGGGTCACTCAGGGCGGCTTGTACACCACCGCCAGTACCTATTGGACCTGCGGACGCGGAGATGTTACCACCGATCGTGAGATTTCCAGCATATGCGAAAGATTCTACCGCTTCTTTGGAGTTGAGCACGACTACGAAATCGGTGATATCTGCTCCAACTGCCAATCCCCATCCTATACCACCTGTAGCGATACAAGAAGGTGCAGACCAGGTTCCGTCGTCAAGGCGTGCGATGACGACACCAGATCCCGCTCTACCTGTAACGATAAATCCCGCTTTGACTATCCTAAATACAGCCAAACCTTTGGCTCTTTGGAGTACTGCTTTTGGTATGCTATTCAGCGCAGACGACGGATCATCAGGGTTGGCCAAAAATGATTTTAAAATGTCCGCACTTTTATCACACTCGCGTGGTAAACTAAAGTCTAGCTCTGGACGCTTAGCAATATCTCCGGCGAATGTTGTGGCTGAGTTGGCGCCTGTCTTAGCGAGGTTTAGACCTTGATTTGAGAATTTCTTAGCATTGTCACCGAACTATAGACTCTGTTAGGTGTATATTGCTGTAGTATAATATCTAATTACGCTTTTCAAGAAAGACATGACAGTTACGTTTTAAGAAGGTATGGGGTATTAGTAAAAGTACAATATACTGCAATAAATAGCTAACTAAGAGATTTCAACCTCCCACCAGCAACTTTATCTGGCCCGCGTCTCCTGATGACGCTGTCATATACGCATTCGATGCCTACATTTTGTTAGGTAGATATTCAACAAGCTACGTGATGCTTACCCCTCTTATTACACCTTTGGCAGGGTTTGCCGCCGAGGCACTTCAACTTCTGCTTTCTACATCCGGTACAAGCAAGTGGCTGTCTATTTGTCATTTGCGATGGCGTAGACGAGTTTGTGATATATTTGCTAGCAACCAATTGAGATTTTGATGATCCATCGGATGCTTCTTCTTCGTAAATTTCTTTGGTTGGTTTATGACAGGCTATATTGTCGAGTTTGAATACAAATAAATCTTTCTCCCCGTTTAGTTCTAAAATGCTCTTCTGATTTATTGTGAGACTACTGAGCGCCCGGGGTTCCAGCGTCGGCAGAGGTCCTGTCATCGACGTATACTTGAGACACCAGGACATCTCCCGGTCTTCGGTTGCAATTCAATTCAAAATAAAAAAATCTACAATAATTTAATTTTAAACTGCTTGAACTTTGTCGTTAGAAGGTTATCTATGTTGTTTATTATGATCTCTTCCAATTTTGGTATGTCTTGCAGTTTAGCTTTGCTACCGAGCTGTGATTGGCATTTTAGTATGAGATTGTAGTTTGAATGTAGAGATACAACCATATATCCACCCTCTATAGACATAGACACACACCCATTGAAGCGTATTAGTTTAATCGATATGTCTATTGGTATAGATGCCAGTCTTTCTCTTGGATAGTTTATTATGAATTTACTAGACGTCTCCACTAATAATTGATCGTTATAATCGAAATCAATTAGACATTCGCCCTTCTCTGTTATCCTCGCATTCGACAGTTGCGGGTATTTGTAGCCAATTTCAAAGTTATTGACCTCTATTCTGTCTAGCAATGGTATTGATCTCCTATTGAGCAAGTTTTCTATTATCTCTACCCCGTTGCTATCGAGGTATTCCCTATAAACTCCATAATACCCGCTCAAGAGACTATTTATCCACTCTACACTCTCATACTTGGTCTTATACTTGTATACATTCTCATCCAACCCTTCTCCTCTCTTCAGCTTCTTCTTTCTCTTCTTCTCGATAGCGACATCGACATCACTAAATATAAAGTACTTTATTATTAATATCAACAACAATATAACACTCGATTGTCCTATTAGCAATCCAACCGTGAAGGACAAATTCATCGTGGTGGATATTTGATAAGAAGGTGTATATCTTAAATCTCATATTTACAATTGTATAGTAGAGAGTGACTTCCCATCCCAGGCTTTCCCGCGACCAGTGAGTTCACCAGTGCCAAACTTGTCCTTCCAGGCATTTATGCCCCCTTTGAGGAAATACACACGATCTTTAGTGTCATTGTGAGCTCCAATGTGGTCTAGATGTTTATTCAACGCATCAGCAAACCATCCTGCACTTCTAGGACCCCTCCCTTGGCAAGAGTTGCAGTGGAATATGAACTTCTTGACGTTGTTGAGGGAATGTAACAGAGACGGTAATGTCGCTGGAAGTGATTGTGATGGAAGGTTGATAGCCCCTGGTATGATTTCACTCAAATCTGCTCTTCGAACGTCAATAACTACGAAATCAACACCTGGTGTGCCGCTCGAGTAGAGCCCTGCGAGCTCATCCACTGACATTTCCTTTACTGCTGTATTTGGCTCTCCATACGCATGCCACCAGTTTTTCGAATTGATGGGGTGTTCGTCTGTCATCTCTTGAACGTTGTTGGTATCGTCATTATTGTTGATAATACATCATTTAAAGGGGTATATGTAGTTAAAATATAAAAAGACAATTTAAGAACAAAAAGAAGATCCTAAATTTGTTGTTATTAACTTTGAAAATGCTTATGCGATGTCAGTCGGATGGCTGATTAATGGTAGCTGCAGTATGGTCCTGAGAGTAGCGCTTTTACGCTCGATTGATCAATGTCTATGATGCGTGTTTTTTAGAATTCCTCGTTATCTATGACTTGTTGATCTTTCTTCTATCGATTGTTTCAAGGTCTTCATATTGTGTGGTGTTTTCTTTTGAGACAGTCTTTCATTCAATCTGTTTCTAAAAGCGTTTTGTCACTTGCATCATCCATTATTTAGTCACCTTGGCCTATTTCAACAATTTCATCAGACGCTTTTCTTTGCATGTTCTTTTGGGTCTTCCATTGAACGTTCTGAACATAGATCTTTATTTATAATTGTTATGATCATTACAAGGCCTTAAACATGGTCATACGTTCTAATAATTTTATAGCGCATATATTTTATAACCTTTAAACATATTAAAACATGTTGAAAGTTGCGTCACAATAGGTTGCGAGAATATTTGCAGTTGCAATATTAGCCTACCAGGATAAGCAAAGATCTGTTTCTATGTACTCAAGCGTATGATATAAACAAGTAATCGCACTCCTGAAGGCACCGTCGAGTGTTACTGAAGAGTACCATTAGCCTTGACATCAATTTGATTACGCTCGCTGCATGTATTTCTCATAATAAGAAACCATCTTCAACTCTTCGTTCAATAATTTAATAAACATGTTAGTCATCAAAGTTATACAATTTGAATCATTTAGAAATCGATTGTAAAACGTGACATTTCACATTTTATCATCTGTTTTCGAAAAAAAGATCCGATTTTTTATAGAAAGCTGTGTATATTGGAAAGTTCTCAACTTTCCAAAAAGAACAAAAAGATTGGTTGTAGATTACCACTACTTCAGACGGGGCTCGAACCCGCAACCTTTGGATGGCCAGCTAATCTCGAATCCGAAGATCCTTCAATCATGCTAGAAGTCCAATACTCTACCATTGAGCCACTGAAGCGCCCGTTGCGCCATGACGTCACATCCTGATCCGTATATTTAGACATACATTATCTCAAAAATAATAATTTTGCTAATCAGCCGAAATAGGTGCTTCGTAATTTGTTCGGACTGCAAATGTATCACTGTGCCTTTTTCATTGTTTAATGAGCTCTATATGATGATATTTCGTAGTAACGAAAAGTTATCTCTACATCTTGCGTAGACAGCGTCTAAACGTCCTTAAATAGCTTTACACGACATTGTAATTTTTAACAGTATCTGTCGAATGTTTGTGTGCACCTCTGACCTTTGACTTGCCTTTACCAGGAGTATAGGTAAGGATACAAACTTTTACAGTAAGCTTGCGATTGTCAATGAATAAACAATTTTGATTATTTCTGATATTCATTCTTATATAATTTATAGATTTATGTATATATTTTATGTGATTATATATTCCGAATTATACCAGACGCCATATATTTCTGTTCTTTAATTGGTATACAAGTGCACTCTAATTTATACATGTTTTCCTACACATATCCCTATAATATTCTTTATGTAAGTTTCAAAATACTTCAACAGAACAAATGGTGTCCATCCAGATTATTATTGTTCTACAACTGGATGTAAGAACCAGCACCATGTCCCCCGGTCATCTTCCTCCTCAACAGGATCTGGGATAGGCTGATTGGCTTTTGTGACTATATCTACCCAAGAAGACCAATCCTCACTATCGTGTTCAAATCTTACTGAACCAACTGCAAAGCCCATCTGATGCAACCGATCAAAGCTGCCTTCAATAGCCAGTTTAACTACATCTCCATTAGCGGTGACATGACATGGAATCCCGTTTTTGACTTCAAAGGAGATACTAATATTATATAACAGCCCTTGATTATCTGTATAGTCTAACTTTCCCGCTTGGCACATTTTTTTCTTAGGTAAGCGATCATTAGCTGGATACACTTTGCGGGGGACGAGCAACTTAGCTATTTTAGCAACTGATGATATTGCGACAATTCCCCAACCACCTAAAGCATATATATGTGTGGCCATACGGCTAGCTCCTGATGTTTGCTCGGCTTGGGTCAAAGAATCACCACTATCATTGACTTCCAGAGAGCAATCATCTGAACAATCGTTCCAATCTGTTGTATTCCCAAATTTAGTAACTTCTTCGGATGTGGCTAAACACAAAGAAAATATTGAAACATAAAGAGTTATGAGTAATAAGACAGTGTAACGCATAAGATGTTGGTGATACACAAATAAGCTTTCGAAATATCAGGTAAAATTGTAATGATTAAGTTGCTATTTTGAGCACTTCTTGAAATTGAAATGTCTTTTATAAAGAAAAATATTTATTCTTAATTAGAAGACTTGTCGATTTTATCTGTATCAATTTTGAAATCAATTTTCCATTTGTAAGCGAGACCTTGGGTTATACAATCTTGTTATCGATACCGTAGAATTTTCACTTGGATATGTTTTGTATTTGTGTCTTGAGTTGTATTTTATGAGTAATCTTGCCGAGACGCATATTGAAGAGAAACTTGAAGTATAAACCCTATCTGTATCAAATTAATTGATGTCACAATTCTGTATTACAAATTGAATTTCATTGTATCTACGAGTGTAGCTTTTACTCATCAACTGGGTGTTTCGAAGTATTCGGATTTAGTGAATATTCTCGTCTGACACTTGATCGAATAATGCAGCATAAAGTTGGGGCCTTATTTGAAGGACTTGTTATAGGCAACATGACGTAGTTTGATTTGTCTCGGATTTTGATCATTGAATTTGAGCTGCTTATCATATCTGTTGATAAAACTGCCCCTGTTTTCTGTCTTTCTCAGAGATCTGGATGCAAGTTCCACACTCGTAATGTGAGGTTGTACATGGTTATCTGTATCTATCTTTTTAACGGTATGAACAGAACTTGAAACCGATGCGATAAGAAAATATATTAACTGTATTGGCCTCTTTTTGGAGTAACATGTTTATAGTTAACTTGGTGATTTGTTTGCTGTAACCTGGTAGCATCATTGATGTAATTTAAACTCAGATCAAGTTTGATATGAGCAGTATGGTAGTAATGTTACTCTCCAAAGTAACTGAAATAAAATTCTGTGGATATTTTTTAAGGTCTTGTATTTTCACCCTTCTTAATTTTCCATCATGACTTGTATTGTTTTGTCTGAGATGGTTCCCCCATGATTGATAATAGTTTCGGTCATTTATGGAATAAGCTTTATTTTTTTTATCAAAAAGGTTTAACAATGTATTTGATTTCGTCATCTCTAGCTCCTGTTTTAATGTAATACATGGGATAAAGCCTCAAAATCTATCAGTGTATTAAACCTACCCAGTTATAAACAACGCATAAAGGTAAAGTTCAAAGATCTAGCTACGATACTCTTGTTTATGAGATCCAACGTTTCCAGAGGAATCTTGCCAGCAATTGCTCTCAATTCATCGTGTTTCACTATTGGCTACTTGAAGCCTTGCCCACAAATCATTATTGAGATACAAACACCCAAACCAGCAGCAATAATTATGTATTCGTCGCTTTTGAATTTCTTTCTAATATTCCTGTAAACGGCACAACAGATATTAAAGCGCCAAATGCAGTTTGTACATAACCAGTAAAGCAAAGTCGGAAATTATGAGCTGCCCAGCCACAAGTTTTTGCCATACTCGAAACTCCTGCCAAAAATATCCACCACCAAACAAGAAAAAAGTATCAGAGTCAGGCCTAATTATCGCTAGAGCAGTTCCTATTGAAACCACTGTTAGTAGGATTGAGAAAGCTCTAGTTTTGAAATCTTCAGCGCGTATAGCTTGCATGATTCCTCCATTCTTTGTGTTGGTTTGAGTTCTTGAAGAAATTGGTTATTGTTTAAGAGAAGTATTATCGGATCTTATCAGGGAATGATATAGCGGACGTACCTAATATAGGGCCCAATCGCTAAGAGATTCTGGTGATCAGAGAATTTCATAGCCTTATTAACTTCAAGATGTAAATTATATCGTCAATATATATGTTGGGAGACCTATGAAAGTCTAAACAATATACATCTAAGCTAGAGCGACAAAGTGTGTGTGACATAGCTAAACGTTGTGCTTGAATTTTCAAAAATAGTAATCACATTGTCTTCGTATTTACAACTAATTCGCTGACCGACAATCTCAAGGAACTATAACATCGTCGTGAACTATGCAGTTTTGAATATTACCTGCATTGCACCATGCATCATGTTGTTGGTATGGATACGATTATGTTCCATACTGATAATTGATTCGTTTCTTTTACAGTACTTTATCTCTGAGAAATTTTCATGTCTCAATAATCTTTTTCCTTGTTCAGTTTCACAAAAATTTGTAGTAAATGGGATACGTTCGTATCAGAGTAATAGCTGATTTTGTATGTACAGTGTCAGTATCTGTATATATTTCGATATATACTGTTTCTTCCTGAACAACACCTTGATCACTGCAAGCAGGAAGTTATTAAATCTTCCTCACCGCAGCTGAAATCATCATGAGTTCGCTCATTTAAGATAAATTATTCGATATTCTTAATTGAATCTTTTTCCTCGTCTTTAAATGCAAATGTCTCGTTTCATTCGTGTCTTTTCAAAGACGTGAGAACTGTGAGCATTCGATGAAATACTAGTACTAGATTTGATTATAAAAGTCGGAAATTAGCGCTTTTTGTTACGTTCAAGCAGGGATAAAGTTCACCTCATCCCTAGTGGATGAACGCATAGATCGTACAGCCCTAATTAGTCAACATGTACTATGACAAGCACCAGAGTTATTATTTATTGTAATGCCAATTTAAAGCCCAACATAAAGCGATGGTGATTATAAAAGTACATTTTTGTTTATAGCTTGTTCTATATAAGTTGCGATATATCAAAATTATTATAGTCGCTATATAGAGGAGATTCATGTAATGACTCATAATTTGGACTGTGAGCTTCTTCTGGCTGGTTTTTACAAGAGAAACGGTCCTTCAAATGTTATTTACAAGCGCTCTTTTTTTTTAAAAAAAATTCGTTGATTTATGATTTCATGATGGAATTGAGATAGAGTGTCTCAATCACATAGGAGCTTATCTACGTTTACTATGCGAGAGTCTTCCTTATAATATGAAGATTTGATGGGACTGTTGAATTAGCTGGAAGCGTTACTCCACAAGCGTCATAATATGGATAGAATTTCTGATAAAAATGTTAATGATCATTACATAACGTATTTATATTTCACAACCAAAATATGACATGCTTCAACTTTACAAACCAACAAATCAGCTTCAATTAGTGTGCTACCAAAAAGTACTACATTGTTAGAGTTCATCTCTCCAATTATCAAGGAATTCATGAACACTTCGTGGTCTCTATCTTCAGCCCACAACTGTATATAAGCTTGCCAATCCCCTCCATTATCCATACCTCCACAAAAGACACCTGTATCAGCGTACTTATCTAATTGCGACACATCAGCACATCCTAAGACATAGTTATATACCTCGTCATAAGATAGTTGGGTATCAGAATGTCCTGGGGCAGTTTCGTAACGGTAATTCAAATACATCATATCTCTTTTACCACTTGGATCGGGATAAGAAATCTTAACTTTCCTAGACTTTACATTGCCGGCTTCGTCAAATGATAGATAAGAAGAAGGTTGTGTTGATTCTGAATCTTCCAGTATTCCGAATGTAGCATCTCCAACGCTATCCGTCAATAGACAAGTTTGTGGCTGTGAACAATCGTAGCCCGACACCACCGTCCAATCAGGAGACCCATCTCTTTTAATCGGTTGTTGATCGCCAAGCCACCAATGGATCCATTTGTTTTTGGCGGCCGTTGCAAAATCTGTTGCCATAGTAGCCCATAGAGGAAACACTATAGCTGCCAGGGGCATCCCCACAAAAAGTATGAAAGTGTTGACACGGAATGGTTCTGGATCATCCGGTCTCTGATAAACTGGTGACATTGAGTTAAATCCCAAAAAGCTTGGTTCGGTGTTGGTGCGAAGTTGAGCGCCTGGATCACTCAATATAGCTTCTTTATTACTTCCCAAAACTCCATTATCGTTTGGGAGTGATGAGGTCATTGCACCAGAACAGAAGACTGATCCAAAAAACATAAAGATATAACGTGAAAAATTCATATGAAAGATATAATTGTTGTATCGGTCTCAGTTTGTCGTTGTAGATGGTATGGTTTAATATGAACCAGTTATAACCACAAAATACAGACTTAAAACTTCTTTTTTTTTAAAAAAAAAATCGTATAATAATCCATACCTGCGCAAAGTCATTTCCGCTGTTTAAATCAGTGATGCCAAGACCAACACATTTTAGAGAAAAGAAACACTGATATCATTGCCCCATATTTGCAGAGATCAGAGGAGGTAATGTCAATCTATACATCAAAGAAGAAAAAAAAGAAGGTGATTATTTATTTTTAATCTGGGGAGTATAAATGGACTCAAGTTTCTACCTTCTTTGCTACTATGCCCATATTATGTTATAAGGTACTGTGGTGTGCTAAGCATACCAGGCCAAGTGATGTGTTTGCCGACACAACTGTTGTCTGGCCCAAAGGAAACTGCTGTTGGTGTGGTAGGAAGTATGAAGTATACAAGTAATCATAAAATTTACAAGTGCGGCCTAGAGAAGAGATGATATGACGATGGTACATTCAACCGTTTGTGGGATTGCTTTATTGCAACTGGAAACACTAGAAATCCCGATTATTACAAAGGATTCCATGGTCATAAAAGAATAATTAATAGCTAATTTAGTCGTCATTAAAATATTACCAAAAAGATTTAATTGGGCCGTATAAACGGCCAAAAAGCTGGTGAAACTGGGATTCGAACCCAGGACGGCTAAGCCATGTGAACTCAACACACAGCCGGGGTGGCTGAAATCACTTCTGATTGAAGCTATTTCTTAAGTCACACCGTATGGACCAGACTAACGCATTTCACCGCTGCGCCATCGAGGCATCTGACAGATGTCACCCCAATGATGGTGCAATTAAAGTAGCGTCAAATTCTCGTATAAAAATTGCCATCACGGAATGTCAGAATCTCGCACAGAGTATTTATATGTAGAAGACACATAATGGCAAGAATCACCTTGCGAAGAAAGATAACCAAGATCAACGTTCGGTTCGAATTAGGTCCAATGCTCAGGAACGCACAAGCTCTTCAAGCCCTTTACGAGTTTTTCAAACCACAATTGACTACGTACCCAAGATACTCCGGTGGTTCGGCGTAACCGAGAAAATTCCCGGACACGCAAATCATCAAGACATTTTACGACACTAGTCAAGAAACGCTTCCTACCAATTCAACATGCCATTCAAATCCTCATGCTTTAAGAAGTATTGATGGACGCAGTTTAACTTTGTATCGTCTTAACAATATATTTAGATTTCATCATCATCATCATTTTATGATGGACGATCATCATCGAAAATCGGACGATTTTGCCGGAGGGCATAAAAACCTGTCAGAATAACGATACAGGGCTGAACATACAGCATCATTTAACAACTAGGGACAGAAGGAATAAGAAGTTACATCAAGCACAAGAGGAACACTGCGACGCAGTACGATCAAGAGGACCATAGGCCCTAACCTATTCTAATCCAACTTGCAGAGCCCCTGTACATGCATCAATAAAAGCAGTAGCTGGTATCCTCTCAAATTCACAAGCACTCTTCGGATGGTTTTTTTTTTATATGTGTGATGAAAGTTGTTTAAAGTAATGGGAGTGTATCATCGTATTATTATTTGAGCTGGATCGAATATCAAGCTCATTGATAATACATCATTTACCCGCTTCACTTTTGAATGTAATCTATAGATTTCTGCAACATGTTGAGGGATTTTGTACATTTTCTGATGACGCGACCCTGAAACACATTATTTCATCTTCCATCTCTTGTTATTAGTGTAGATTGAGACTATTGTAAGACTGTAAATGTCAACCAGGCAAATTTAATTAATTCGTTACTTTTGCTTGCAAGTGGATGTTATTACGCGGGAGTATCTTATAAGACATTAACTGATGAACGGACAACGCGTAACACTATCGCAGAATTCACTGATACATCAAGTAACTATTAGCATTACTAATTAAGTTGTATTCATTTGATTAGTGTAAAAGCCACTTCAATGTCCAGTTTGAGGGTGTCTTTCAGTTACTAGCGAAGGACTTAAATGCACTCAATCATAGAGTGAACTATATTTTCAATCACAATGAGTATATTATGAAATAAAGCAAGTCATTAACACTGTCCATCAGAGTGCATTATCAAAATATTAATATTGCTGTATGTGTGACATCTATGACGTTTCGATAGCGAGAATGAGAGAAAAAATAGGATATGAAACAGATAAAACCATCAATTAATCATCACCAAATGCAGTAATTTCAGGGCTAAAAAAATTTGCTAACTGCGTATCTCTGATGATTTCGTCAGAGGGAGACGCTCTTCTGAGATATCATGTTATGAAGAGAAATAACGAGGAGGAGTATTTAGCGAAACTTCCAGAAGATAAGAAGCAAAAGAGAAAGGTTTACGGCCAACGCTATAGCTTGACGGATGAGGAATCCATCCGGAATGATTACAGTATGGCATACGTAAACCAACTAGTGAGACCACAAGATCAGATTATAAATCCACATAGAGAAGGTAGATTCGCTGAGTATCCACGGCAGAAGCAGCTACTCAAGCTGAAGGATAGTTTAGTAGAGGAGTACGCTTACCCACCGGTATACCTACCATTTGATTTGGTGGATGCTATACCGAAATCTCCAACAACACCCTCATCTTTATTTGACGCTATCGACATTGGTACCAAGTTTGACGTTATCATGATTGATCCACCGTTACCAAATTCACGATCATCGAAATTGGAAGGCAGACAGTGGACCTGGGATGCCTTGGCTACTCTTCCAATCAGGAACCTCTCCGCTGACCCTAGTTTCGTCTTTGTCTGGGTTGGTAGTGGAGGCGAAGACGGTCTCGAAAAGGGAAGAGAATTGCTTGCTAAGTGGGGCTTCCGGAGGGCCGAGGATATTATCTGGGTTGAAACTACTCCAGAGGGTCACAAGGAGGAGGACACAAGTGATGTCCCTGATAACCTCTTCAAACGCACAAAACAACACTGTTTGATGGGTATTAGAGGCACAGTGCGGCGTGCATTAGATTCACACTTTGTGAACTGCAATATAGATGTCGATACAATCATCGCAGAGTCAGCAAGTCGTAAGTAAGAGTAAAAAATCTGGTACTGTCTAACCCAGATATAGGTAAACCATCCGAGCTGATGGCACTTATAGAAACATTTTGTTTGGGTACCAGAAGATTATGCCTCTTCGGCGAACCAGAGAATGCTCGCAGAGGATGGCTTACCGTCGGCATGAAAGGATCTAATAATGAGACATATAGTCCACCAGAGGGTGTTGATATGTTTGACAGTAAGCAATGGTCAGAGCGTTTTCCAAATAACAAAGCAAATTTGGTTCCACTGACGCCTGAAATCGACAGCTTACGACCAAAATCACCGAATCGTTCAAACAACAATAGTAGGAATGGAACTCCGAAATCTGATCCCCGCACGCCCCCATTTGCGACACGTCCTGTGGGTTCTCCATATGGTACACCACCGAACATGCCATACAATCCACAATTTAACGCTCAAATGCGTTATCATATGCAACAGCAGATGCAGCAACAAATGCAACAACAAGTGCAGCTTCAAATACAAATGCAGTTGCAAATGCAGGCACAACAAGCTCACATGCAGATGTTTGGAGGCGGTAATCTTTACCAAGGTGTGCAAGCAGTACCACAAATGTATTATCCGCCAGTTAATACGACGGGAACGATCTATCCATTGTCACCGCAAATGCCGATAAGTTTAGGATTTGACGGGAACACGAACAATAGAAGACACGCAAAGACGCCATCAAACAGCAATCAGAACAATATAAATCGCAACAGGAACTAAATAGTTTTTTCTCTTATTTGTATTAACGTGTATTTGTATTACTATCCTCTTTACGGTGTTCATCGATGGCATCCCCAGTACAAGAAGATAAGCCGTGAGTTGAGAGTCTAGGGGAAAAGAAATATAAGTTTAAATGCGTCTTATAGTAAACCAAGAGCAGCTGTTACTGCTGCTGCGCGAAGAGTGCCTCCGTCTGGGGCTTCTACACCATCAACAGTCAGGAAAGTTGCCCCATCGAGTACTACAGTAAAGCGACCAGTTCCTACAACTCGCTCATCCACAGGGACAGCACCAGGAACGACACCAATCAATAGAACAACAGTTAGCGGGCGTGCGTCAGTCTCAGCAGCAGGAAGACCATCTCCAACAGCCACGAGAACAACGGGTGTGGGTGGAGCACCAGCTAATAGACCATCATCGCGTCTTTCTACTGCTGGTGCACCTTCACCTACGACCAGACCACCTGCACGTAGACCGTCAGTTTCACAAGATATACCATCACGTCCGGGATCATCCATAGGTGGGCGTCCTAGTACTGCGCGTGCTATACCTGCATCTGAGAAGATCGCACAACTCAACGCACAAATTGAGTCCCTAAATAACCAAATTGAAGAACTCCAGAATGCTAATGGGGGTGACAAAGATGCCCGTATTGCAGAACTTGAGAAACTCTTAGAAGAAAACAATAATGGCGATATTGAAACTCTTAGGAGTGAGAAATTGGCAGCTGAAGAGCGCATAGCTGAGCTTGAGAAGGTTACCAACGAGAATGCGGAGGTTGTTTCACTCAAGGAACAACTCGAAGCTGCTGAAGCACATAATAACGACATACAAGCCAAATTGGACCACGAATATCAATTGGCGGAAGAACGCAGCAAGTCGATCGAAGAATTGAATGAAAAAGCAGAAAATGGTGACTCAGATGAGCGCATAAGAGAACTTGAAGCCAATGTTACGGCCCTTCAAGAGCAGCTCCAGCAGCAAGAAGAATCGTCTGGCGACAATGATGCAGCGCAGTTGCGCATCAAAGAGTTGGAAGATCGTGTAGCTTCATTTGAAGAACAATCTAAGCAACTTGAGCTTCATTCTGCTGAATACGACACTAGTCAGTTGCAAATCAAGGAGTTGCAAGAAAGTTTAGCTGCAACTAACGAACAACTGGAGCAACAGACAGCAATTTCCGGAGATCAGGATGCAGCACAGTCGCGTATTAAAGAATTAGAAGGAAGTATTGCTGGGTTAGAAACTGAACGTCAGACTCATCAATCACTTGCTGGTGACCACGACACTGCCCAATTACGTATTAAGGAATTGGAGGAGAGGATCTCTGGATTTGATACTGAGCGTCAAGCTCATCAGTCACTCGCGGGTGACCATGAAGCTGCCAAATTACGACTCAAGGAGTTAGAAGAAAGTCTTCAACAACACCAATCACTCTCTGGTGATCACGACGCTGCTCAGTTGCGTATCAAGGAGTTAGAGGAAAGTGTAGCATCTGCCAACCAACAATACGAACAGCAGAAAGCACTTTCTAGTGATCATGATGTCGCTCAATCGCGTATCAAAGAGTTAGAAGAAAGTATGACTGGATTTGAGACCGATCGTCAAGCTCACCAATCACTCGCTGGTGAGCATGAAGCTGCCCAATTACGACTCAAGGAGTTAGAAGAAAGTCTCCAACAACATCAATCACGTTCTGGTGATCATGACGCTGCCCAATTACGCATTAAGGAATTGGAAGATAAAATGTCTAACCTCGAAGAGCAAGCCAAGATACATGAAACTCGCTCAGCTGAACATGATGCCGCTCAATTACAGATCAAAGGATTACAAGATAGCGTAATTGCATTTGAAGAGCAAATGAAACAACATGAGGCACTTACTGGTGATTATGAAGCAGCTCAATCGCAACTTAAAGAATTGCAAAGCAATGCAGCTAGCCTTGAAGAACAACTTAAACAAAATGAAGCCCTTTTAGGGGAGCATGACGCTGCTCAATCGCGTATCAAAGAGTTGGAAGAAAGTATCACTGGATTCGAGACTGATCGTCAAGCTCATCAGTCACTCGCGGGTGACCATGAAGCTGCCAAATTACGACTCAAGGAGTTAGAAGAAAGTCTTCAACAACACCAATCACTCTCTGGTGATCACGACGCTGCTCAATTACGTATTAAGGAGTTAGAGGCAAAGTCAGCTGCCTTTGAGGAGCAAATCCAGCAACACGAAGTACTTTCAGGGGAGCATGATATTGCTCAATCGCGCATCAAAGAATTGGAAGCACATGTAGCTAATTTCGGAGAGCAAATCAGTCATCACGAGTCACGTTCTGCTGAGCATGACGCGGCACAGGCAGAAGTTAAGGAATTACAGGACAAGTTGACTGCCCTCGAAGAGCAAATCAAGCACCATGAATCACTTTCAGGGGAGCATGACGATGCTCAATTGCAAATCAAAGAGTTACAAGCTAGCATAGCTGCATTTGAAATTGAGCGCCAAACCCATCAATCACTTTCCAATGATCACGATGCTGCACAGTTACGTGTTAAGGAATTAGAGGATAATATCGCTGGATTTGAGACTGAACGTCAAACACATCAAACGCTTTCTGGCGATCACGACGCTGCTCAGTTGCGTATTAAGGAGTTAGAGGATAGCATTGCTGGATTTGAGACTGAGCGTCAAACATATCAGTCGCTCTCCGGCGATCACGATGCTTCTCAATCATACATCAAGGAGTTGCAGGAAAAAATAGCATCCTTTGAAGAACAAATAAGTAAACAAGATAGCTATACAACCACCCTTAAGAGTCAGCATGAGGAGCAACTTCGTGAAATGGAGAAAGGCACCACGTCTGTAACCGAATTAGAGAAGAAGCTCGAAGACGCGCAATCTGAATCCCAAGAGTATCAACAAAAGTTACAAGGATACGCTGACAACGTTACCCAATTAGACGCACAATTGAAAGCGATCACACTTGAGAAAGACACCCTTACGGAACAAGTACATACCCTTAACGAGACAATATCAACGAATTCAACATCAGCAGAGCTCATACAGTCACTTGAAACGCAATTATCCGAGAAGAATGCCCAAGTAGAGGCAAATGCCAGTGAAGTAGCCAGTTTGCAACTACAATTAGAGGAGTTGCCATCATTTGTGCAACGTATTAGCCAACTCGAGAAGCAAATTGAGGAGGCAAACAAAGGTAGTGCCGAACACCTTCGTGAATATGAAACGAAGATGAAAGGAATGCATTCAAATGAAGGTATGTGTTAGTATAATCAGCAGTCACCGTCTAATACCACTTTATAGAAGTCAGCCGTCTTAAATCTGAAATCGAAGCACTCCACGAGTCGGCTCAAGCATCAGTTATGCAAATATCCGCTGCCCACAGTCGTAAGTGAATTGCGCTTTATGATAACACATTTTAACACCACTTTAGACAAAGAATCTATCGAAAGTATGTTAGGAGAATCGCGCTCAAAGACTATGGACTTGATGTCTGAACTCGAGTCAATGAAAGCTGTTCAAAGGAGTATGGCAGATGCGACTGCTGGTCTTAACGATGAATTGAATGCCAGGAACTACAAAATGCAAGAATTAACGAACAACTTTGACGCAGCATTGAAGAGAATGAGACAAGCGGAGACTGAAGTAGGCGATCTTCGTAAGGCACTCTCTAGTGAGCGCGAAGGTAGACTCTCCACGGAAGCAAAATTGAAGCAGGTGAACGACCAGTCTGTTTTCAACAATGGAAACATTTCCACCGAGGCCTTACACAAAGCGCACAACAGTAAGATTGCAGAACTCGAGCGCAGTTATGAGCAGATGATACAGGCTATGCAGGAAGAGTCAAGAATGATGAAGGGACAACTCGAATCGAATGAACTTGAGTTGTCTTTCGCTGCATCCGAGAGAGAAGAGCTCGAAAGTGAATTAAGAAGGAAGTGATTTTGTAGAAAGTTAATAAATTAGGTTTTTCTTTATCTACGGATAAGGAGGTAGATGTCCTCACCGACGCTGATATCGGTGAGGTATCTGACGTGACCAGTGATGGCTAACAAGAGACCACCGAACGAGATGTAGGCTGTGCTGTAGTACCCTTATCAGTTTGTCTTCCCGTCTGTGTTAATCAAACATACGCAATTTCTTGCTTGCCTTCGTCGAATTTGTAGACTTTTCCAAAGCAAACGTATTCATAATCTGCTGCTAAACCCTCATTTCCCATACCCTAGGGTGTTCGTCAGATTGTTCTGTTGTAGCAGATATGCAGACATACGGGCCTCCATCCAGAAGTACCATTATCGGATGATAAGCTAGTTGAAAGCGCCAAAGTAAACTTCTCATTCTGTGATAGACTGAATATTTCAATTGGTAGATCGATTATGCAGTTTAAATTTGGCGTCGTTGATATAGCGCCTACTCTAGCGACTGACGAGGCTATTAGAGGCGTCTACAGATTGCCATATCACCCACCTCTATCAAATTTCTTACCATCCTTGTCTATGCTGTCTACTGTGAACAGATGGTCGAATACGATCGAAGTAGACATGGTTGTAATAGAGAGAGGTGTGCTTGAAGAGAATATCCTCTGTCGTTTGCTATAAATTACTAATAAACAAACTCATATACCTTCTCGACCGTTGTTTAGGACTATCATCCATGCCATTCTGTTCTCGTTGCGGTGATATTTGCAAACCGGGCGATAAGTGTAAGAAGTGTGGTGGTAGCGCAGTCAGTGAGTATTTATACACCCAATAGACCGTGTATTCTAATTCTCCCAGGCGGACAAGTGAAATGGCCAGCAGAATCAAAAAAGTCAGACAGTTGGATAAGAACCTACGTTAAAGCATCTAATAGAAAGGATGTATTTACAAATCACACGGAGGCACCAAAAAAGGAGCACATTGAATGTCCCTCTTCACCCTTATTGGAAACTGCCGATGGTACACTTACAAAACTCGTAGGAAGTGTTTTGTCGCCGGAGACACCACTCACTCACCCATTCTGTGAAAGCTGCGCTGTACGTTTTGCTCCAAATGCTACACTTTACATCCACCCTGATGACGACGCTGGAAGTCAACGCGCACGCGCGTATTGCTATCACTGCTTTGTCGCATACTTCTCTAAGGGGACGTGCGTTGTATGCTCAAAAGCTGTCTTGGGTGAGGTACGCGTTGAAGGGAAGTATGTTGAGACATCCGCTGGAATCTTCCACGCGAAGTGTTTTGAATGCGATGGTTGTGGTGTTGATCTCTCGAAGGATCCAATAGTAGATCTCTCTGGTTGGCCATGTTGCTCTGGTTGCTTTGATGGCAGCGTAGCACGTGCAGAAGCCCGTAGGAAGGGGGGAAAGCAACATCGTAAGACAACCTCATTCGATCCAGCGATACGGGGTCTCAATAACAGACTCGGATTGTCTGTCTCACCACAGACATCACCAAGCAGACGTAGTGGAAGACTCTCACAATTAGAGACAGATATGAGCGCTGTCAGTTTAAACTCCACGCCAGAGAAGGAGGGCAGTCTCGCTAGTCTTGCCGACGTCGCGTCCAAAACAAGTAAAGAGAGGAGACTCTCCGCTCGTGATATCGTCACAGGAAGGAGCTTCGAGGGTGTAACGAAATACGCAAGTCCACCGCCATCTCCACCGAAGAAACGTGATTCTATTGAGACATTCCCTCGTCCTTCACAAGTTCGCAGTCGGTCGCAATCAATTGATAACACTGACATCTGCAAATCTTGCAGATTGGAAATCACCACTACAATCGTGCGTGTACCAGGAGAAGGTGTTTTCCATTCCGCGTGTGTCAAGTGCGCACAATGTAACACACTCTTGGCTAATGAAGAAAGTGATAAAATGACAGTGATGAAAAGACCTTCAGATGGTAAACTAGTACATGTCGGTTGTCTCCCCGGTGGTGCTATGCCGGCATCTCCAAGTAAATCACCACTAAGGGCGACAAACGTGGCGAACGACATTAATACCTCGAGAAGCGTTTACAAAACTCCACCAAAGGGTGTCTCGAAGGCGCCAATTCACGCGACATTGACACCTTCCCCTAGCACGGCTGTGAAACCAGTTCCACGGACGACAAAGACGCCATCACCAACTAAGCAACAGAAAAGCATCTGGGCTACCCGTTCCTCGCCATTCTCAAGCTCAGCCTTTGGGGGTATGTCCAGTTGCCCCTCATGTGGGGACAAACTTACGCTTTTTGAATGCACACCTGGACCAGCGGGTACTAAATACCACAAAAAATGTCTGATATGTCGTGGCTGTTCGAAAGGTTTAGACAGTTTTGCAAAAGTCGATTTCGATGGCTACGTCTGGTGTCGTGGTTGTTTTGTGGGTAGACTATTTAGAAGAACAAACATGACGACTAACAAAGGAATTTATAGGATACTTATGTACCAAAGCCACGTCCAATGAGTTATTTATCTAGCTAACACCTCGGCTATGAAAATATATATATATATTATGTATAAAACTGTAATGTGATATTAGTTTAAAAATCCTTTACTAAAAGCTATCTTGCTTATTTTGGCTAACTTAGCTATATTAAATTAAGAATTCATCTAACTGAGTGTCACTAGAGTGCAAAACAGGACTATCATCAAAAGCATCACCTAATGCAGCGTATGGATTTGATGGATCATTGTTGTAGACATCTCCACCAGTGTTGGCTTCACTTAGAGGAGTGTATGCACCTGGTGTGACTGGTGATGTTGGAGAGTACATAGTCTGTGATGGACTTGGTGACATACTATCGATGATTGACATTCTTGAGATATCCGCTGCGAGGTTATGTCTCGCGGAACTATCAGATGGGTTGATGTTATCTACAACTGACACAGGGCGCATTGAAGTTGGCGATTGGGTTATGCCAACTGGTGATTCTTCCGTAGGATGCTCAGGAGATGGTACACTAGGTAAAGGTGTTGGATGGTCGTGTCTGGCAGCAGCTGCCTGAGCCGCTCTCCTAGAATATGAATCTAGCGCTGGTGAATCCGGAAGATAGCGTGGTTTAGCTCCACGGATGAACGCCGAAGGTTGCTTATGGTAGATAGAACTGAGTGAGCCAACTGTTGGACAATTAGAGTGTCACTATAAAATAAAAGAAACCCCCTACCATGAAGTAAAAGACTATCTAGCAAAGACCTATCCATCTTATCCACTTCGGTACTAATTGTTGGTTTACTAGACAAGATAATATCTTTTGCCGCATTCGGATCATTTGAGAGCAATCTCCAATACAAAAACGCACGATCTCTAAGGTCTGGGTTGTCAATATCTTGTGTCGCCCAATTCAACACCCTCGGTACCAAATCTTGACCCTGATGCGGCGTTTTTATGAAAAGCTTCACTGTTGCTGTTAGAAGTGAAAGTTGAACATCGCTTGTTTCATCGATAAAGTTCCATAAAAAGTCATCAAGGAGTTCATTACTGTTTGGTATTTTGTCTGCGCATTCACCGATAATCCAAATCATAGATGATTTTGCTTCAGAGTCAGTTATTGCATCCAAATTGGATGTTAAATCGGGTATATAGTTGTCGTATCTGTTTGGGTATTTTCTAAATATATCTCTAAAAACTATGATAACCTCCTGAGTGACATAAGTGATATCATTATTGAGGAGATCTAAAAGACTTCTAACGCAGGCATCACTAGCTGATTCAATTTTGATCGCTAGCCTACCAATTAACTTGATAGCTTTTTTGACGAAATCAACGTCAATTTCTGTTGCATATTCGACCAACTCTGTGAGAATTTCTTCATAGTTGTTTTGATTAGCCAAACGGTAAATTATTTCGAGCTTTGCGAGCTTGACGTAGATTGGGTCGAGGTATTTGACAAAAAAGACTTTGACGTCGTTCTTCAAAATGACGGGACGTCTTTGTATGATGAGGAGAACGTTACGTAAAGCGACATACTGAACCTCTGGTGGGGAGCTCAAGAGTGTAATAAGTGGTGGGGACAACTTGTTACAGTAGAAGTTGATAACGCTTTCGTCTTTTATGTAATTGAAAAGGTAGAGAATTATCTTTGTCGACGTCAAAACGACGGCGCTATTAGAGTGTTGCAATCTTGAGGAAATCCTCTCAACTAAAATAGTTGCGTCTTGAGAGTTTTCAGGGGTGAAGTGTAACAAAGACTCGAGGAGGTATATTTGACTCCATTCTGAACACTCGCCGAGTGAGCTGATTAGCCTGTTCGCTATTGTGATGTTTAATTTGAGTGAGATATTTGTTGATTTCTCTGCGATTTCGTTCAAAGCGGTTACAGAGTTTGCGACGACGGATGCGTTACTGTCAGCTAACAAATCACGGAGGTATCTAATCAAGCCTTCTTTCTCCACTAGCTGGGGGTTGTTGAACCAGATTTTTGCGACTGCAATGGCTGCAGTTTTACGAACATAAGGGTCAGCGTCCGATAGACAGTGACGTAGGGGGTCCAACAAAGATTGGCTAACGACGGGGAGGTGTATGTTCGACATTGTCCTCAAGCTGAGCGATCTAACGAGCGGATTCCTATCGGCGCAGTCGTTGAGAAGGTGGTTGATCGGGTGGTGTATGAGATCCTGCCTTTGCTTACCATAGGCGATCAAGTAGAAGTAGACAAGCTTCTTAACTTGTATGTCTTTTATAATGATATACTGCAAGACGTCTTTGAAGAGAGGAGACAAATCGTAGCCCATCGTGATATTCGTAAGGACTTTCTTTAAATTGAGCTTCAAATTCGCATAGTTTTTGTCTTTCCTTTTGTCGTTCAATTCATTTTTAAATTCCTGGATTTTTACTTTTTGGTAGAACTCCATTTGCTGCCTTCGATGTTTAACAGAGAGAAACAGCGATGGCTGAAGAACCGCCAGCGTCACCAAAATCAGCGAAATTCTTTATTCCAGAGGGCGTTTACTTTATAGAGGGCTATGGATATGGTTACTACGATCTAAACAACCAGTGGGTTTATTGGTACCCAAGTGACAGCGATTATTACGAGAGAGACACCGTCGAGAGCAAGGACAAGGAAAACGGCCGAGACTTCTTCGATGCTTTGTATACCAGCAGCCTCGATAGCCCAGCTGCACCACCGCAGCATCAGCAACAGCAGCTGCAACAACAACAACAACAGCAGCAACAGCCACAACAACAGCAAGAGCAAGATAGTACTCTACTTTCACATCCGCAACACACTCCCCAACAGCACGATTTGTTCGCTAATACTCCGCCCCACGATTCGTTTCAACTGGCCACACATCATCACTCATCCCAGCTCGATCACCCTTCACAGCATGAGACCCCTACTTTCTTACAACCACCAACTGATTCGGTGCAGCACCAGGATCTTCCATTCGACGCTCCTAACGCCGATGTATATCCCCCACCCCCAGCATTTTTAGAAGACGATCAGCCTCCCTTTTTGCAGCAAGAATGCTCCCCACAGCCAACTCAACAGGATCTTTACACTCCACAAGAGGTGCCCCAAGAGCCAATGTTTTTACAGGAAGCGTACACACCACAGCAGAGTCTTTATCCAACTCAGCCAATGGTCCCGCAGCAGCAATTACACGAAGACACAGCTCAGTTCGATCCTTATGTGCCATTACAGCAGGACTCACGTGAGATAACACATCAAGAGCAACATCAACTGAATCCTTATGGGCCACCGGTGGTAGAGCAACCAAAGCATAACGTGGAACCATACGCTCCACCACCACCGGTTATGCAACAAGCGTCACAGGCTAGAACCGAAAATGTAGGGCACGTAGAGGTTCACGAGGAGGTACATCACGTCGACGCTTATGCACCCCCAGTAGTCGAGAAAGCGGTACATCAGGATCCTTATGATCCACTGACGGTTGTACAGCCAGGTACATATGAGCAACCACAACAAGAGGTACATCAGGTAGATCCTTATGCCACAGCACCGGTTGTAGACCAGGCCGTGCAGGAACCGTCACAGCCAGAATTACAGCAAACGAATCCTTATGCCCCAGCACCAACTGTAGAACAGGTGCCGGAGCCATCACAGCCAGAGGTACAGCAGATGAACCCTTACGCACCACCACCAGCTGCACAGCAAGGCACCTATCAGATAGATCCATATGCTCCAGTGGAAGCGCCAGAAATACAACAAAAGGCGCCTCCGCAGCAGAACCCTTATGCGCCACAGCCACCCTCAATACAAAGAGATCCGTACTCCCCTCAACCAGCATCATTGCAACGGGAAGCACCTCAGTTGGATGTTTATTCCCCACCACCAGCGTCTCTGCATAAACAAGTGCCTACACAATTGTTACAAAGAGATCCATATTCACCACAGACACTTCAACAAGAGGACCTTTATGCACCACAGTCAAACTCTCTGAAGCAACAAGGTTCTCATTATACACCACCAGCGGCGCTCCAACAGGACCTCTATTCACCAAAATACCAGAAACAACCTAGTCTTCAATCACCACCATCAGTTCAACAAGGTTATCTTCCTGGTCCGCCTCCTCCAGCTACCCAGCATGCCGCTCAACAACCATCTCACATACCCCATGACAAACCTTCAAATGCACCAATCATTTCTTTCGGCTTTGGTGGTAAACTCGTCATTCACACTCCTTCAAGTGACAGCTTAGATTCACCATTCACTAATTCAGCTGTGAAGAGTACACCATCGAGTGTTGCTATATATAATCTATCTACGCTTTTACCACCAAACTTGGGTGCAAAATTTCCAGGTCCATTGTTAGGGAATACCCAAACGAAGAAAAATCAAGTGGTTGAGTACCTCGATGCTAGAATATCAGAAGAGGGATTCACGAACGACCAATCGAAGTTAACATTGTTGAGGGTGGTAAAAGTATTACTTCTCAACAATGGTGTTTTTAGGTGAGTGATGGAGTTTGCTATTATTCGCTATTAAACGCTCCTACAGTTCGAAAATCAGTCAAGAAATTCGCCAAGCGTTGTTGCCAGATTCCGAACCTCGAGAATCATCTCATAAGCGCGCTCCATCGGGTTTGCAAATAACAGTACCTGCAGATGAAACATCACCACATATCAAACCCTTCCCATCATCTCAAACGCCATATTTGGTCTCATCCGAGTTGAATGATGAAGGTGACTCTACAGTTGCAACGTATACTACAACATCCAAAGCGCTGAATATCTTACAAGAATTGCTCGTAAAGGGTCAAAAACGTGATGCAGTGTATTTCGCACTTGAGAACCAAATGTGGTCCCATGCGCTCATAATTTCAAGCTGTGTAGATAAAGAACTCTGGTCAGAGAGTGTTAATGCCCTTACAAGTCACGAACTGGGTGAAGGCTGGGATAGTTTACGTGTCGCTTACAATCTGTTCGCCGGTACGCTCAATAATAGTACACCAAGAGCTTCGAATTGGAACATGACTGCTGCAACCTTGGTATCAAATCTCGACAGTATGGATGCACAAATCGCATTGTCGAATTTGGGTGACAAGCTGATCAATGAGGGTGATATTCATGCTGGACATACCTGCTATTTGCTTGCAGCTGACACTCAAAAATTAAAATTACTTGGATATACAGGTGAAGGTAGTGATATTGATGCCTGTCGACTCACTGAGATACTCGAATATGCGTATAGCTTAAACCCACAACATAAGAAGGGCGATTACGTTGGTTTACCCCACTTACAAAGTCACAAATTGCTACATGCATGGGAATTGACAGAGTTGGATGAAATCAGCGATGCCAATAGGTGAGTTGTGTCATTTTAGAATACAACCTTACTGACAACATTAAAAGATACTGCGAAGCTATTGCAACTACGATAAAAATGTCAAAAGGCAGTCCTTACTATCATCCAGATTTGTTCATTGAGTTGAAGGAACTCTCAGATAGGCTCTCATCGAGGGGTGATAACAACGACAAGTCATGGATAACCAAGAAGATGGTAAGACCATCATTAGACACTTTGTGGAACAGCATGGAAGGTCGTTTAACGAAATTCATCGTTGGTAATGATGAAGATTCTCAAACACCAGTCGCAAAATCTAATGAAGCGGCTAAAGATGTCGGACCGTTCGCGCAGTTCACCAGCATCGATGAGTCCTCCACTAATGGTAAATTAAGCAGAGCGGCATCGGCTCTCGATTTACCAAATTGGAATGGTATTAGTGATAGAAGAGTCTCAGATAGCCCTGCATACCTCTCTCCTGAGATGGTGTACAGTCAGCCAAGAGCGGCTAGTGCCATGGGAGGATTAGCTGGTATGGATGGTAATGCTCCGGGTGCTTATGGACGAGGACCTCCTGTTAGTACAAGTAACAGTCTCAACAGTGGTGCTAGCTTCAATGAAGATATCACTCCTGTAGCCACTTCCTTTGGTGCAGCAACAGCGACAAATAAAATGCCACCACCACCACCACCACCAAGTGCTCTCAAATCTCCATTCGGTCATACAGATGTTCCTAGTGAGGACTTCAATGCTCCAGAAGAGATTGATGAAAATGAGGGTGGGAACTTCATCTCATTGATGGATTCAATGAGTGCACCAATAATACCTAGCGCAAACGGGACAGCTTACATGCCAACGAACAACAGAACGATCGACGAGATTGATGAACTTGACGAAGATGATGATCTAGGATTCGGCAACGACTCCACCAAGAAAGCGAAAGAAAAGAGAGACAAGGAATTGAAAGAGAAGGCTGCTGTAAACGGAGGAGGCTTCCAAGCGCCAGCACCAGACCAGGTAACCCAGCCAGGACAGAAAGGGCCGCAGCCATCCGCCCCACAACCACCACCTGCTCCTGCTTCGGGATGGTTCAGTAGATCGAACACGCCAGTACCAGAGGAGAAGAAGCCAGCAGAGAAGAGACCAGGTGGGTAGATAATACGTTTTTATTACTTTCTAACGTCATCCTCAGAGCTGAAACAGTCCGCTTCGTCAAGTTGGCTGAGTCGCTGGTGGAAGAAGGATGACCAGCAGGGTAATGGACCCGTGAAGGCAAAGCTTGGTGAGCAGTCGTCATTCTATTACGACCCTGCACAGAAGAGATGGGTGAACAAGAACTCTGATGCATCTTCTGGAAGTTCGCCAAAGATGCCGCCACCGCCTCCACGCGCAAACACCACATCGCCGGGCGTCGGTAGACCGCCTGCTGGACGCGGGAGTGCGCTGAAGAACAGCGTCAGTATGGACCTTAAAGGTGGGCTAAGCAGTAGTAGCGCTACGAGTGCACCACTGCCAGCGCGTTCACCAGTAGCGCCACCTGGGCCACCGGCAGGGCCGCCAACGAGACCGTCGAGTACGACGCCGGGACCTATGGCATCATCGACATCGCCTCCACCGCCAGGATCTGGACAGCCAACTGGACGGAAGGCTAAGAAAGGAGGGCGTCCAAAGTATGTAGCAGTAAATATTTAAATTCATTGTATTTTTTTATTTCTGGCGTTTGTCTTGCGATGTGATCTGAGCGTGTCCCATTTCTTAGGGAACGACGACGATAAAAAGAAAAAATAAGAGTTTGCAGGACAATTCTCTTAACAGACGCTCATTTATAATGCACAATATACGAGATAACCACAAGAGAATTCTTAAGAGGGGGGTGGTCCCTGCCAATGTACTACCACTCAGTTCACCCACCTACGCAGATACGCCAGTAGAGAGCCAGGGAGCCCAGACAGCCCAGGAAGCCCAGGCTGCAAATAACCCCTTAGAGGCCTCGTCAGCCGCCTCACCAGAGCCTTCTCCAGCCGTCTCTCCGCCCCCGGAGAACAACAGCCCTCAGAAGACACCACCAGCAAGCAATACGGCAGACAACACACCATCATCGTCATCCACACCATCTTCTTCTTCTACCCCGTCATCCTCATCCTCCCAATCATCCTCGCCATCAAGCCAGGATTCTAGCCCTTCGGTGTCATCAGATTCCAATACTGACGATCCAGTGTCATCCTCTGAAAAGGCTCCAAATAACTCAATCTCAAGCTCACCAGAGCATGCTAATGCAAGCTCTTCAAATGGAATCTCTGGTGGTGGTATAGCTGGTATTTGCGTCGGTATAGCCGCATTATTGGCCATCCTCGCCCTCATTTTGTTAGTAATAATGAAGAGACGCAAAAGACAGACAAAGACTCAACAAAGAAGCTCTAGAATGCAGTTCATGGGCAATAGAGCAGCTGTCGCACAGTCTAACGCTAGTTTCGGCGGTGGACCATTTGTAAACGATGAGAATGTTGCACAGCCAATTCCCCAGGTTCCAGTTGGAGCTGCACCTGGTGCTGCTGGAGATATCCCTGAACGCTCATCTACTTTCATACCTATGCCAGTGAGTGGAAAGTTTTCAAAGCCTACTTATTGTCTTACAATACCACAGATTGCTATCACACAAGGACAGGAAGCTACTGCTACTACTCAATTCGTACCAAGTCTCCCAGATGAAGTCATGCTCAGTCCAGGCGATAAAGTCAAGATAATAAAGGAATGGGATGACGGATGGTGCTCTATCCAACACCTCTCTAATGGCGTCGAGGGTGTCTGTCCTAAAGAAGTTCTCGGAGTGATGAGCCAAGCGGACGACTTTGCCGATACGCTCTCGGAATTCAACAAGAGAGAGTCACTTTACAATCCAAACGCGGATAAGAGAAGATCCTCGTCACTAGTGAACAGCCAACAGAAGCAGCAACTCGGAGAACTCCTTTAGGTTTTTTATACCACATGGAATGGACTTTTATTTGTATTTTCTTCAAAACACTCTTCTCTGACTTATTTTTTACCCTTATAAGTTGATTTTAAATATGCCTATCTTTTGTTTTACTTTTTCATAATACATACTCAGCTTTTCATTTCTTTTTATTTGTTTCACTTGTTTCACTTCTTCCGTCATCACGTCATATGTTAGGTGGGTGGCTTATCAGACGAGAGTGAGAATACTAATAGCGTAGTCGTTGGATTAACTGGAGGAATTTCGTTCGTTATTTTTTATAACGTCTACTATAGCTTATATACCCACAGTACAGGCAAATCAACAGTTTCGCAGAGACTACAAAATGAGCACAAGATAAAGGTTATAGACATGGATCTAGTCGCTAGACAAGTCGTAGAACCTGGTACGCCAGCACTTCACAAGATCGTCGAACGTTACGGTGAGAGAGTACTCAAATGGGATCCTCATACAAAGAAGAATGTTCTCGATAGACCTGCACTTGGTAGAATTTTATTTGCTGATAAATCCGAAAAGAAATGGATCGAGGGGGTTCTTCATCCTGTAATATTAAAAAAGACAGCATGGGAGGTAAGCAAGGCATATCAAAGGGTGTATAACATTAACGAATTATAGGTTTTAAAAGCTTATATCACACTCACACGTGTCGTCGTACTAGACGTGCCCTTATTATTTGAAGCAAGTTTACACAAGTATATTGGCATATCCACGCTCGTCTATTGCCCTCCGAGTGTACAACTGGAGCGACTGATGATAAGAGATGGCATTACCCATGAAGAAGCTGCCAATAAGGTTAAATCACAGATACCCATCGATGAAAAACTTCAGCTCTCCGATGAAATCATCTACAACGATAAGACTAAGCAAGATACATTCACTCGTATAGACGAAGTTGTAGAGGGATGGTATAGGCGGACGAGCTGGTGGTACATCGCTCAATGGGTTTGTCCTCCGTTAGCTGCGATACAAGCTGCTTGGATCATCTATAGTAGACGGCAAAGAGTTGTAAAAGTCAATAAATCAAAGTAAAAGACGATTTATTGTAATTTTAAATAGCAAATAGTTCTATGCATACTCCTCAATAAAGTTCTTCACTGTGTCTATCAACTTGAGCGTTGGTTTGCTACCCTCAAGCCCGCCTTCATAGTCGTGTTTGGCATCTGGCACAACTGTGCTTAGTTTGACACCACCTTTGCTTGAATCTTGCATGCGTTTTGCTAAGCTGTTCTTGTCAACATACTCCGGTACAAATTGATCTGCACCGCTAAATATCAGCGCAAGAGGTGTCTTAACTTTACTGAAATTCTCTTCGAATGTGCTCGATGGGAGTGTGCTTGTGAAATAATCATCTTGACCACTGTAGGCTTTCGGTCAGAAAAAGTAAATAAAAGTGGTTATGACCAACCCTTCCGCAAATAAAGAGAAAAATCTATACGCTGTGATGGGCGTAGCAAACCACTTACAGGCCTCTCTTGGCATGGCCTCCTCTTGACGACCCTCATCAATCATCTTGCGTGCAAGTGGAATGTATGACTTTATTGTGTCATCAATTGCTTCCCTATCACTTACAGGAGCCTGACAGATGGCTGCTTCCACGCCTTCTCTTTCACCATCCGAGATTAAATAGTGGAGAACATCTTGTGAGCCTGTACTGTGACCCATTATGACAACTTTCTTCTTACTACAAGGAGTGTCAGTAGGGAGACTCTAAAACGCGCAAGGAGTATTAAGGGGGTGGTTCTAAAGTCCATACCTCTTAATAATCCTACTCCTACGCCCACTCACCCCTGCTTGCGTAGTTCTGCGACTGCATTTGAGATTTCACTTACATCCCGGTCGAGTGAGCCATGAGCGAAACCATATCCAGATGACGAAGTTAATAATTGAGCTACACCCCATCCAGATGTCTTCAACGTTTCGCTGAGTGGTTCGACGTATGGCACACTGAGTAGTGTATTTGTGAGACCAGCGATGAAGACAAGAACTTTGTCAGACGATATATCACCACTGAGGAACATCGGCAGCGGTCCTATTCCGAGTTCATTTGGGTTGGCATATTGAATAAGCTTTCCGTCCATTGATGATGTAATCGTTGTTTTAAAAGGCAATACATAATCCTGTCTGACAGTAAAAAATAAAAAACTTTAAAATACTATTAATAAATAAATACATGATCAGGTTGGTGTTGGTATGACAGCATGCATCCCGTAGACTGCATCACGGACTGTGTAGTATATATCACCATCACCTATCAAACTCGACGTCATGTTTAATTCTCCCTTGCTGTTTTTAGAAATAGCAACCGCGCCTTCTTCACTGTTCATTTCATTCCAACAGACAAGCACACCTTCACCACCGAATTCCGCACTCAATCCTAATCCAACTAGTTTAGCCTTGAGGGATGTTAACTTCATATCACCAATGTAGAGCGACGTTGGCACATTTGCAGTAGTCTCTTGCGCAGCTGACGTAGCAACCTCAAATGTCGGCACGAGTGCTTCTTCGTGATAGGCCATTTTACCAATAGCGTGACCAACAACAAAGTCCTCAAACGGTGCCATATGTACGTTATTCACTAGGCTATCACCCAAGGTGAATGTGTAACTGTGAGTATGTTCACCAATCTTAATCGTCTCGCCCATGTTCGGTACGTAGATGTCCTTCGTCATGGCCGATATAGCCTCGAAGGCGTTGATGAGGGAGTTTGATGACGTTTGAGTGCCTCCTACGAGAATCTAAAAGAGTATTAGTTTGTAATATATGTGTTAGTTACGAACATACCATCTTCCTTGGATTCAACCGAGGCATAATGTTCTTTATAGCTCTGCTATCGTTGAGACCCTCCAAATCGATATACATAACCTGGCAGTTCACTCCAACTTCTACATTCTCGCTAATGTACTTCGATGGTGGTTCAAGAGGTGTTGCATCGGCTTCTTCCTCCATCTTTCTTCTCTTCGCCTCGTGTTCTTGATCTTGCTCGATGGCTTGTCTTTCTAGTTCCCTTCCTCTACTAACCCAACTCTCGGCATCAATTACCTCACCATAGCTGTCCATCTTGCGCTTTATATCGTTGAATGGAAACATTCTAAATCTTGGAGCAGACCCTTGTGCAGACTTGAAGAAAGACGTTGCACCTCTAGTTGAATGTCCTTTAAGGTAAATATCATAACTAATTTGCTGTAATCCATTACCATCTTCCTCCTTCTGTTGTTCTTCCTTTTCAACGACTTTATCGTCTTCATCTGAACTAGAGTCACCTTCGAAGTCATCCTCCTCATCGTCTTCCTCTTGTGCATCAGCTTCCATCATTCGGCGTCTTCGTGAGTCTGCCGCCTGTCTTGCAGCTTCTTGCTCCCTGTTTATACGCTCAGTGGCTTGATAGGCTTCTAATTCTTCACCAAGGAGGGGTACCTTGCTGTGCTCTGTTATTGGAATGTTCCAATCACCTTGCACGGCTTCACCGAGTTTACCACTACCCCATTTATCATTCTGCTTGCCGTTCCACCTATCGAAAAGGTCTCGGGCAAGAGAACCAGGTGCACCACGAGACGTCAGCACAATCGCATTACCTGGGTTATTTGAAAAACTATGGAATAACCTACGTGAACCGCCATACGACATCGAATACGGTACAGCGAGAACAAGTTTAGGCGTACCAGGATACGCCGCCTCAAGGGCATCGACAGATGTGAATATATTAAGCGTTTTGAAGTCAAGTACACCACGGTTCTCTTTGTACCTTCGTTCAGCCTCTTCGCGGGAGTTATCACCTGCTGCTGTGGCCCCACCAAAGAATTCCATTAATCCTCGAACGAATTTGAGCATATCAGTGCCAGTGTTGCTAATTAAACAAAGTGGTATCCTGAATGAAGGGTCCTTGTCCCGAATGTAGGTCCAATGTTGGTCTAACAAAACGAGTAGTTCTAAAATACGTGAAGTAGGATCGCATGGAAGGAGCAAGGAGTTTCCGCTCTGGAGGGTTCTATTTATTATGTCTACTGGGTGTTAGCTAGGTTGCAACAAAGATGTACTCTACACACCTAACAATGCTGCGTCTCTATCTTTACGCTTCGCATTGACGCAATCTCCACGCTCGCTGTCTGTAATAACTAATCCTGGTCTGACGAGCTGCTCATGGACTGTCAAACCTCCTTGATCGCCCCGTATGAGTGCCGTACCATCTAAATGCCTCTCTTTCATGTGATTTATGCCAACAGCATAGAGGATGGTGCCTACGGATGGTGCACGAATTTTCCAGAGCGTACCACCGAGGGTATGTCCAGACGAGTATGCTGTTATCGTCACACCACGTAACTTTCCGTATAAATGCTGAGGCTGATGGTATCGAACATCTTTGACGGATGTCCAGGCTGCTCTGTTTTCCTCTCGCGTCGGTACACACCAGAGCTCGTCGTCGTTGTGTAGCCCTTCGATATCACGTTCACCTCGCCAACCGATGATGTCTTCTAGAGTGCTCAACCTCGCGAGTTCTTTAACAGGAAGTGAGCAATAAGCAGGGCATTTTAAACCATAATGTGTGTAAGCGTAGGCGTAGAAACCGCTGTGTTTTGTAGAAGCGTGAGATAGCAGCACCAGATCGATTGTAGGTGCAATTCTAAATTTCTAGTGTGAGATTAACTCATTAGAAATATACTCGATACTCACTCCCGTAGTTTCTTCTCATAGTAGAATGCACTCTCATCATTTGCTTCCCAATCTCGTGAACCACAATCTAGCAATATTCTAGCGTCTTCTATTTCTAACAAATAGCAAAATGGTTCTCCGGTATTTCGTTCCTCTGTGTTAACCCTCCCTGAACCTGCAAGAGGTGTCACCGTGATAGCCATCTTGGTTGTAGAGATACAAGGTATTGATTAGAGATATAACAGTATAATATTTTAGTGATATGTTATTAGTTAATGTCCCTAGTTTATTGCTTCTTCACTATCTACCACGATGTGCTTCAACAATGATAGCGGTGTGTAGTTGAGAAGATACAATACAGTACAGTGTATTTTGATATACATACCATCATCATCGATAATAACTCTTATCTGAGTGCAACCGAGGAGACAAAGAAGGTTATCCTAAATGACATACAACGATTATCCTATTGTCTCCTATCGAGTCTATAGATCTCGTTCTATTAGGATAAGCACTGTTATTATATCATCAATTAGTAGCTCGTTGGTTCGATGCTTAACGTTCGTCTACGCACTACCCAGCTTATCGAACTACATAAGCCAATTCACGATCAGAATGAGTACAGCTTGTCGCAATAGTTGGTATATCCTGTCGCTCGATTTATAAGAAGATATTTTTACTATCTGACGCTTTAAGTCAATGTCCTCCTGGCGATGGACTGATGCTCCTGGCACGGTTAGATAAGAGAATATGCCACACTAGCTATGTGTATAGCCATATTTCCACTGTTCGGTGTCTTTCTTCTTATAAAGCCTTTCCGTGACACACTTTGACTTATTCTAAATAGATTCGTTCATAGGATCCGGCGAAGGAGCAAGGTGCAATGAGAGTAGTGATTGAATCGTTCAGTCTGACGTAGCCCCCTAGTAACATAGCAGGACATCCTTCCTCGCATCCCTCAATCTCGTTAGGTGAGATTAAGTGTGACCCATTGAAGTAAGTAGCACCGAGTATCGATTCTTGTTGATGACAACCGCGTAGAATTTTGTTCGCGTCGAAGTTTGGAATATCAGGTTTAGGGTGACTTTCTAAATACATGTTCGAGACCTGAAATGAAGAAGTTGGAAGAAGTTCGATGATTTTATACTTTTATATAAAATCTGCATCCTTTCGTTACGTTAATGTAATTGTCCGCATGTTGCCCTGGCTTAGTATAGTACCTGTGTGATGTTTTGAAACAAGTCACCGGATTAATAACATAAAATTATGAGAGTGAAGATGGTGTATCTACCTAAAGACGTGACAGGTATGGTAAAAAAACAGATATCGTTTCTAATAGTCGTCAACTCCTGGCCAAGGTGCTAATTCTGAATAATAAAGAAAGAGAATGTTGTTGTTCTTATATTTTCTTCATGTATAGACAATACACACAGAAGAACTGTTATAATATAGAGCATTTCCTACTTCCCATGATGCTCCAAGAAGATTACACTCTCCCCAGTAAAAAATATCAGCTGTCTTACTTTCATCTACATGGCTTATGCAGACGGATAGGACTACCATATTCTCATTGGTGATATCGTGGGTGATTTTGTAAGCTGTGGCACTCGCATGACCAATTTAATGAAAGCCGGGAGCCTGTTCTCTGTATGTGGCTTGATCATGACTAATCCATTGGTAACATGATACCTGAAATTACACTTGAAGACCCTTACTTAACCTGACGAGACAAGTGATGACCAGGCCATCATGGATAAAACTGGAAGTATCGAGAATGTTAACTTCAACAGACGAAACTTCTATAATAGTTATTTTTGCTAGTATTAACCTCATTTCTGGCTTTGGGTTTAAAAAAGTATTGATATGTTTGACAGCGCCAAGGTAGAAGATCTACTGGTTTGGATATTGAGAATGGTTTGTTTAGTTCTAATTCTGTTGGAGCCAAGGAGTTGTGTGAAGATCAGCACAGAAACGGAGTAGCTTACGCTAGCTTGTAAAAAGGCCAACTTTGTTGTTTTCGTTCTCGTGTTATATTGCCTTTGTGCAATGATGACATCACGTAAGATTGCTTCAACATCGACACATATGAATTCTAGGCATGTAACAAGAGAAGCCATAAAGTATGCTTCATCAGTTAATAGAAATTTTTGAACCAATTAAGGGAACATGTGGCTTTGCTGGTCCATCCTTGGAGACCTACAAATTTTACTGGCTCTGTCATCGTAAAAACTTATAGATCATCGTGATATTCCTCAGATAACGGGTTTAAGTATAACACAAATCAAAAGAGTATTTTACAGGTGATAATATATTAATACGAGTTTGATACGACTCAGTCTTATTTTCGTTAGTTGTATAGTGTTTAAAATGAATACAGGACACTGTTTTACTTTCGTAGATATATTTTCTATTAGACCTAAAATACTCAGACCTTGCTATTCTTCACAGAGCATTAAAAGTGAACACTTGTACTGTTAGAAGAGATAACAGGAGAAGATAAATGGACCAATTATGACTATGATTCATTGAAATTGCAGATGAAGACTCCCTATATGAAATTTGATCAAAACCTACTATACCGATACATTGTGTGATACCATTGTAGTGTCCATCAGAAGCTGCGTAACGGATTATGTTACCGTAGTCAGTTCCTTTACAAAACACATCGTCACATCCACCAGTTAGATTGTGACTTAAGATATGAGTACCATTGAATACATTTGGTCCATTTGCAGTCAATGCGCCAATGTCACGAAGAAAACATCTACCATCATCAATTGTATTTTCGAAATCAGGACGCTGACCTAGAAAATATGCTTTTGTCATTACCAGGAAAGTATTTCGAAGTTAAAGACGGCACGATCAAACTTGTAGGTCAAATAATAAAATGACGTTTATCACAGGTACATGTCGAATTTTTATTCGGCGGACATATCTGGGCAGACGCGGACAAACTTTTATTTGAGAACCTCAACTTTTGCACAGATGTGATTATTCAGAACCTTTTAAAGGTAATAAAAAAGCAGTTTCGTGAGATGATACAAAACCTTGATCGATTTTTGGGGTTCTTCCTTTTTGATCACGGTTACGTGTATTTATTAAAAATTAAATACTCAAAAATATTAGATTTTCCGATTTCAGGTTGAAGCGCTTGATTCATAATTGTCTGCATTATTTGAACTAATCTGTAATGTAACGTATTAGCGATGACAATGAGTATTTGTTAGGGCCAGGAACCGCTTTTAACATAACATCCCTGGCGTTATGCGTGTAGTAATATCTCGTCATATCCACCGGTACATATGCTGTAGTTACACCTTTAATTTATGCACTAGTGTATCGAACATTCATAAGTAAAAGTTTATCATTATTGTACAGAATGCTTGTTGAATTTCTTTTGTGACGAAGAAAAACAGCAACCAACCTCTTGTACATTTAAAAAAAATCTGTGAGCTAGTAAATCAGATAATAAAAATGAGAATATCTCCTAATTGTTCCGGGAGTTTAGCAGTAAGAACTTTAGCAAAATTAGATGCATGTTATAATATACGAAATATAGGGTAAACGACGAAAGCAAGACCAAGATAGTGAAGATCTGCAATAAGGCAAACTGACGTGTTTATGTGGGCGTACTTAAACATATCGGTACTACCTGTTGAACCAACCTTGGCTATGTCCCCCAAGAATAATTGCAGCACCACTCAGAACTGTAGTTGAAGCATCCACTAAACACCTCAATGATTCCGCTTCTGAACCAGCGCAACTGACGATCGTATCGCCTCCTTTGATTACAAAGACACCAGCACCCCATGTAGCCAACCAAAATCCCATATCACCAACCCATAGAGACATTACGACTGACGATAAAGCAATAATAAGACCTAAAGTGATTTTCGGAAATAGTAGCTGCTTTAAATGTGAGGTCATGATAGTTCAGATATACTTCCGATGGGCGATAAATAATTTCTCAACTACTTTTACTTGACCGATTTTATTTTTTTTCAGCTAATTAATCCCTGTTCCTGACGTCCGCTATACCTTCTGCAGTAGTAAAAATATTGCCAGTAATCTGGTGGATTGAAGTAAAAAACTGATAAACCCAGACAGGTGATTTTTCAGTTCAAATTTTTCAATATAAAAAGTCTTCTGCAAGGCAAATCTTGTCAGCGGACAAATAGGATCAATCAATTAAACCGAGGGTCCCTAATAACTACTAAATTGTATCATATTTAGATAGCTTATCATTTATTATATAAAAGAATACATTACATTAATACCATCGTATCATTGAAACTATTTGTTTTGAATATAGGCCCAATGAAGTAGTCGTAATTGTCATCATATTTTTGAGACCTATCAATGCTCGTTGTATAGCAAAAATGGTACTCTATGACCTGGAGAATTCTTTAAATAAAATGACCTTACTTAGTTGCGCTAACTTCATTTACTGGAGCTTGAAACACTGGTATCATATAATTGGGGCATGGTCTCTGTCGTTCAATTAAAGCCAAGTTGTCGTTCCTTACGTTTGTCAGCATACCCTTTATAGTACGTTGCCCCGTTACGAAATGGCCAGTTATTACTAAATGTAATCCAAGTAATAACAAACCCATCTTCGAAGGTTCCTTTGGTATCACACATGAGGAATGCGCCAAATACAAACGCCCACGATATTGCTGTGATGATGTATATAAGTTTGACATTGATGTCTAACCAATATAATACATTGAAAATTTTACCAATTATACGTTATTTGTTGCTTTCTGCAACAAGCATGCCAAGTGAGAACAATTCGTGTATCCTTACAAGGGGTTTTTTTTTACCTTGAGACTTTTTATTTCACTCAGTATTCTTAAAAAGCATCGATTCTTAAGGTATAATTTAAATTATCCCATAACAAGGCTAAAAGAATCCGACTAATAAAATAAAAGAATGGTTAATTTATTTGTAGCCGATCACGGTCCTTTTCAGCGGACAAGTAGAATCAACTAATGAACTGATTGTCCTTAGTAACTGTTATTTTGTATTGTTTCTAGATAAAAGCAGCTAAACTGTTCGCTAAAAGGTAAACCGAAGTAATCGTATAAATGCTTATCATATTAATTTAATGGTTGTAAAAAGCAGATTCCTTCAAAGCACCTGTGAATATTGGTAGGCTAACTTAGAAACTAACATTAACCAAAAATAACTATAGCATGGGAGCAACATGGTATGACGAAATCGCCAGAATGGTTCTATCCTTAATTAAAAATGGGATTAAGAATGGTCAAAGAATCAAAAGTGGTATAATTTTGCGTTTAGTCTCTGTCATATTGGAGTGTCATACATTAGCATCCGGACTTGAATAAGATTGTCTTAATTTTTTGTACTGGATAAAAATTTAAAACAACAGCTTTGTGTTAAATTGTGATGAAACAGCTACTAAAAAATCCTTACAGCTATGGGGTCTTTTGGTACTAGCAATTAAAAGTTGTAAGTGACTTATGTCACATTTAAAGTTTGGCATAATGCAATGAGTGAAGGCTACCTCCAGTAAACAATTCCAGAATATCATGTCCTGTACATACATGGTTTAAAATGAATATCATCATGTCAATAGATCTACAGTAATTGAAGACTCTTTAGTGTGTTACGAAGCGCACGTGAAAATTTTTCGATGATCATATCAACCTCTTCTTTGCTGACATTAAAGGGTGGAGCAATTGAAGTGTAATCTCCGATGCCCGAAAATGATAAATCGTCATTGGGAGGTGTTCCAGGCACAGCGACAGCCTGTTTAGGTTACAAGAGGTAGTATGGAAGCATATTATCCACTTACCAGGAGATTTTCTTGATAACAAAAAATAGGAAAGAAGCCAGCTATTTTGCCTACGAACTCAAGACTAAATTCTATACCCCAGAGAGTACCACCACCTAGAATATTAATTAGTTTGTGCCTTATAGGTAAACTCAACTATTACCGCGTATGTCAGCAACAAAAGGTGCCAAATCAGAATCTTTCAAACTTAATTTCAATTTCTTTTCGATATAAGGACCTATTGCATTAACATTCTCAAGGAGGTTCTCCGATTTGATTAACCTTTGAACCGCCAGCGCAGCTGTACACGAAAGAATATGATTTGAGTAAGTATGACCATGCCTTAGCCAGTTGCCATTGATTTTAATGCCATCAGAAACTTTCTGACTAAAAAGCAGAGCAGCTATAGGTGCGTAGCCACCACCGAGACATTTTCCTATGGTCTGTAAATCAGGCCTTACAGCCCTATCTTTTCCCCCTAAACTTTGCCAAGCGTGGGTTGTACCAAGTCTCCCCTGTCCACACAGAACTTCGTCGTAGATCAAGAGTGCGCCATATTTATCGCAAATTTTACGCACTCCTTCAAAATAGCCATCGGGAGCCTTTACTATACCCAATCCGGCACCAGCAATTGGCTCCGCAATGAATGCACAAACTGTATCAGGTCCAAGCTCTTGAAACTTATCGTCCAATTCCCGAATCAGTGATGCTACATAGGCTGCATCACCACCAGCTTTGGCGGCGTTGCGGAACGGATACACTGCAGAGACTCTATGGAAGTGCTCTTTATCGTAGAGATCATTGAATGGTGCGGTATAAGGGTTACCACCAGTGAGTGATAACGTCGAAATTGTATCGCCGTGATAAGACCGTTCACGTGCTATGAATTTTACTCTTTGTGGCTCATTCTTTTGGAAGAAGTATTGTTTAGTGACTTTCATTGCTGCTTCTACACTTTCTGATCCACCATTGTAAAATGTTGCAGCGTTAAATGCACCATCACTGTCCTCCACCAATAGTTTTGCAAGCTCTTCAGCTGGCGAGTTTGATACGCTCATACTCCATAAGAATGTCAGTTTTCCGATTTGCTCTTCGATAGCACGGATTACAGTTGGATGACAATGTCCTACCGCTGTCACTAGCGCACCTCTATAGGTAGAAATTAGACTAAGTCTTTGAAAGAATGTGCTGACATACCCACAAGCATCGATGAATACATTTCCGTCTTCTAGTGTGATATAAATTCCTTTGGCCTCTCTGGCAATAGGAGGTTGGATTGGGATTCTGTGTAAAATTGAACTTGTCATAGCTATAATGATTACTAGAGTGTTTAAAAAAGACCTATCACGCTTTAAGTACTATCGGTTGGTTCCTTGAAATTTTTTATGGATTCGCATAATGATGCGGTACTATCTCTAGAATACCCTCATTTTAAACTTAAATTCAAGTGGTCCGCAACTTAGCTGTAGTTTCTAGATCTTGCGTCCTCAACGGTAGAGCGTGATTGAAACCGCCCTAGTGGGGTTCCTGCAGTGAAGAACCTTAATAACTACTGGTAAACCATAAACTGCACAGCATTCAGGTATCAGAATGCATATTGTCAACGTAGGCGGAATTAACGTGATTCTATTGCACATCCATCGTATCGTTTACCCTTGAAATTTCTCTAAACATTCTCCTTGACTAGTTTGATAATACCTTCAACCAATGTTACAAAACTTGGCACTGTTATTAATCAGTATTGCTTGCATTATACCAATTAATGTTTTATGGCAATTGGTAAGAGCATAGCTGAAAATTTATAAATCTAACTGTATTTCATCTTAGCTACCAAAGAAAAACACTTCTGCACCACCACTAGTGTTTCATTGGCTGCCTTTCATTGGATCAGCATTAGATTACGCAATCGACCCTCTTGAGTTCTATAGGTAAATGTGCATTTCATGAAAATACACAATAAACCTGACAAAGTGATTAGACGTAACCAAGAGAGGTATGGTGATGTATTCACGTTTATCCTCTTGGGTAGACCGATGACGGTAGTTCTTGGAACGAAAGGAAATAAAGCTTTATTTGCTTCAAGCGCTACTAAACTGTCAGCAAGCGAAGCGTACACAAATTTGACCTCACCAGTATTTGGTAGCGGTGTTGTGTATGATTGTAGCCACTCAACATTTATGTCTCAGAAGAAGTTTATCAGATCAGGATTGAGCGTTACACAATTTAGAGCATACGTTAGTATGATAGTTGATGAGGTGGAACTATTCATGAAGAATAATTTGAATGGTCTATCAGAGGGGAAGATACCTGCATTTGAAACACTAGCACAGTTAACACTCCTTACATCAGCAAAAACACTTCAAGGACACGAAGTCAGAAAGGCTTTTGATGAGAAATTATTATCTTGCTTATACCATGATCTAGACAAAGGGTTTACCCCGATAAATATGATATTACCAGGCTTACCACTCCCAGTTAATAGGAGAAGGGACGTTGCCAATAAAGCGGTTAGTGATATGTTTGTCCGCATCATTCAAGCTAGACGAAAGAACCCCTTACCAGAAGAGGAATACGATATGATTTCAACACTCAATGAAAAGCAATACAAAGATGGCACTTTATTACCTGACAACCATATTGCACATTTACTTATAAGTTTATTGATGGCTGGACAACACACCTCAAGTTCAGTTTTATCATTTGCAATGCTTGAACTAGGTAGAAGACCTGATATTTGGGATGCTTTGTTGAAAGAGCAAAAAGAAAATTTGAGCATTCATAGCACTGACGATGATATTAATGGCAACGGTTGTCAACTGAAACCATTAGAATATGAAGATTTTGAAAAATTACCATTACTTGGAGCTGTACTTAAGGAAACACACAGATTACATGGACCAGTTCATTCGGTTATACGTAGAGCTTTGACTGATTTTGAGTATATCGACGATAATGATCGTGCTTTCATTATTCCAAAAGGCCATAATGTTGTTGCTAGTCCACTTTACACTCAAAGATCACCAGAGTTTTGGAAGAACGCAACGGATTTTGATCCATATCGCTGGTTCAAGAACGACGTTTACAAGGAAAGTGAAGAAGATATCAAAGTCGACTACGGTTTTGGAATGACAAGTGACCCGAAAGAATCACCATATATACCTTTTGGTGCTGGTAGCCATAGATGTATTGGTGAACAAGTGAGTACTTTAACTGAAATCATTGAATGATGTTTAACTGGTTTAGTTTGCAACGTTGCAATTGATGGTAATCTTATCTACCTTTGTTAGAAAGTTGGAAATCAAGACCGAAGGAGAAATGCCAAATCACAATTATCGCACAATGATCATCTCTCCTCTAAGTCCAGACAATATTATATATCGTACACGTAAATTCTGATCATGTAAAAGTGACGCATTACATAACTTAATCTAGTTTAGGTAAATTTAGGAGGAAAGCTGTTGTTCCTTAAACATGGCATAGTAGAATCCACGTTTACTGATGAGTTCAGAGTGTGTACCTTTTTCCGCAATTCCGCCGTTATGATAGACGTAAATAACATCGGCATTCTAAACATTTTGTAAGTAATCTAAGTATTGCTTATTGTTTCAGACATACCTTGATAGATGCAAGTCTATGTGCAACAGTCACTGTTGTCCTGCCACGTGAAGCTATCTCGAGAGCGTTCTGAACTACTTTCTCTGACTCAGAGTCAAGGGCCGATGTTGCTTCATCCAAGAGTAAAATTTTCGGATTCCTGATAAAAGCTCTTGCGATCGCAATTCTTTGTTTTTGTCCTCCCGACAAAGAAAGACCACGACCACCAACATCAGTTTTATAACCATCTGGTAAACGCTCGATAAAATCGTGAATGTTGGCAGCTTTGCAAGCCTCTATCACATCACTGTTATTTTATTAGTTGTGGATTGACTGTAAAGATATGCCTTGCCTTTCTAAAACATCATTTACGTTTTCGCTTTGTGAACCTATAGCAACGTTATAATGAATTGAGCCACTGTAAAGCGTTGGTTCTTGCGATACGAGTGCAATGTTTTTTCTATAATCCTTCACGTTGAATTCACGAATATCGGTCCCATCTATCGTAATTTTGCCAAACTGAACATCATAGAAACCTTTACAAGATGTTAGAGGTTATTGTTTCAACAGATTTTAACTCACGTTCGAGTAATTGAATAGTAGAGCTTTTTCCGCATCCAGACGCACCGACAAGAGCAGCTATTTGACCAGGTTTGACGTCGAGGTCGACACCAGAAAGAACTTGTACTTCAGGGCGAGTAGGGTATTTGACTTGGTATTGTTAACTGGAATTTTGAATATAACAAGACTAAACCTACAAAAGACATTCTCAAACCTAATGTGACCTGTTATATTATTTGCTTCAGATTTTGCAGTTGCATTGGTATCAATAAGTGGTTCATAGTCAATGATATTAAGAGCTGCTTCTGCAGCACTCTTACTTTTGGTTAAGTCGCTACAGTAAGAAATAACCATCCCAACTTCAATAGACGCAAATATCACAGAAATAAGAACAATGAAAAAGTTCCTTGTAGTATATTCCAAATTAGCTAATAATCGTGAACCATACCAAAATGCAAGAGCCATAACTAAGAACTGAAGGCCCTGTGATATGGCATAAAATATGTGTGATATTAGTGCGTTACGTGAGGATGATTTTATAACACCATCGACTGTGTCATCATATTTTTTACTTAAGAAGTCTTCACAAGTAAGAGACGCTACGGTCCTTATTGCAGTTGCAGCTTCAGCAGCTAAAGATGATGACTTGGAGTAAGACTTTTTGTTCCGCTCTTCTCTCTGAACGACGAAATAGAGCTGTGCAAATCCTGCACAAAGTAGTAATGGTATACATGCGATGCAAACCAAGGCTAATTTCCAACCATAACATAAAGCAATAATCATACCTCCGACCAATGTGACAAGGTTTGAAAGAATAGTGGCGAGAGTCATACCTGCAAAGTTATTGATCTAAAGAGAAAGTCATTTAACACCCTTCTAACATCGTAAAGTTTCAAACGTACTTTTTGTGGTCCATCACTGACGTAGTTAAGTATTTTACCTATTGAGTTTTCACTTTTGTCGAAGTAGCTTACATCTTTCAATAACAAATTCTCAAATGATGCCATACGAAGTTTATAGGAAAGGTTTGCTGCTGTATGCATACAACCCCAGTTTGAGATACCAAATGTAAAGAATGAAACAATTGCAATAGCCGTGAAGAAAAGTGCTTGTCTATTGCCATCATTACGAAGATCTGAATCGTTATCTGCTTGAAAGACTTCAATTGCACTACCAAATATGATACTGAGCACTGGATAACACATACCCGACCCGGCACATGCGATAAAAGCAATAATATAGATTAACCAGTCATTCTGGTTAAGCTTTCCTAGTCTCATAATGATTCTGAACAATCCGTATTTTTTGTCTGTAGTGTCCAGAATGATTTCATTACCGTCTTTTCTGACAAGTTCTTTCATATCTGAAGATACACTACCTTTTTCATCTTCTTTAGAAAGCACCTGACTGGGTAATATCATCTGTGGTTTACTTGAATCCTGGTCCAAATTTTGCATTGCTACAAGTCCAGCATATATGCCATCTTGAATTTGAATGAGATCATCATGTGTACCTTGCTCAACAATTGTTCCTTGTTTCATTACGAGAATAGAGTCAGCATTCTAAAAGAAGAGCTTAGATGTTGATGTTAAATATACGAGATAGGTTCTCACTTTGATTGTAGAAAGACGATGAGCAATGGAGATGGTGGTTCTTCCGGTTGAAGCATTATCTAAAGCTTTCTGTACTACGTTTTCAGATAGTGTGTCTAGTGCAGATGTTGCCTCTATTTTAGATCAAAAGCTTAGGAATGTTACATCATTAAAAAGCTAGCTTACCATCAAGTATGAGAATTTTCGGATTAGATACTATAGCTCTAGCGATAGCGATTCGTTGCTAATTTTGCATGATTAAAAGGCGGCAAATTACGTAAGATGTCTTACTTTCTGACCACCTGAAAGAAGGAATCCACGATTACCAACCTGAATAATGTTACGTTTGAATTACATACAGATCTGGCTTCAAACTTACATCCGTTTCATAACCTTCAGGTAATTCACATACAAAATCGTGAGCGTTTGCTTTTTTGCATGCTTCTTGCACAAGTTGAAACTTGACATCCGCTGATTTATTTTCAAATTCTGTTCCAATTAGACCATATTCAACGTTCTCTTTAATTGAGCAACTAAATAAAACCGGTTCTTGTCCCACATAACCTATTTGCGAACGTAACCATTTTAGACTATAATCGTCAATACTTTTACCATCAAGAGTAACTGAACCGGATTTTGGCTTGTAGAATCGCTCTAAAATTGATACTACAGTACTTTTGCCGCTACCGCTACTTCCAACTAATGCGATAGACTTGCCTGGTAGTATATCCACAGAAAAACCTTTAAGGACAGTAACAGATGGTCGACTAGGGTAAATAAAGTCAACGGCGTCAAATGCGATATGACCTAAAAGTGTGTCTGTACTTGGTCTTAAGCCTTCATCAGCTCTTGCAGAGATAGCATTATCGTCTTCAATGGTTGGAAAGATATTCGCAGCAGCATTTTGAGCCAGAGCGAATGCTATGATATTGTTAGAAGATTTTACTACTCTGATGAACTTACCTTGCATATGTGTCGGTGCCATTGTGAGTGCAAATGAACCAATGACTACGCAAAAGAAGACAGCTATGACTGTACCAGCTTGTGTATATCCCCATATGGTAAGTGTAATACCGAACCAGAAAGCCAAAGCTATGCAAGATTCATTAGTGAAGGCGTTTGTGATGATATATAAACCAACCGTAAGCACTATACAAGGGTCGTGTTAAGGGAGCTCTATGATAAATAGCTAAACTCACCTGTTAGAAGTAAAATAAAACCCGCTCATGGAAATACCCCAAACAATAGCATTGAGGAGATTATTATTTTTTACTTCGGAAGCATGTTTACCAAACAATTGATTTAACTGCTTTTGGTAGTTCAGTGAATGAGCATTTCGTATTGATGATAAAGCCTCCTCAGCAATAGAAGAAGCCTTCGATTGACCTTCAAGTGCTCTAGATTGATACTTTGAAGAGAACATTTCTGATGCAGTTCCAACTATCATGATAACCGGAAAAATTGCTGCTGTCACAAGTGTCAATCTCCACTCCAAAATAAAACCAATAACGAAAGCTGCTATAAACGTCGAGCAGCTCATTATAACCAATGGTACTTTTTGTGATATACCATCTTGAAGTAATAAAGTTTGAGCTTGAATCCTATCGACAATTTCACCAGCACCAATGTTATCGAAATATGAAATATCTTGATGTAAAATACTTTTAAAGTACTCTTTTCTTACGGTACCAGCTACTGTTTCTCCAGTTATAACAAAAGCTGAGAGGAAGATATATGTGAGTACTGCAACACCGACAGCAATATAGATAAAGTAAATTGCAGTTGAATTTGTATCCGTTTTGAACTTCTGTGTTATTTCGTCTATATTTGCTTGAGAGGATTGAATTGCAGATCCAAATTCAACAAATGAGTCAGTAAAATCACGAAGTACAATGGTCATTAGAGGGAGCCCTGTACCAGCACCGATGGCAGCAACTAATGCGACTAAATTAATAAACTTTTCAAGACCATTGCTGTATTTCCACAATGCAAAGAAGGATACTGATGATTTGTCCTTTTTGTCCTCTTCAATTGCTATATTGACTGAATTTGCTGAGTCCATCATTAGCCTATATGAAAAGTGTTAAGTGACTAATAAAACCCTTGCTTATGCACAAATCAGCCCATTTGAAACGTCAAGCATGGCCGGCAATGGATGTCGCAGAGACTTGGCAAAAACTCCGTGCGGACGGCAAATGTCAAGGAAAGTTAATTGACTCAATTGACAAAGATATTAAAGTTTAGTGTAAAGATTGTGTTAGCGCCAACATTAGCCGACTTGATTCTGTTTTGATTGCGTATTTGTAGAAAATCAACATTCCAAAATCGTATGATATGATCAACATCATACGATTATAGTAATGTAACACTAAAAGTCCAACCTATTACTCATCAACCATGACCATAAGCATGAGCAAAGCAGCAAGAAATCCAGATTATGCCTCACTCAATCCTCAAACCAAAGAATATAGTTTCTATGGTCCACTCGGAACTAGTGCAATTACAATTATTGCACCAATTGCTACTTATCTTTTATATTTCGCATGTCCAAACTCAACAGATGAAGGCACTTGTAGATTAATTCAAAAACCACAACTTGACAACGTCGTGAGCCTTTCATTCTTACAGTCACTCTTCAAGGTAGAAGCATTCGTAGTCTACTTGGCTTGGTATGCTTTCACTGTTATAGCTTGGGCAATTATTCCATCCATTTGGGTCAAAGGTACACCATTACGAGATGGAAATCACAAAATGTATAAGATGAATGGTGAGTAGCACTTAGTATTGAAATAGTTTGTGCTAACTCACGGTATAGCATTTAATACTCTACTATTAGCTACAGGTCTTGCCATAATCCAGATTATCAAATCTGGACCGCATGGATTTACGTATCTTGCTGATAACTGGATCCCATTGCTTACTTCTTCCTTAATAATGTCCACCGCTCAAGCTATCTATCTATATGCGATATCATTTAAAGGTGATAGACTACTCGCTTTGGGTGGGAACACTGGTAACCTTATTCACGACGTGAGTTCAACTCTCTTTTCATAACACTTAATCTGACAGACAGAAGTTCTTCCTGGGGCGCGAACTGAATCCATCAATCGGTTCATTTGACATCAAAACCTTCAGTGAGTTATCAACTTATTATTACCTCAACGAAGCTTATTTTTATTCAGATGAGCTCAGACCAGGGCTGATATTATGGTGGCTTATTGATATGTCTCTCGTATGCAAACAATATACCAACTATGGTCGTATCAGTGATTCCATGCTTCTCGTAATTGGATTCCAAGGGTGGTATGTCTTTGATGCACTCTATTGCGAGGTAAGTAATTACACGTTGATGTGATTAAGTTAACAATCCCAGTCATCAATTCTTACACAAATGGATATTGTTGTCGATGGCTTTGGTTTTATGCTCGGTGAGTTGCAGAGGTCACATGACAATTGAGCTAAATGATGCCAAAGCTTTTGGCGATCTTACTTGGGTGCCTTTTACATATTCTCTACAAGCACGCTTCCTCGCTAATCATCCAAATGATTTGGGTATGGTTGGTGTATTCTGTATAGTTGCACTTCTACTGTTAGGATATTATATCTTCCGCGTCTCAAATGCTGAAAAAAATGAATTCCGAACGGGTAATAATCCAAAGAGTGGGTAGAGAGCCCTGTCAGACAGATAGTAACCACCGTTCTTACACATATCTAGACCTTCAATTTCTCCAAACAAAAAGAGGGACTAAACTCCTGATTTCTGGATGGTGGGGATTTCTCAGACATCCAAATTACCTTGGTGAGTTAGCTAGATTGACTGAACATTCTTCTAACAAGTTGCTCAGGTGATTGGATCATGGCTTTAGCTTGGACTTTGCCAGCAGGATTTTTGACGCCATTAGTCTACTTCTATCCGGTCTATTTCTTGATTCTCTTAATTCATCGCTCTATTCGTGATGACGCGCATTGCAGAGAGAAGTGAGTGATTTCAGATCAGTTGAACTCGACTTAAATATTATAGATATGGTGATGACTGGGAGAGGTATCTCGAAAAAGTTCCGTATTGCATATTTCCATACAGTGAGTACATTGCTAATACGGGAGAAACGAGATTAATGAGATTAGTTTATTGAGTTTTAAACATGATTTTAATTTTTAATTTTCAAAACCTTTGTATTAATTGAACATCTTATTGACGATCACTGTAAGCAAAGAAGTGCCGTGCATGCGCGAATTTCACTTAAGATGAATTGATGTGGGCCACTCAGAGGTGTACGTTTAAAGATTACCAGGAAGTGTGAGTGGTATTGGCGTTCGATAAATGGATTCTAATAAAGAAACTGAGGACTGTCATAGGCATCGGTAAACGGCCAACCTGTCATAAACATCTTCGCTGATGTCCATCTTTATTAATTCATTTCAAGGCCGTTAGCAACAGTGAGCACCAGCAAAAGTCAGATATTGTGTCCTGTCAGATTAGCGAGCTTATGGAAATAAACGTGAAATTCATAGAATAGATATTAAAGTCTCAGTTAATAGGTATCCTAATGATTGGCTTATAGTAAATATTTTCATTAAATTGATTTGCTGACATTCTGAAATCAGCTTGGTGGTAATAAAGCAAAGAGAGTCTTATCGCTAAAATACTGAAACTGCAGATTAAAAGTTCCGAAAGAGCAAACATATGATTAACTAAGTAAGGTATAGAATATACCTAATCGTAAGCATCTATGAGCGTGTATGAAACTCTTATCAATGACGCAAATCGCCCGATTATCCAGATTATAGAGGGACAATAAAAATGAGCGTTTTAGCTGAGTTCGACTCTAGCGTTTGATTTCATAAACCTATACATTCATTATTCTGTAATTCTTGTCAATGGGTCAGCGATTTAATAATTAGATTACATAACTAAAACTTTAAACATGATATTTTGTGTAACAAATTAATTTCTATAAGTGTACTTATACAATTTTGTTTCTCATTTCAAGCTGCTACAGTTGGGATTCTTACATCATCTATCTCCTGGCAACATACGAAGTGCAAATATAAGAATGAAGCAACACATTGATATACACTATAATACTATAGGTTATAGAACAAATTAAAACCTCCGGTTAATCTCAAGATTCATTGAATTACTGACAGTATGTTTGACTTTTTAATCTATCAACCTCATAAAAAGACACTAATTACAAGCGCACGCTCCATAACTTTGATTCAAGAATATTTCATATTCATATTCAAATCCAAGATTGCTTCATTCTAGAAGTTTATGGTTACATGCTGAATCTGGCAAAATGATCTCAAATGGTTAAAAACAAAGAAAATTTTAAATGGTGTCACTAGACTACATAACCTAGATTTGGTACTACATGCGCCATATTATACACATCATACCATAAACATAAGGGAGTTCACGATTACTCCTAATGCTTATAATGTCGACAGTCTGAAATGTCGAAGCATTCGTCGACGCTATATGAACGTCACCAAGACGTGGCAGATAAGGATATGCGAAGAAACTTCCTATTCCATTTAGAACACATTGATGACAAGTTAGGTAAATATTTGTTATTAAAAGTACATATAAATACATCCTAATTTGGCTCATTACCCGGCGACAAGTATTGCAGCTCTAACCCTATACTCTGTACTGGTTTGTGTGGATTGCTGAGATCGGCCACTAGACCAAGCGAAACGAGCATTGATTTGAGACGACCAGCGTATTGGAGAGTAATAGACTAAGGATGTCAGCAATTTATTACGTGAATGATATTAGACACACCTTCTCGGTTGTCATTCTTGCTTTGAGGTAGCCTTGTATTGGATCATTTTCATTTATTGCTGCTGATGCAGATAAGGGTATAGGAGTTGAAGACTTAGTCGTAGTGTTCTGGTTCGTATGTCTAACGTCTTGAATAGCGAGTGATGCTGCACCTTGGTTGAGTAAAGAGATGGTGCCCTCTTCAGGATGTGGTTTTACCATTTCTTGTAGGTTCTCATCAAAATATTCGTCTTCATCCGGACGGCTTCGTGGTATAGCCCATTCTGCGCCTAGTGTTGTCACACTCTCATAAGAATACAGATTGAACTCAAACCTTGAGGCCACTGAGAGACCCTTCGCAATTGTAGCGGAATAGGTACCACTGAGATAGCCTGTAATTGGACTCAGGAGAGCGACTAGAACGGTTGGCGGTGATTGAGTTTCTGGCAGTGTTTGAAAGCGTAAACCAGTGGATACTATGAGATGTGAGATGACAAGTACAATTTGCAAAGTAACCCACCTCCTGCTGACTTCTCTTGTGCGGAAGCGTATATCTCACCACCTAAGCTGAAGTGGCCTTTCAAGCCTGTCGAACCATCACCATCGGGATCTTCGTCGATGCGCTTAGAGGAAACCACTTTGTTGTCACTGATGGAACTCTCACTATTCTCTCGATAATTCTTATCAATTAACCCAAAATGGAATAACGAAGATGCAGAAGCCATACCATCGGCGACTGAATAAGATAGTTCACTAGCATAGTTCCCTTGATCTTTTTGGTATGTGATGTACATTTCTGAAGGCTCCTCGCGGGTTGGTGGACGTGGATGTGATATGCTTGATATGAGAAGTTGAGATTGAGGACTCAGTCGACGAGTGTACAATGAGTGTAGACGTGAGGATGGGAGGTGTAGCTGTCCGTAGAGCAATTGATCTGAATAAAAGTTAGATGTATATTATAGAAATGAGCTACACACCCTTTCGAGATGGATCGTATTCGGGCTTCTTTGGAAGTGCAGAGATGTTGAATGTATGAACGAGCGAGTGCAGTGATGGCTTGTCCTTTGGTAGATCTATTGACGAGGCTAGATAAGCTAAAGAACCGCTAAGAGAAGGCAAAATCGATAAGCTGCAGCTGCTAGCGAAAGCTTGAGTGGGACAGGAAGATAACGAAACGGAAAGCGCCTGTGGTGGATAGAAATCTAATATCGCTGCTTATTTGTTAGATAAGTAAGTCAGATGGATGACGAAGACGCACCAGCGCTAGCTCTATTTAAATTTGAATACTGAGCATCAGGATTCCACTCTGTGGCTCTGAAATAACTCCGCAAAATATACTCGGCGTAGTTGATCATCGTCGTAAGCTCGTAAGAAGTTTACCATCACGAGATGAGATGCCCGGTGTGTAGAACGCGGCGATGGACGAAAGATCCAGCATCTGGACACTTGATGTGTGTAGAAGGCCACATATACGAGGTATTTATTAGTATATCTCACCCTTCTCTCTGACTTCTCTCTAGGGATTTCGTAATGAGACGCAGGAAGATGCAATGCCAAAGCACATTGGAAAACAGAGATACATAAAGAAGGAAGCCACAGAGCGTAGAAAGGTACTCAAAAGCCACAGATGTGCGTACTCTCTTTATGGATTTCTTATCTAAATACCTGATAAAGGGTACACTGGCGACAAACTCCGCTATTTACATCTACAAGCGCAACAGGTGGTGCTACGATACCAAGTACGGTCTCTCATGAGTGCTTGGAATCTCCCTCCAGAATTTGAGGTACGTTGTTTAAGTTTCTCACTCCCCTTACTGACATAAACAGGCGATAGTAAAAGATCTCTGGGCATTGAGGCTCTCTTTGTTGAAAGATTTAGTAGCGGCCCCTTTAGAGTTGGGATTGAAGCATCAGCGTGGTGAACATACAGATGAAGATGACGACCTTAAGGATGATACCAGCGAGAAAGATGAGAAGGATGATGATGACGATAAAGAAAGAGTCTCTGATATAGGGGATCCAGATGAGATGCTGGAAAAGCCTTGGTCTGACGACGATGACGATATACAGATGCCACAAACAATGGAGGAAGCTCTCGAAGCTGCTAAAAAGATCAAAACTGCACGCAGAACACAAAATTCTGTCGATGAATTTAATATGATATGGCTACTAGCGACGTTGAATTTAGCATTCTGGACACTCCGATTACCTGTATTTTACTTGGATTTCAAGAAGTAGGGGACTTTATATTGCAAGCATCACATTTAACATTTCTCAGTGCATTAGAAACTCGCGTGCTTCCATACATGGATGCACTTTCTTGTTTACCTGAGACAATGAAAGAGCGACTAAACCCAGGCTCTCGATCTTCCTTCCAAGCTGAGGTGTGTTATAATGTTATGATACACAAGTGCTGACAATAGATAGGCTGTGCCATCGTTGCGGAAAATCCACCGTGCATCAATTTACCTAGCTAGACAATATGATGAAAAATATAAGATAACATTCAACGATTACAATTCAGCGCCTATACTATGGAGGTGTGTTCATGATATGGGATTACCTCCTCGCATATACACCCTCTGTCAAGAGATGTTAAAGAGATTAGATACGCATTTCACACTCCTACCTAAACGGAAGGTAGGTAAGAGAAGTAGACATAGGAAAGGTGAATCGAGTGCACCCGAAATTATCACCATGTCGGTTGTTGTAACGATGTGTACATTAGTGTATAACCTTGAAAACGAGATCACGTGGGTTTGTTTGTCTTCATTAACATGGCACTACTAACGAAAAGCTTCAGTGATCAGCCTCGTGTGGGATCCCTCTTGGATAAAAACAAATGGTTGTTGTCGTTAGAAGAACATTTCAAGAAATCAGACACCATCTTGAATGATCAGATGTGAGCATCGAAGTGGTAGTAAAATTTAAACTAACACACCATCTAGAGAAATAATAGACGCTACCGATGAGCAAATTGAAGACTTTTTGGATTTTATGGAGAAAACAATTCCACCTGCGAATGAGGAAACTGTGAAAAGTAAGCGCTTCTCTCGTGTCTTAGGCTACCATATTCATGTTAACCTCCAGCTTGGCCGACGTTTGGTGAGGATTTAGTCAGCAGAGGTGACCCTATGAGAGTATCAGCAATCGACAAGGATAAGGACTGGTTTCATAAGCTCTACGAGGATCGAATACCTCTGCATGACTATCCAAGTCAATCAGATAGTGTTATAATACGCTCATACCACACATCAGACGTTTTAGGAGATTATCCTAAACTTTTAGATAAATTATTGAAAGCATCTGCAAAAGCAATTGGAATAGCGCATATAGAAGAAATTGCACGCCTTGTTGAATTGTTTCAGAAGAGGTTAGTATGGAGACGAAATAATACATCTCTTAATACTCGTAATTCTCTCAATTCTCTTAAAAGAGGTGTCTAAACGACAAATGAAGTCACCTGTGTAAAGATTCCTTGATAATACAAAAATATTTATTAATTGATTGATATGCCGGTGGTATAATAACTTAATGAGTGTTTGAGAATGTGAAAAGTCATTCTCCATTCTAGGCGCCTTTCTGGCGTAATTTCTGGCGTAAGTCTGCCACTTCTATTTGTAAACTAGTGGGTGTGTCAATAAAACGCGTAAGGATATAATGTAAGACACACCTGTTGAGTTCATCTAGCATGCCCAATGATTTATCCATTTGCAATTGCTTAAATGCTTGTATTTCATCATCTCTGTTGACAAGTGACTTTCGAAGCTTGTCGAGTTCACTGCCTTGTTGTTGCTTAGACAAGTTTCTCTCCATTTCAGAGATCTTTTCACGAAGGCTTTCTCGTTCTTTGCGACTATAATAGGATTAATGGTGATTATCTGTAAGAATTAAACTACTTACATTTCTGCATCACGTTTCGATGCCTGTGATAAATTGTTCTGCAGATCCAAGACTTGTCTCTTGTAAGCCTCAAGGGCGGTTTTGAAGTCAAGTGCGAGTTTATGAGCTTTCTCGGCATTGCTCTGTGAAAAAAGTTAGTAGAATGTGAGTATTTATCACTATACCCACCTTGTAAAGGTTGGCTGTCTCCGCATTATTGAGTATACGCTCGAGGAACAACCTATTGTCATCTATGAGAGTCTTCACACGTTGTACAAATGTCTTTAAATCGAAATGCTCAAAGGTTCGCTCCTTCGACCTGCTAAGAACCTGCTTAAGTTTGTCGACATCACCTTGTGATAAAGTAGCTGAATTCGACTCAATGAGACGCTCGTTGCCATCCCTTTGGGTGGATGTTGGCAATATTTTCCAAAGTGCACGCAAAGTTTGTACGGAGAGTTTCTCCTCGGATTCTGAAACTCCACTGTTATGCTTATTTTCTTCTTTGAGCTACACTAGTTAGCATATTTGTGAAGTAAAAATTAAAGATTTGCTTACCTTCAATTCGCGTTCGTAAGATGCATTGTTGTCTTTATAATATGATAAATCTGATTCGAGCTGCTTGGAACGCAAATTTGCCTCCCCAAGCTGCTCTTCCAAAGCAGCAATTTTTTCTTTCTGCTCACCAATTACACTAGAGAAGTCCTGCTTCTGTTTTTCGGTGTCAATTTTCTGATTAGCGACTACATCACTAAGTTGCTGTACTTGATTTTCATAGTATTCAAATCTTTGCCTCATGACATGTTTCTCATTAGTAAGGTATTCCATTTGTTCACTCATTCCACTATGTTCCTTTACGACCATTAGTTGGGTTTCGATAGACGATATTGCAGAATTAAACGTTTCTAATGGGTTTTGCGATGATTTGGTATAGGATATCTTGTATGTATCTAGTAGATTGCATAGATTCTCAATTGAACTGGTGATTCCATCCCTAGTGGTTACTATCTGACTGAAATCTTCAAGCAAACTTTGAAGACGATTTTGAAGGCTGTTGCTATGTTCAACCTGCCGACTGTTGGAAGATTGTGCTTCTTGAAGAAGTTGTTGATACTTTGATGTTTCTTTCAATGCGGAGTTGAGTTTCTCGGAGGCTAACATGAGTTCTTGTGAAGTCTCTGCGGTGGTATTTTTACCGTCGTATATCTGACTCTTTAGCGTCTCTATTTGTTCCTGTAACGACTCGTTGGCGGCTAATGTGGCTTGATTCAGTTCTCTTTCACCGTCCAGTTCTGTTGTGAGGTGCTGTATTCGTTGTTCATATAAAGGTGACTTCTTATTTGCACTGCCCGATGTATTGCTTGGCAAAATTGCTCTATCGTTATTGGCGTGAAAGTGTCTACCATCGAAATGTGATTGTGAATGATGTGATTGCGGTTGGAGTAACTTTTGATTATTGATATATTTCGCTAAAATGCCTGCATTGTGGTGTAATAAATCAGTCTGTACGTCCAATAGCCTGCTCCTCTGTCGGCTCAAGTTCTTCTCAACTTCGTCAATCTTATTGGACGACTGAGTGATGTCCAATTGATCGAGTTTTCCTAGGACTTGCATAGCGTCCCTGACTTTCAACTCCGTCAGTAGCCTCTGTGTGTGTAGTTTAACTTTATAAGCCAGGTTTGAATGTTCCTGTAGTGTGTCAGATCTGCAAGTGAGAACAAGAGAAAGCTCACTAATTTGAGAAACTCCAATCTATCATCGTCCAATGTAGGATATCTCGAGGATTCTATTATGGATTGTGTCGCCTGTAAGGTTGTATAGTAATTGCTAGCTACGCCATGACTCCCGCGATGCGTAGATTTATGAGGGCTGTGTAGAAATGAAGGTGGCGAACTCGGTGGTGTGCTAATATTATCTCTTGAACTCATAGAGAATGAGCTCATTCTTGAAGGTGACAGTGACAGTTTCGGTGTAAGTTGGAATGCTCGTATAAATAATTTAAAATGGGAATTGTACATTTACAGTTTTAACGTTAGGGAATGGATGTGCTTTTCCGTTGAGTACATCGCTTAGTACGACCTTCTGCTGTGCATGGGCGATATAGCCTTTCATGTAGCCTTTGAATATCATACCGGCTAGCAAACACTCGACTTCTTCATTATCTATGTTTACTCCGGAGACGCTCAGAGCTCGCTTGAATTTTGTTATCTCTATTATTTTTTGCTGTCCGTTGAGACTCCACCTGCGATCAAAGTAAGTCAAACTGGAGAGTTATCAATCGACTGGCTGCACTTACACTTTCTTGAATAAACCTCTAAGGCACAGTTCTCTCACCCTCTCTACAATCCCATAGGTCCCATTCTCGACCAATCTTTTTTCACCCCTAACGAGAGCCTCGTCGAAATGTTTCACATTGCCATCCTTGAGGGCTTCTACGAAGGGCCTATAAAGCTCCTCCAAGTGTGGAAACCTAGCTAGTAGATCTTGCGATGGTAAGTCTCCTTGTAATAATCGCAACGGTATGAGGTGTGTTAATATCAACCTATGTCTAATTAGCAGGAGGCGCTTTGAAACCGCTCACTTACGCTTGATTTTTGCGTGATTGTACAGGGCATTTTTGCAAAGCAAAGGTAAGGTCTTCATTGGCCTGATGATGGAGGTCAAATGTTGTCATCACCCATGAACGTACTCACCTTGTCGAATCTATCATCCAAAAAAGCCAAAACACCTGTGTAATATTTAAAGGTTACTTGATGTGCCTTCGGATAGGCTTCCAATGGCATAAGATCCTTCATTGCACCAACAGCTCGGAGAATGTTTTTGCATAGAGACAGAGTGTTGATCTGATAGTGTCATTAGGAGTATGTTGGCAACCACCAATGTATTGCACTCACTTCAAAATATGTCTTGAAAACTAATCCAATAATGTAATAGACACCCCATCTTTTTGATTCTTTTCCTGATGATCTGCGTTGTTTGTCAGTCATCAATGGATGTGCTAGAGAGATAAACTCACTTATGCTGTATACAGGCGGTGAATGCTTTGTTGAGGAACCTTGCGCAATCATCCATCGCGAAGGTCTTCCTTTGTGTATTGACGCACTCCTCGTCAGCCTTTTACCGATTAAAGTTGCTAATAATGGTGCAAATCACTTACACGTCTCGCTAAAACCCGCAAATCTCTGCAAATCTGGTATAAACACTTTAGCTCGAAGCTGCTACCTTGAAGTTGGAAATGACGCATGAATTCCCTGTCAGATGTGAGCAAAAGGAGGCTTATTGATTGTACTATATAGCCTACTGCGCCAGAGATTGTTGTTCTTCGTAGGCTTTCACCGGTTCCTTCTCTCTATACACCCAGAAACAAACAAAAGCGTGTTGAACACTTAATAGATCGAAGGCTCCTCTACTGGTACTTTCTAGATATGGTTTCTAGACTACTGTCAGTCGTTTGTATTCTATTACCTGAGCAATCCTACAGTTCTCAAGTCCAAACCGTTTAGAAGGTAATTCGCGTTTATATCGTTGAATACACTAAACAAATTAGCGAGAGAATCACTAGCATAACTTTCTTTTCTTGTAAAGCAGGAAGATACCGATTGCTGAAATGTAACTATTGGACTGCTCATCGTGGTACACTATCAAGACGGCTTTTTCTGATACCATGATGGCTAGTCTAACGAATCAAGGGGATTTCCCATACGATGTACAATTTCCATCTAGGGGTATTCTAGTCTGTAACGCTTCAATCAGATATCTCATACTAACCCATATCTAGCCTCCCGATTTCAAAGCATGGGGAAGCGCCAGCGCTCGCGCCCACAAAGATAGAGTTAATGCTGTAGGCTGGAGCAACGATGGTAAAAGACTGGGTAGCGTTTCTAGCGATAAGTCTCTTAGAATCTGGCCGGAGAAGGCGCTCGATAGCGGTAGACCAGACGCTAAAATGGCAACAGCGATGATTGGGCATAGCGATAAAGTAGTTCAATTAGCTTGGCATCCCTTGGATTCTAATCTACTTACAACGGTTTCCTTGGACAAGACAATAAGATGTTGGGATATCAGAGGTGCTTTATTCGATTTTGCATCTAACTTAAGCTAACGACACACAGCTAGAGCACCTACAACTACCTTGCAGCTATCATCAGCTGCATACAACTTAGCCTACCATCCAGATGGACAGACTTTAGCAGCAGGTGCTGAAACAATCGGCTTCTACGACTTACGCCATCCAACTGGACCCCAAAGGACGATAGAAAGACAACAACAAGCAGACGTGAGTTATATAAGGTGTCGATCCCACCTCTCTAACCTGATCTCCCTGATCTAGCGTATAAATCATGATTTTAGATGGTCAAAAGATGGTGAATTATTCACTATTTGCTGTAATGACGGTTCCTTTGAGGCATATTTATACCCTTCATTTGAATTGGAGTTTAGTGATAAAGGACACACATCTGATGCAACAAAGATAGAGTTCACAAAGGACAGACGGTGTGTAGAGCAGATCCCTTTCGGAAGAGTGCTCACGATAATAGGTACATGTTGACTGGCGGTGGTGATGCAGTTGTCAATGTTTGGGATCTCGAAGAGTGGATCTGTCTGCGGTCGATCAATCAAATAGAAGGACTAGTGAGATCAATAAGCGTGAATTCAATTTCTGAGTGTGTCGCAATTGGTACGGATGATAGGAATATAAGTATAGCATCGATACACACAGGTGAGACACTACATTCATTTAAAACTGGAGCGAAGACAAAGTCACTCGCATGGCACCCTAGCAAACTGCTCCTAGCTTATGCAAGTGAGGATATTACAAGAGAAGAACACATGAGAGAACCTGGAATGATGAATATATCATCTTCTGTAAGAGTATGGGGGAAGGGAGTTGGGAGACCTTCAGCGTAACGGTTATGTACTTAAAGTATAATCCTTTGTTTTAAATAATGTATTAGATGTCAATTACGTTATTACGCTATTACGCTATTATGTTTCTTGATTGATTACAACCAAATGGATAGCGCACTTCTCAGTCAAATTCAAGGCGGGAAGAGGCTCAAAAAGTCACAGACGGTTCGTTTTGTTGTCATATGCTAGAGACACTCCCTTAATATCCCTTAGAATGATAGATCAGCCCCTGCGGTTGATGGTGGAGTCGTAGGCGAACAAAAGAGCAGTGCAGGCAGTACGGGCGGTGGCGGAGGAGTCACGAAACAAGCGTCTGCTGCTGCCGCTTCATCTGGGCCACAGCTCGGGGGTATCTTCGCCGGTGTCGGGATGCCAAAACTTCGTCCAACTGGATCCCAGCCAATTAGTGTGTATTAGTGTTGCTTTGTGTGTTACACGCTGACTTATACTATCAGATAAAGGTGCATTAGCAAAGCCTCCTTCGATACCCAAACCACCGTCTCAGGTACCTCCAGCGCCTCTAGTTCCTAGTCCAGCAGCAAGGCCGCCAAATCCGCCAAATCCACCAGGGAGGTCTATGCCAGCAGCTCCTCCAGGAAGGTCTACACCAGCGGCTCCTCCAGCGAGGGCAACACCACCACCACCGGCGAGAGGAACGCCGGTACCACCTGCACCACCTGCATCATCTACCCCTCCAGCACGTACGACTCCTCCAGCACCACCAATAGGAAGATTACCACCACCCGTTCCCCCAGTAGCCGCTGCACCCACTAAGAAGCCACCACCACCAGCACCAAAGCCAAAACCAAAGCCACCTGCGCCAGCAGCACCGCCGGCTCCAGCAGCGCCACCTTCTCAGCCACCCCGCGTGTTGCCTCCTGGTCCACCACCAGGTCAGCCAGCACGGTCAATTCCCCCACCACCACCAAGCAGACCTTCTCCTCCGCCCGCACCGCAGAGGAATGCACCACCAAGCCTGCCATCAAGGACTCCAAGTACAGCTTCGTGAGGGCTTATTTGTAAAATTTTCACAGCTAACAAGCTATAGACGACCACCGCCTCCACCTCGCCCAACAGGAGGAACAGCGAAAGCAGCACCACCACCACCACCTCGACCAGGCAATAGCGCAAATACGACTCGGTGAGTAAAACTATTGATGACTAAACTTTCTAACAAGGTAGGGCACCACCTCCACCGCCTCCAAGAGGTACCAACAGTGGTGCTAACACGGGTGTCTCAAATATAGCAAATGCAATCGCAAATAAGCCGCCTCCGCTGAGGTCCGCCAACCAAGCACCTCGTCAAGCACCTAGTCAAGCGCCTAGTTTACCTTCAAGGGCATCCCCAGCAGCTCAGAGTGAAGCACCAGCGCCATCACAGCCAATTCTACCACCACCCCCTCTTCGTACAGCTACCGTACGTAACGTTAATAAGAATCCTGACGGGAATACGATACCTAGAAGTAATAGTAACAGTTATATACGCGAAATTTACGCTCACATGCATCAATATTAGGTACAACGCCTCCTGCAAACATAGGAGAGTATCAATTCCCGTCACATTTAGATATACCCGACCCTAGACCGTTCGAAAGGACGACATTGACTTATCCAAGTGGTAGAAACAAAGCGACGAACTTTGATGTAAAGCAACTTGTATAGGTGTGCTTATATAGGTGTACTTGTATGATGTTAATGCGATGGGAGGGGAGTTTTCGATGAATATATTTATGAAAGGTCCACTCTGTCCCGTCTACCGCGTGTATCTGATGTGCATTTGCAAAATGAATTATAGATGAATTGAACAGAAGGCACAAGGCAAGCGATGAATGCAGGTAGTTAACCGTAAGAATAGATAGTGCCTCTAATGAGTACATAAAGACTCTAAACGTCCCTATAACGCCTCACAATCTGTATTATATAATGGTATGAAAAATCTCGCGACACGTGTAAAACACCAGAGGAAGTCACGACTAGTAGACACCAAGCGCGTAATACAAGTCAGTCGACAAATCCAGTCATATCACTCAGCATTTAAACACTAATTACACTAATTATGTAAGCAGACTAACATTCCGGAGTAAAAACTTATGTGGCAAGCTGACTAAAAGATAGAATGGTGCTGTGGTATCCTGCTCTAATTAAAAGAGACCGTCGCCAAAGCCCTGGGTTTGCTGTGCAAGCGATGCGTATGACGTGTCACTGACTTGTCATTCCATCCGACTATGGTAGGCGTCTTGAAAATCAACCACCAAGTGCGAAACTATTATGAAATTAAAAGCATCAGTCGCAGCAGGTTTACTGGCATTTTTAGCCAGCGTACACGCTAACGAGAACAACGAGCCTTCAGATGTTGTTTCTCTCACCAAAGACACCTTCAGCGACTTTGTCAACTCAGACTTATCACTTTTGAGTTTCACCGCCCCATGGTGTGGTCACTGTAACCGTCTCAAGCCAGAATACAAGAGTGCAGCTTCAACTTTGAAGTCAAAAGACATCCCATTGGGTAATGTCGATTGTACAGAGCAAGCTGAGCTTTGTGCAGAACACGAAGTAGGTGGCTACCCTACTCTCAAGGTTTTCAGAAAGGGTCTCTCAACTCCTTACGGTGGCACCAGGAAAGCTGACGGTATTGTCAGCTATATGACCAAGTAAGTCTCTTGATCTCACTCAATTAGGCTAACAGACCAGACAATCCCTCCCAGCAGTCTCTTCCATCACCCCACAAAACCACGACGAGTTCAAGCAATCTGACAAGGTCGTCGTCATCGCATACAACCTCAAGCCAAACAGCGACTTGTACAACACATTCCACTCAACCGCCAACACCCTCCGCGATAAGCACCTCTTTGGTGAGACTGAAGACAGCACCGTTGCTAAGCAAGCTGGTGTCTCAGGTCCTTCCGTTGTCATCTACAAGTCCTTCGACGAAGGCCGCAACGATGTCGACACCAAGTCACTCGATGAGAAGACCCTCATTGACACCATCTCAGTCAACTCAGTTCCTCTCATCGATGAGGTTGGACCAGAAAACTTTGCTCACTACGCTACATCTGGTCTCCCATTGGCTTACCTCTTCGTCAACCCAGAGGATCCAAAGTTGGAGTCACGTGTCGAAGAGCTCAAGCCGGTTGCTGAGGAGTACAAGGGCAAGATCAACTTTGTTTGGATCGATGGTGTCAAGTTTGTTGAACACGGCAAGGCCCTCAACTTGGTTAAGGACGAATGGCCAGGATTTGTCATCCAAGATCTCGTTGAAGGCAACAAGTATCCATTTGACGCCACCAAGGACGTAAACAAAAAGAACATTGCTTCATTCGTCAAGGACTACTCAAATGGTAAGATCCAACCATCAATCAAGTCTCAACCAATCCCAGAGGAACGCGTTGTAGATGGTGTTTACCAATTAGTAGCAGATGAGTACGAAAAGGTTGCACTCGATGACAAGAAGGACAGCTTGGTTGCTTTCGTAGCTGGCTGGTGTGGTCACTGCCGTGCTCTCCATCCTAAGTACAATGAGCTCGGACAACGTTTCTCAGGAGATGATGGTGTTGTAATTGCAAGATTTGACGCAACAGAGAATGATGTTCCAGACAACTTCAGCATTACTTCTTTCCCTACTATTAAGTTGCAACCAGCTGGTACTAAGGGTTGGATTGACTACGAAGGTGACAGAAGTGTTGAAGATTTGGAAGAGTTCCTTAATAAGAACAGAGCAACCAAATCATCATCACAAGCTGAACAAAAACCTGCTCACGATGAGCACAAGAAGGATGAACTTTAAAGCCTCTGCATGAACTTTGAAGCGTTTGCATGAACTTTAAAGAAAGTGTTTGCATTCATCAAAAATACCTTTTATTGATTTTAGGCATTCTCACTTTGTAATCACGAATATAAATTCCAAACATTCTAATGAAATACATGCGCATGCCCAATGTTAGGTTAGTGTTATTGTTAGGGTTAGGTCGGCAGCATGATATCTACTTTGTGTTGTTGTGAAACAAAGTGTCGCGGAAATTGCGACTGTATTAGTGTCAGGTTGGCAGCATAATACCTACTTGTGCTGTCTATATGAACACGTTGTCACGAAGGTTTGCTTATTAGTGCATGTTTGCTACAATATCATAATTTCTATATTCAATTTATACACTGCCATCGCATGTGTTCTCATCCTTGCTGCAGCCACCCGCTAAATCAACATTAACGAAGCGGAACGACTTGAATTGTCTCATTGGATCTTTCAGATTGAAGCACCCAGGAGGTGATGCTGTACCTTTAATAATGTGCGGATAACAGTGAGACTGACAGCTGCATTGATCATTGTTTGTTGCGATCAGACTGACGGATCCAAAATTCAAATCGTGAAACTTGATACTATGGGGGTTGTTAATTGAAGCAACCTCAAGTATGTAAAATCTCACCTTCCACGTCCACTCTCTACCAAGCAGTCAGAGTTGTCTACAGATACGCTCGTACCACAATTCTCTTCACAAGAATCGTCTGAGCAGAATTGAGCATATGTTGTCGCCCCAATGTATTGTATCAAGGTGGTGATGACTATACAGACAAGCAAAGTTTTGAACGAATTGAGATTAAACATTGGCTTTACTAGGGTGATTAGGATAGAGCAAACCGAGAGTAGTAATTTATTCTACTAGGGAAGCTGTGTAGTTTGCTCAAAGACCCTGATAATTGCAGGTACCACTGCATAAAAATTCCGAAATATCAAACGTTAAGGTGTCAGGGTTATCAGTGAATATCCATAGATATATCTAATGTCGATTCATTGGTCCGATTTCTCAATTGTGTAGCCGCAAAGAGAAGTTTCTGTCCGATGGTTGAAATAGTTTTCACTCCGCGCCCCGAGCATAGCGCTGACGCTTTGACCCGAGAATCAAAGGATCTCGAAATTTTAAACATTTTCGAGAATCTAAAAGCATTTACTCATACGCTCTAAAGCCCTCTTGGACGCCCTTTAAAGTCCCAATTTCGCACTTCCTTTGTGATATGGTCTTCTAACTGAAGCGTGGAGTAATTAAATAGAAAGTTATGCTAAAAATAACTGAACATTACACAGCCACATATCTGCTCAAATGCACCACGTTCGTGTACGCAAAAAGGAAAAAGCCTGTCACAAAATTATCACAACGCACTTGTATTATAATAATCTATCTTTTTATTTTTACAACCGTACAAAAAAACTCATATCTAGTGAAATCCAACTTTGAGGGAAATCGTTGATCGCAAACTGTAAGACAATATCAGAGACATGATGCACAATCGCGCGTAATCCAACGATTAAGCCTTGCAATTATTTGGATCGCAGCTACTGGTAATGAAACGATATGATGCACCATTGGCGTCTTTGGGAAGTTTTACGCATCCAGCCCCATCGTACTGACCGCCACTCACTATATTATTCATGCACTGTGACTGACAGCTGCAGCTCTATGCAAATGTTAGTAATGTAGTATAATCTTTTGATATACTAACGTCGTGTGGCCTGAAAATTTGTAAACGGCATACTTAGTTTAAAGCAACACTTACGTGATAACCAAAGATACAGTGGACCAGAATGGGTTATCTGTTCCGTGTAACAATACTGATTTACGTCCTGGCTCCTCTAAACATCCTGTTGTGTGCGTCAGTCTTGTTTCTACAGTGAGAGTAACACCCACCAGGGTTGTTGCCTGATACGGCAATTCCACAATTAACACTACAGTTATCATCATCACAAAATTGTGCCCAGCCAGAGCTATAAACTGTTTTTGTTAGAGCGAGTGTTGTGACTGCGTAGATTGTGAAGTTCTTTATTGAGACAAAGTTGAGCATTTTGAATGAGCTTTAAATTAGCTTAATGATTGAGAAGCTAGGGTGAATTAATTATATAAATAACTTTCAAATGCTGTGTAGATATCAGTTAAACACTTTGATCGTTGCAGGCACCCATAGAAAATAACTTCCGATAGACGAGCTATAAAATTAAATCGCGAGTTTCTTGATAGGTAGTTTATTAAGAAGTTTGATACGCGTGTAGAGGTATAGAAAGTGTATATCCGAATCTACTCCGTGAGGACCCTGAGCGGAGCATATTAAGCCTCATTTGATCGGAACTATATTACGATTCTATATCGCGTGTTGGCTCATTTGAAGTTACTTAAGACAACCCCAATAACGTGCTGTAAGCCCCACATATGCTGCTCAACTAGCTTGCTAGGCAATTTATTGAGAACATTGATGTGCGTATAAAGGTATAGAAAGTATCTATTCGAATCTACTCCGCGAGAACCCTGAGCGGAGCATATTGCTTGGGAAAGGCACATATCACGTTGCATATTAAGCCTCAGCTCTATTAGGGTTCCATGTCGAGTGTTGTCTCATTTGACGTTACTTGAGACACCCCTAATAACGCGCTTTACGTTTCACATATGCCGCTCAACTAACTGGTCCTATACATTCCTGCTATTCGCGCTGTTGGTGCTGCTGGCGCTATGGGCGCTTCGTAGAGTGCCTATGGTATAGACGATACATCGTCAGATCCATGAGATGTGGGTAGAGCGCTTATATAGCACACCAGCATACTCATTAGCGAGCGTATTCAGTGTGTAAAATGTATCTGTACTCTAATAGGCTGGTCGAAAAAATTTGTTCTGCATTGAAAAGAAATGCACACGGATGCAGTGCTATCAATACCTTTACTGGGTGGAAGCTCTAAGTCTACATATCGAAATATTCTAATGTTTAGCGATAACGACCAGTGTTACACCCACTATCGCTGTCTGAGTGGCACGCTCTGCAACCTCAATAGGGCATGCTTACGCCTTTACCTCAATTTACAATGTTTATCAGTAAGGCCATGGCCATGAGTATCATTTTTTTTCTTCGAGAGTGGTTTCCCCGATTTCCCCGTTTAATAAGAATCACATCATAAAAGTCGATGAAGCTTGCAGCCGTTTTTATGTTGGCCTTAGGGTCAGCAGCCGCTGCATCAATTAATGTACGTCTCCTCTGATATTGGTCCTCCGTTAACACCACTAGACCCCTTCTATCGCGCTTAGAAACAAGAACCACTTTTCGTTAGATTCCGATGTGGCTGCGCATGCCTTGTATGGGATTAAACCAGAATATCGCAATGAAGTGCTCAAATACCATCGCCTGGGAAACGATGACCGTGCCCGTGCAGCTTTGATAGCTGGTTTGAACGACAGAAAAGCATACCAACTTATAGACAAACTTCAAAAATTGGGGAACTAATTTGAAGTTTACCAGATCTTTTGGGTCTTTTACTAGATGATTTACCAGGTCTCTTCTAGATGATTTACTAGATGCTTTACTAGATTTATTTGGAGTTACTAGCTTTACTAGATGATATACTAGACTTTTTGGACTTACTAGCTTTACTAGTTTTACTATATTCAATTTCACTATATTCATTCTCATTTATCAGATTACTTTACCCGAATCTCTTTTAGCGAAGCGATACCCGAGATATGGTACTTACCGCGAATTATCAAAACGGTCTTGCTTTTGTGCACCTGCATCCTCTTTAGCTCATTAGAGCTTTTCCTTGTACTAATCTGCTTGTTGAAGATTCGCGTGAGGGGACTAACTGCGTGGAGTCAGTAACTAGGGTGAGTAAACAGACCTGATTGTTCTACTGAACTCTGATTATTTGCGTGAGCAATCGATCTTGTCAGTTCAGCATGTCAACGGTCTTTGACCGCTAGCGCTGATGGCTCTGTAATGCTCACGGTGACGTAATTAGATGATAAGCTGACGCGCAAATTTATTAAGTATGCATCATTAATATACAGAGGTCAGCAGTATGGCCATAGGATCTTCACAGACGCACCAGCTGGCAATATAAGTGGGGGTCAACATGGCGTTCTATCGGCTGATTTCCCAAACTACGACGCGACTAGATACGCGCTCATCTTCCTCGATGATCTTCACCGATGGTATTCTTCCAGTGGATCCTCAGATGGCAAGACCTCAGGACTCTACTGATCTCATCTCAGCATCCACGAATGCGCAAACCGCAAGGAGAACACATCTATTTCGACATTTTTATCGTGATATATCGATTGCATGGTCATCTAAGAAACGTGCTCGTGTTAAATACACCGGTGTCTAAATTCGGCTATCTAAATGCTCTCCCGACTCACTTGATTGTCCAGGTCGAGCACAGATTAACTGGCATCGTAACAAGGCTCGCCAATGCTTACTTTGGCACAGGATAGTTTCACCTTAGAGTCCACTAAAGTCATGTGTCCATCATGCGCTGTTCACCCCCTGCTCTACAGGGTATTGGTATGCGGTGTATACATGGTGACACCACAGCTCCCGAATCGTCTATAAATGCTCCCTCGAGACACTCTCTCATCAACCATGTTCAAAGTACTCTTTTTTGCTCCATTACTCGCTCTCGTTGCTGCAGGTGGCTCGGAGGTCTGTCTCAACAAAAAGGCAGGCTGTGTCGAAGCTCAAATAACGAAAGACTGCTGCGCAGCCGTAAAGCAATCTGGTAGGTGGCCACAGATTTTTGAGAAGCATCTAACATATCTTTAGCGTATTTCAGCGAAGTATCGTCGTAGGTGGGAATCTGCTTCTAATTCGAGATACTAACTTTATAAGCACTTGTGTCCCGTACGCGGCTAATGGAATCAATACTGGAGACATGGTAGATTGTTGCGAAAGCCGAGGAGCTGGTAGCCATGGCGGAGAAACCGTGACTGATATGTCCAACCGCAAGATATGTCTGGATCCACTAGACGGCACATCCAAATGAACTTCCATAGTCTTGAAAAACACTCTAGCTCAACTCTGAAGTCATAAAATACGTGTATCTCAATTGTAAACTGACATAAAGCACCTGTAATCACATAGAACACTTGCAGTGACATAGCTCAACTTTGGCGCCCAATTGGTTCCCATTGCATATTCCGATTACGTGCAAGGCACCAGAATTACGCTCGATTACCCTTCAGTCAGCCACATCTGTAGCTTTCTACGCAGCTGTTAGTCTTTGCTCTGTGGTGTGTCGGTACCGGCCGCTTAACAATACAAGACGCTACGGAGTATCTTGTATCTTGCTTTAAAGCAGCCTCTAAGCGTCTTCTGGCCACGCTCTGCCTTTTAATCGGGTAGCTTCCACATAGCGCTCTGTAGAAGTTTATTCCAAAGCCTATTATGATCCGTCTTGCCGCCTGTAGGGACTGGACAAATTCCCTTAATTTCTAATTCTTTTATCAAGTTCCATTCTACGATAGTACAAATCTGGGCTACTCCATCTATGTTTTGTGCTTTCATCTCTCCGCTGATGCTTGCACGACGAGGGTTGCACTTGCGCGCAACTAGTTAAGACATGACGACGGGGTGGCTCTTCCTGCACGTGTTTAGCTCTACCTGGCTGAGCTTTCGCGTGTGAAAAAGGAAATGGAACGTGAAAAATTTAACAACCCCAAAATTTCTAGAGTATTTAAGCGACCATCTTTTCTCCAGATACATTCGGAAAGTATTTATCTCAGTAAGTCTTGGCAGCTTTTTTGTCAGAGCTTTGGTATCTCTAACGACCGTGCGCTTACACTTATCAGTAACAATGGGGCAGTCGAAATTCAAACCTAGACAGACGATGTCCAGAATTAACAAACCAGCACCAATTAAACATTCTGGAGATAATAATTTGCCTCCTGTAGACCATCGTCGTAGTGGCCTAAGCCGCCCGAAAAGATGCAGCTGGTGCATCGAAAGGGGATCAGAGTGAGCGTACCGTCGTTATTATGAAATGCCTGCTTACTTTTATGGGGATTGTATTAAAGACCACCCTCACTTCAAAGAGACTGGCAAATGTTACTGGTGCTATGAGAACGACAAAGAATGTACTCCTTCGCAATCAACTAGCGCCAAAAAAAACCTTGGCCATTCATAAGACACTTAAGACACATGTTGAAAACATTAAAGCAATTTACGAAGCTAGCGTCGAAGTCGACGACCCAGAAATCTTAAAATGTTTTAACTTCTCAAAGGTTAGTCTCAAAATACTCAATGATAATTTTAACATAGTAAGGAAACTACAAAAATCCTTTTATTGTTCGGCGATGGTCGCTTAGATGCGTTGATGGAAAGATTGGCCCATGGAGACAACCTCAATCACGACAACAACACCACTAACGCAGACGAGGAGGACTATATCACTGATGATGATGAATGTTACAGCGATGATGCTGATTAACTCATTCCATTGGTGTACCGCTTAATGTTCGCATTGCATTTACTTGAAGTTCGGCAAGAGCCTCAACTTTCCTATTAGCTAAATTTACTATTCCAGCATTTTCTAGAGCTATGCAGATACCAGTCCTTACTCAGCATATGGTCTAATTTTACTTTCGTTATTACAGAACACGTAATATGGTGAAACATAAACCCAAATCTGAATCGAACTGTGACGTATTGGTGAAACAACTCAATTGATTGCTATGGAAAAGAAATGCGCAATCGCACTAGCAGTCCCGTACAAGTTCTCATGGTTGAATCGTGTGAAAAGACTTTAAATTCTTATTGGAGTCTGCAAACATGTAATACTGTTTCACAAAGCATAAATTACTTTTTTATTTGGATATCTATAGTGTTCTACAACTGAGAGCTTTCGACTATGTCAAATAACGTAACATTCAGTAAAAGTGATATTAAATCAGACGATAAGTAGAGCTACCTGTGTGTTAGTATGCCTCTGTATGTCTACTATAATAAACTTAATGGAAGTGAAATTTGACATTTCGTTTAAATAGGTATCAATGAAATTCTAGTGACACAATCCGCATTTCTAAGTTATGATTAATCTAATTGCTATCCTTTCTTATAATCCTGGTGACATGGAGTCTGGAAACAATCGTGACTTCATTATCATTTTATCATGAAGCAGTGCTAATAGGGTTTCAATGTGTTTCCGGACAATGACAGCACAATGCACGGTGTAAGGTGGAGCCTACTTTTTAAGCAAACATAAGTCGCATCAGAAGTGAAAGCAAATTTATTCTGGGATACAATTAGATATATAGCTGATAATACAGTTAGTAATACAGCAGTTAGGAATACAGTTGGGAATACAGCTAATAATACAGCTATTAGTGTTTCACTCATCCCAAGACTATAGCTTGAAGCCTTTGGAATCTCCTATGATACTTGTGAACTAATTGTCCAACAGCCAGCTTAATTCTCCATAACAAATCCTCCTCTATGCACACGCGTACATGGGCATTGATGTGATTCTGGTACCCTCTCATGTTTATAGGTTCATCACAAATGACACAGTTGCAGATGTGGTCGGTCCTCTTCCTCTTTCTATTAGTTTCGTTATGTGCAGCTGTTGTTTTGGTATTAGCAAAATCAAATAATGTCGCTTCGCTTACATTTTTTGTGTCTACGCACTCCAATGACATTTTTGCAGACCTTTCCACACTTGTCACAAGTGGCTGGTAATTCTCCTGTCGACCATGTAAGTTAGTTCTGGTACTGTAACCCCACATACTCTCTGATTCAGCTTCTATCTTAAGGATTGGATATGAGCTCTCAGCCTTTAAAATCAGACCTTCAGGTAACACAACTGTTTTTGCGATTGCATCACATTCAGCCTGCCACAATTTGGGAAAGTCCTTTGGGAAAGGCGCATCTTCCTTGAGGTTTCCTAGAAGGATGTGCAGGAGGTGAATATCCTTCTGTTTTTGCAAGTTCAATTTCCTATTTAAAAGCTTATTATAGAAGTTATTGACCGCAGTGTCCAGATCCTTGCTACATGTTAAATTTAAATATTCGATGTCTGCATCTTCTAGGCATAATTGATAGAAAGTCTTAGCTAATGATTTCTGCAGATGTTTACGCTTTATATGTGTATAGTCGCTATTACAGCTACTATATACTGTAGTAATTATATGATCAATGACTTTGTCGATATTTAAATTGAATTTTTTCACGGCGTCATATGCAACCGCATTAAACCTTTTGTCTTCATTTATATATAGATCATTGGGGCGTCTACAGCTGTTGTCGGTTGTAAGTGTCCAATATAATAAAGTCTGATCTCTTGTTAAATGGTATTCTGATGACATGAAATTATAGAACTTGTTTTGTGAGTAGTACCTTGTCTTTTCAAGCCCATTTAGCGCAGCTAAAGCATTAGCCAATATTTTACCCTGCCCAGGCTTGTAAGGTAATAAGTGATCACCATCTTCAGAGAAAGTTATAACTGTATCGTATGAGGCCAGTAAATCCATGTGTTTCTTATGTAAATGGCAATCTGCTTCAGCTACAGCTAATTCCAATTTAACGTTGTTTTTTGTATTCACCAATTTATTTATTGCCATTAAATGTGAAATTTGGGAAACCTTAGCCTTGTTGATGATGTTACGACTTGGCAAACCATACGTGAGTCCGACTTGATCAGAGCGATATGATTCGACTGCCTGAGTAAAGTCACCATCTCTTATATTCATGTTCAATTTGTTTAAACTGTCGTTTGGTCCATGTTTCTCAAATACGTTTGGCTTATAGTCCATTACAGCAAATGTTTGGTCAAAGTTTTGTGCTATATCCAATAAGCGTAGCATTATAAGAGCACTACTGGTGTATCCCATGTAAAACATGCGCACTAGGAAGCTGCATTGACTGTATATATCGATAACAGCTGCTGTGCGCTTATCTTTCAATGTTTCGGGATCAAATTCGAATCTTGAAGCGTTTTGTGCTGCATATAAAATATTATTATTACTAAGGCCCATATTTATTGGTTTATTCGTTGGTTTAGCTGTCGATTATCTTGGTTGTTACAGACAGAGATGAGGGGAGCACATTGTAACATCAAGTTTAGAAGGCTACCGCTGTCACACGCTCTACAAAAGCAAAATTTTGAACAGAGGATAGGGAACCAGATAACTATTTTGTTTTTTGTTAAACATAAGAGACGCTAGGATGTCGTTAAGTACTGGTCGATAAAACAGGGAAGCAACTGGCAGTAAAGCGTTTGGTTAAAATTCTGAAGTGAGCGGATGAATATCAATGTTTTAAGGATGTAAATTAACAGCAAACATTAGAATATTAGAATATTATTACACGCACAATTGATTATTGAACTGATATTGAGCCCACTAACAAATTGCAGTGGCTACTAGATGCATAGCTATTGATAATATGGTTGTAATGTTAGGATATAGCTTACTTTCTGTCAAATTGAGTACGTCCTTGGATGATGAGCTGCGCCACTTCGATATTTTGCCCAACAACCAGCGACTATGGTACATACTCATGCTATAAGAAAGCCATGAATCTTGATTGTCTGCGAAGTGTATACGGTACACCCTACATTAACGTTAAGACTTACATGGACAACTGCGCAGTATGACGCTAGGAGTTTGTCCGTATTGGATTATAGTCAGTGGAAAATTAAGAGGTCAAAGTACCTTCTTATCCATAGCTGCATCTCCAAGTAAGTAAATTTTCATTTCGGCATCGGCACATTACAACAGTTGTCTTAATTTCCACAACATGATAGGAAACATGCTGACTACGCCAGCTTACAGGAGCTCAGGAGGCTAGTTGCTGGTGAAGCGTTTCTTTTTGCTCTCATCAGATTTGCGCCTAATCATTGTCGGAGAGTTTTTCGGAAGGGACCCCAGAAATCACGATCTAAGAAGGTACTCGCAATATTTCCATCAGCATAAAGGCGGTTAGTTGAGTAAATGTGATTGTCATTGCACGAGCAATTCTCCAAATGACTCTATAAGGTACATTGAAGTATATACGTACATTCACTATTTGGATATGCAAAAGTCAAAATTGTTTCGGACCCCTGTCTGCTGCGATGCTGCGTGATGAAAAGATGAGCCTATCGAATTTAGTCAATGATTATGGATGAAGGACATCAAAACTTATTCAGGAGTCTTTATGTCAATGAGATACCCGATCATCTACGACTCTACTACATACCGACAAGCAAAGGAAATAAAGGTTCGCGCAGTACTCGGAAAAAAGATAATGGCACTCTCCGAGAAATATGTAGCCTGTATTAGAGTTAGGCTACTTGAGTTGAAGGTAATCACTCTGTAACAGCTTTCATGCGAGTTTCGGGATACAGGAATGCCCGCGAATCTTGCGACGTAGAGAGCCGTGTGTTACGTATAGAATTATAGTGTGTTCTACCTGATATGTATGTTAGTATCCTCTTTCTAATACCAACGGAGGGTTCAATGCGGAATAGCTGATCTATTAAAGGTTGACGCGGGATAAATCAATTTAAGAGCTAGTACGTTTTTCTTTTAATGTTACCTCTATGATTTTACTCACATTGAATATTGGTAGTCACTGATATTATCGCTCTGTAATATATCTAATTCTCGCAAGAGAGCGTACACTAGTAGCATTGTCTATGACGTGCCGTGCTAAGCATTTCTGTGAGCAAGTACAAGGCCGGACGATGACGAATTTGAAATACAATGCCAGAACTACATAAAACTGGGCAGCCGCCAGGCGTCATCGCCTTAATGGGTCCCGCTGACGTCGTACGATAATAGCGCGGGCGCAGCGAAGGCAGTCATCAGCCAGAGCTCCTGTGGCCTAGTGGTGAGGGCATCCCTCTTATAAGGAATCTGCTTAACTTCAAGCTTAGAAATCTGGCATAGGGAAGATCGGGAGTTCGACCCTCTCCGGGAGCATCTCTTTTTGCGCCTGTCGGTTTCGGCCGCGGGTAATTTTTTCCCCGCCTGCTGGAAATCGCGCGGAAGAGCAACCTAAGGCGGTGTTCTTGGACAGGTGGCACAGGGCATGCTGGATGCTGTTTTGCAGCGCTGCTCGGTGCCAGGCGCCGCGGGAACGGACTGGACGACGAGGGAGGTAAGGCTGCTGTACATCGCAAATACACAAGTGCACATTCTGAATCTCTGGCGGTCATTCTGGGCTCTCCAACGGCGCAGGCGATCCTTGAGCGTACGCGCCGAAACGTGGTGCGCTTCGCGCGGATGCTTCGAGCACCGCTGATGGTGTATTCCTGGCCTGCTTCTTAGCATTGCTGTTGATCGTGTCTGCGCCTTTGCGTGGCCTGCTGCAACCGCGCTTCGCTCGATCCTGGTCTAGTCCTCCCGCGTTCTTTGGACGTTGGGCTTGATGGCTTGATAGTTATTTCCGTGGCCTGGCGATGTGACGATCCGTGCAGACGCCTACGCGGTTTCCATTTGTATCACCGCATTTATTCCTCAATTTGACCATTTAGCAACGCGGGTGTGTTGCATCCGGCCTTCTATTCTGCAGTGAACGTCGCCTGCCTCAGTATTGGGGCGCAGAGCTCTCTATTACGTCTTGCGATAATTATCCGGTCTACTCGATATCGGCGGCGACGTCACCATATCCGTATCGAGAGGGGGTAGCACAGCTGCGAGCGATAGACAATCCAAACCTCCTTGCATGCCACATTATAGAGCATAGCGGGGCGCTTATAAGGCATAGCGAGACCCTCACCAACGCTGCAGCGTCATATGCGAAAGAGTGGATAATCGGACACCCTACCCTATGCAAGCCATACATTGGCAGTTTGTATTTTTATAATCCGATGAGGAGCTTTTTGTTTCGACCTAAATGTGCTTTGAGTATGTTTTGTCTTTCTATGTGCACGAATAACCACACTAGATATATGTGAAACCAAGCTAATCACAGATACTGGATTACAAGCTACAATATGATATATTATTGTCCTACAACTCGAAGTTGATACTTCTCAATACCTCATGTGACAGGATACAGAGCATCTCAATCATATGGAGTGTAGTCGCGCATGCTTGCATGATTACTAGTAGGGTACGAGTATACCCTCATAGAGTCTAACTATTGCGTGGGCTTTGGGTAACCAACCTGCCAACCTAGTGCCATTGACTTAGCAGAACCTTACAAGCAGCCGGCATATCGAAAATGCTTTTAATGAACGTTATTGTCTTTTAAGTTAGACTCCCTTTGCGGGGGTTAGCTCACTATCTCTTATATTAAAACATCCAGTCAGGTTGAACAATTGAACGAAAAAGTGGAGCAGTTAAGAGGGGTATAGATTATGCAGGCGTTCGCTACATAAGGCCTACTCTACTACCATCCCTTCGCGTCAAGTTGAATGAACATCTACACCTACATCATAGGCTGAATCACACTACAATAGAGAGGACTGGATGAAAGGGATGACAAAACCAGCAAGTGGCACGTAAGTGGCATCCAATTGGACTTAGCGGAGAGGATCCATTAGACTTACAGGTCAACACAAATGCCTATTACGCGCAATGCCCTTATATCAACAACTGAGGTGCACTTTCCTAAAAGGCGTTCAACTCCTTATCTAGTACCGGGAATGTCTTGTTCGGTCTTCTTTACTTCGATTGTCAATTGCATCAACTCTTCACCATCATATGTCGAGGAGTATGTGCAAATCTCAATCATTTTCGCGCTTCTGAGTACACATTCGCGTCGATTCAGATTCGATTTGAGCTTCCCACGCGATCCAACCCCCGAAATTCCAATCCTGTTCATTTAGCCCTCATCCTCTGCTTGAATAGGCGCTCATACACCCTGAATACCGCGTCGCGCAGGTGAAGGTGCGACGCCAGGTAAGCTGCTGTCGTCTCACGCCTTAACCCACATTTGGACGGCATGCCATTCGACAAGCACGGCGACGACGTCGACCTACGTGGCATTCTACTGTACAAAAGGACCCCGTCGATACATCACAGTCAACTCCTTTCCACCATCGATTGGGTCCTCTAGAGACACTCCCTCACTATCTAGAGTGCTATCTCCAGTAGAGCAAGAGTAGCCCAACACATTAACATTGAAATTACATCATATCATAAATTACAGTGACTAAATAACTTAAATCCTCTAATAGGCTAATTCCGAGGGATCTCTCTGCCAGTGACGGTGCGAGGCGACCGCTTGAGCATATGCGCCCGCAAATGAAGCTGCATCAATCACACCCTTAGTGAGCTTGTCAAAGAGAGACGTGTCCTGGCTAGTGAGCTTTGGAGCGACGACTACACCGTCTTGAACGGAGAAGCTTTTACCTCCATCAGTGCGGTTTTCCACAGGGATGAGCTTGCTGCCCCACTCAGCCGAGGTGCCGATGAGCGCAATAGCCTTGAAATGCGCGTATGCTTCGATGCACCTGAGGTATGTTAGAAAAGTTTAGCAGCTTTCGAGTACACCTACCAGTGTTTTACGCGACCAAGGTTGAGAGTCTTCTTGTATCTATCATCACCATCGAGGAAGATCACACTGTCAAATAGAGTCGAGCGAGCAGATTCGAAGGTGAAGTTCGTTGGCAACTCTTGACCCTCTTGCTTGCCATACGTTGGGCCCTTGCGCAAACCAACGACAGCAACGATGTTGCCGAGTGCTAGGAATGCATTCTGGATGGCTAAAGCCTGCTGGTGATCGTAACCGTCAGGTGCAACAAGTGCGATGAGACGACCTTCTGGCTTGAAGACGTTGTTCTTCGAAAGCATAGATATTGGATTCGCACCATCACTCTTTCTACCGTGGTTTTTCTTAACTGCAGGCGGACACTTAATGCCAAGACCCTCACTAACTTGGACTGCCATATCATGGTCGATGTGGTTTAGACGCTCAACCATGCGTGTGCGAACGCCAACGTCATCGCATCTACCCATCTCGAAATGCGATGTAGAGACAAAGTTTGCTTTTTCGATATCGGATAAGGAGTTGAAATGCAACGTAGCTTGATCGTAGAACTCAAAGAATTTCTCACCGAGGTTTCTTTCACGTTTTCCACCAACCTGGTAAGGTGGAAAGTGCAGACCACCTTCCTCAACAGACGCAGGTTTCGGGTAGTTATTGAACCTATTTGGGTAATAGTTTGGACCATTAGGAATGACTTTGCTGGAGTAGCCATCACGGAGGGTGTTCATGAATGGACATGCTTGCGGAAGTGGCTGATTGATTGGAAGCTGCGAGAAGTTGATGCCACCCAAGCGTGAAATCTGTGTATCGAAGTACGAGAAGTTACGGCCCTGTATATTGTTAAATAAATAATTTTCAAGGATAATCACTCACATGAAGCATTGGATCATCAGAATAGTCAATACCTGGCACGATGTTTTGCGTGCAGAAAGCAACCTGTTCATTTTCGGCGAATTGATCAGTAACCGTTTTGTTGAGTGTCATGGTTCCAACCCATTTGATGGGTACTTCCTCTTCTGGGATGATCTTTGTGCAGTCTAACAAGTCAAACGAAAATTTATCCTCATCCTCTTCCGGTACCAGTTGAACACCAAGTTCATACTTTGGGTAGATACCGGAGTCGATGAACATTTGTAAGTCGCGTTTGAGATAATCTGGGTCTTGACCACCCAGCTTGAGAGCTTCGTCCCAACAGAGGGAGTGTTTACCAAGGTGAGGTTTCCACTGGAACTTAACAAATGTACGCTTGCCTTCCTTATTAACGAGTACGAAAGTATTCACACTAAAACCTTGGACCATACGGTAGGATCTTGGGATGGTTTGGTCTGACAAAATCCAAGACACCATGTGAGGTGATTCTTGCAGGAGAGACATGTAATCCCAGAAGTTATCGTGCGCTGTTTGAGCCTGTGGGAGACCCCCTTTAGGATCTGGTTTGGCCGCGTGAATGAGATCAACGAATTTAGTTGGATCTTGAATAAAGAAGACTGGAATCTATCGAGAAGTGAGATGTGGTATAAAGTGCTTTCTGTGGGCTTACATTGTTTCCTACTATATCCCAGTTTCCTTCTGAAGTATAGAAACGTGTCGCAAATCCACGAACCTCTCGAGCAGTCTCTGCAGCTCCAGCGCTACCTAAAACTGATGAAAAGCGAACAAAAGTAGGTGTCTCTGTTACTGTATCTGTGAGGATCTTGGCGTGGGTGACATCCTCTAAACTTGTGTGAAGCTTGAAGAATCCATGAGCAGCGTCACCACGAGCATGTACAACACGTTCTGATGAGCATATTAGCACGAATAATATCAGTAAATCAATCAGTCTCACCTGGAATGCGCTCGTGGTCAAAATGTGATATCTTGTCTCTAAACACAGGATCACTCAATAAGGTCGGACCTCTACGACCGGCCTTCATTGTGAGCTCTACATTGTCTGCTTTTGCACCGAATGTAGTGCGGTGTATTGAGCCTTCACCTTCAGCTGGTACATCCCTCGTAGCCGTCGCTAGTTGTTCGAGCTTTGTGTTCTGTTGAACTGGTTTATTAGAATCGTAAACTGACCTGGATTGCGTCAAAAATGATGGGTTGTGAAATGAAATCTTACATTATGTTTTAATAGTTGGGAAGAAAGAGCAATAGGCGTGACAAAGTCCTTCAACTCCATTGGTGTAGGAAGTCATGACGTCATATAACAGCTTGTGAATGAATGATTACATAAAAGGTGAGCGTGGGAGTAAAATGTAACTCTGTTCTGAGCGCATATTAGTGGCTCATCAATACTAAGCTTGAGAGCGCCACTCATTCACGAGCGTTTATCTTCGCCGATCGCAAGTTAGAAAAATATGTGATGTAATTGGCCGAGAAGTATTACTAAATGTATCAAATAAGTTACATGTCTATTTTAGCTTTCTTGGATTTATGGATGTCTACGTCGTCACTGGTGGCATTATCGTTAGCGTGTTCTTCAGAGCTGTTTTTGGTGTTTTGTGGCCCGCTGTTTGGCTTTGCTAGTGGACCCCAGTTGGCAGGATTAGATTGGTACCTTCTAAGCTTTTCTTTACTTCCAAGTAGATCAACAACGGCTTGGTTGTGAGTCAGGTCAGCGTCAACCCTATTAGGAGTTACATCAGTAAACCGCATCGATGTAGCAATCACACCCACTCAGCTTCTTTCATCGCCAGCACGCGCGTAGGTGAGCCCTCTTTTATGTTTTCCAATTTGATAGGATGTGTTTTCATCCATTTCCTGAACATGTCATGTATCACTCTTGAAGGTGCGTTCGTTTTTATTGATCCCGCCAATGCATGTGATCTAGACACTTGGTAGCCAGCGTTAACAAGGCCAGAACTGGTGTGTGTGAGATAATAACTGGTAAACTAGTCGAAACCCACGCTATTGTGACCATCGGTGGTGCAGTCATTCGCATCGCACTTGCGACACTATCAGTTGTAAAATAGAATGGAGAATCTTCAAGCTCGCCATCAGCGACAGAGACCATACCCTTCATTCTAACGGCTGTGCCATATTTATCAGCATTCTGATCGATATGCTCAAGCATGCGCTTTGTGAAATCTTTATTGTGTATTCTATCAATCCACATAGGACCATTTGTGTGGTATTGTGCACCACACTCAGAGCATTTGTCAGATTGATTAATCGCTTGAGCGGCTTGGAATCTACTTGAGGTGTTGCCCTTCTCGTTCGTCTTGACGGTGATTCTTCCGAATGGTTGTATCGCGTGTTGGCGGCAGAAGCTACAGACGTGCACACTTCCTGTCTTACTGAATGCTTTCTTGACTTCTCCTGAGCCATCGTGTACCCTGACCCACATTCTAACGTAGAAATCAATAGAAAGACTCATAAGTGGTTCAATATAGCGACCATATCTAGCCGCTGATTGTGATAGAGAATTGAGAATCAATCTGAGAGCCTTGCATAGGTGTTAGTGGTGGCCATAATAGCATCATTAACTTACCCCTTCATGTGAATACTCTGCCCTGATTGGTGTACCACCGTAATTTGCGTAGCTAAGACTCATGAGATCGGTAGCTTTACAAGAGCATTCAACATACCATTTCTCTGGATAGTTTGTGCCTGCCATTACGGCTGTATCTGTGCATGTAACACAAAGAAGGCCTTCCTGGTGTCAAATACGATACCCAAAAGGTGATTTACCCACCTCCAGAGCTTAAACATTGCACTGCAGCATCTACAAATGGAGCAGCAGTACCATAAGGGTCTAAATCTACGACGTCAAACTTTGAACCCGAGCGATGCTGGTACATGAGAGCACTTTGGGTGGTAATTAGTATAGGCGCTTCTGCGCGGATGCTCACTCACCTGGCATCACCCTCAACTGGTTTCACTTTGTCAGCGACGTTGTTGTACTCTGCGTTCCTGCGAATAGCTTCTACAGCGTCTGGGAGGAAATCGTTTGCGTATATTTTACTGCTATGGAGTTAGCTATGGTGGCAATCCTTATATATCCACTAACTCTGCATTTGGAATCTCCTTCGCATATCTGATGGCTCTCAAACCCGTAGCAGATAGGGCATCTAAAATGCTGAATTTAAACTTCCAATTGGCGTCCTATGCGAGTTACAATCAGCGTTGTCGTATAAGCATATCCCACGCACCTCTTCTGCATTCTTTTTACCCTTCCGTTTTGACTTAAACTTGGCAGATTTCTCAGCCCGTACGATCTCAGACCATACTCTGATAGCTGCTACTGATAAATCCCTATTAAACTCCTGTATTGGGTTTATGAATGCTTTGTTATCACTCGTCTCACTGATTGGTACGAGGATATTAGCAGAATTCTCCTTTGTCAATCTATAATTATCTGGCACTGGTTTATCCATTATGTTCAGTTTATTCACTTTCGTAAGTAACTCTCTTATTATCGACCTGACACTCCTGATAAACCTCCCGGTCGTCATAAAAAGAGAAGACAGTAAGGTGAAAAAACAAGTGAAATTTATTATCTAGTACAAGCCATCTAAGTAATCTGAAGTCTTTTTTGGTGTTTCTGGGGTTCTTTCCAAGGTTTCAACCTTTGGTTTTGGTTGTTCGAGGTATGGTGCGATAATTTCGTCAAATGAGGCGGAATCTAGTAAATCTGGTTAAACGAAAAGTTTAGAAAGCTATTGATACACCCACCTTCGCTCTTTGGTGCTGCAAAAGCTGCGTTTTGTGCGACTTTCTTTGATAATCCAGCTGTAATAATGCTACGGATGGAGACATAATCCAATGGCTGTAAATCTTATTAGTCATGTCTCAAAAAGATATCCCAACTCACCCCTTCATCCTTCTTTGGCGCATCTGCCTTCTTTGTGGTCTCAAATGGCTTAAACTCTGCAGCCTCCTTGGCTTGTTTATCAACAACTTGCTTCATTGTACCGCGTGGATTGTCAATCTTACCCAAATGAGCAAGTACATCACCACGTGTGAGCATACCGTGTCTACCTGTACCTTTAATTGAGCCAGCGTCAGATATGCCATTTTCAACGAGTAAACGTGAAACTGAAGGGAAGAGTGGCTTTTGTGAGTCAACGTGAGTATCTTTAGGCTCTGATGCTGTGGTTGATGTTTCTACTGGTTTGACTTCCTCCTTGGATTCCTCCTTTGGGGTAGTTTCAGGTGCGGTTTCAGCAGACTGTGCGACGGCGTCTGCGGCTGATAAATCATCGCCTTCCTCTCCGAGTACAGCTATTGGTGCACCGACTGGAATATTCTTTGCACCGTCGTTTAAAATGATTTTGGCGACAACACCGTCATCCTGAGCTTCGACGTCGATTGTAGCTTTGTCTGTTTCCTAATATGACGTTAATTAATGATGTGCCATACGCTAGATATCCTACAATCTCTAATAAAACATCGCCAGCACTGAATGTCTCTCCGGCTTGCTTTTTCCATGAGGCGATACCACCTTCAGTCATTGTAGGACTCATCTGATAGTTATTAGATGTACACTACACGCTATATTTCACTCTCACCGCTGGAAAATCGAACTTCTTGAGCTCATTGTTGACGATAGTTGTAGTGAACGTCCTAGCAGCAGCTATTTAAAAGGTTATCAGTATATTCATAAAAATGTATGATATCCTCACTCCTGTTTGATGCGGCTACCGCCTTTGCTAGGGCTGTTCTTGTAAGGTAGCTCATGGATGTTTGGTAGAAGGAATCACTGGGGGATGCAAACCTATGGACAAAATGAGGAGTGTACGATAAATTAATAAATTAAGGCGTTCCATTTGAATATCTAGTACATTTCTATCTACTCACATTTACTTGCTGCTATATCGGGGCAAGTGCTCAAATAGAAAGGCTGGTTATAAAATTGAAAGCGAACCGAATATAACTCGTTAATAACTTGCTAATGTATTATAAGCACTCAGAAACAATGGCAGCTCGCTCAGTTGTGTTGCTGCATGTCGTTGGCTTCTCAAACGAACACACTAGGTATATTAAAAACGGAACTGATACCTCCTGAATTTCTGTTGAATAGATTTTATTTACTACGGTTGTTACAAGATACTATTAATAAGTTTCGCCAAAATATTCAAATTACGAATAAACTATAATAGTAAGTAGTCTTACTTGGAAAATATTTCTGTGGCACATAGAAAACCATAACGTTGTGTTTGTTGTGTGTCATGAAACAAATGATTCCCTCCTGTCACTAGTAATGAGAAAGTTTGTGAAACCCTTCAATAATGTCTACATAATGTGTAGAAAGTTGTTCAGGTAACTTACATACTTAGAGAAAGCTTACCTAGGGTTCTTGATGTTCTAACGTTTCTCCGATGTAGACTGAGGTGAAAATTTTTCATCAATTCAATATACACGCTTTTGTGATCAGCTACGGGACATAAATGTTTTCACTTATATTTCTGAAGAACACATCAACTTGCTGTTTATTCCCACAACACTTAACTGCTTAACATACTAGTATTCCTGCGTACAATGTATATACGATAGTGCTACACGCTAAACATACACTTAACCTCGCAGGACACTGACTTTACACGGGATGAGCTCCGTCGTATCAGCTTGAATAAGCCATAAGGAACGAAAATGAAGGTACTGTAAGAGTTCCAGCGGAATGAGTCCCCCAATTAATATACCGGAAGTATTCCTATTAATATCTGAATAGACATGATGAAGTTGCTAATATCAATATTTCAATGCTGCTGGAACGACCGAAGAAGTAGGTCTGATAAGCAAACAAATGAGTAACCAGGTAACAAATAGTCATATATAAGAATATAGCAACTTCAACCAATCGGATAAACAGGTTGGTTATGTCATGTTGACCGACCCCTGTCATTTTCCGCGGCATTAAAAGCACTAGAAAAATCAGAATAGAATACACCACATCGGTATAAGGTACTTAGTGATTATTCCAGACGCCGTGTTAGAGAACCCAAGCGGTCATCAGTTACAGCGCTGTTGACCAATCAATATGCACTTAATAAACGTATAATGAGCCTGTATTCAATAATATTAGCAGCATCAACAAATGCCGACAATAATACATCTTCATACAACCGATTTATGGTTTCTTTGATGAAGTTTCAATTGACGGCAACCTCCCCAGTCATGACTGTGATTGTTGACAGTTCCTGTATGAGGTAGTATATTAACCACGAAAATCCTTCTTTCGTTACTTTGAGCATTTAATATGTCTGCAGAGTTCACAAATTTGGTACTTAGAGCTGAAGAAGAAGGTTTGTAGATCTCATATCAACTTGACATTCTGACACCAAAAAAGAAGCCAACTGTGGTAGTAAATACAATGATAACTCCCTACAAGGGTGAGTGTATTCATTTTTTTGACTCAATATTCTCATGCCATCACAGTCTCCGTATTGGTGCCATCTTTATCGTTTTAGCGACATCTGCGTTTGGTACTCTTCTCCCAATTATCACCGGTAGAATAAAGGGCTTGGGATTGCCTAAGATATTCTATGACACAGTAAAGGTGTGTAATCTGTCACACAAATTGCAACCGTCTCATTCGTCTGCAGTACTTTGGTTCCGGTGTCATCGTAGCAACTGCTTTCAGTGGGTGAAGATAGTTATGAAATAATTATTTTAACACTACTTCAGTTCATTTGCTCGCTGAAGCTTTCGAGGAACTCTCAAACGAAGAGTGTCTTAGCGGCGCATGGAACGACTACGATTGGTCTCCAGCGTTGGCAGAAGCATCAGTCTTCGTAGGTATACCTTAGACTATTGAGAAGGTCAATTAACAAACCACAACAGTTCATCTTCTTCGCTGAGTTGTGGGCTTCTCGCTTGGGAAATAAATATCTCCAAAGACGTGGTCTGGAATACGACAATCACGGTCATGAAGGTATTGGCGGAATTGCTGGATCACATGGCGCAGAAACTCACAACCCAGAGACACCACACCTTCACGATGCACCAGCAGCTACGATCGGTGATCGCAAGTCAGCTGAAACCAACGACGTCGAGAGCGTACACACAGCGCACAGTTACAGTTACAACACCATGTCAATGGTCACAGGTGTTGCGATCTTGGAATTTGGTGTTCTCGTGAGTAACATATTCGATCATCCTAGTCTATCTAACAACACAGTAGTTCCACTCAGCTATTCTTGGTTTGACACTCGCAACCACTGCTTCTGACGAGTTCAGAGTTTTGTTAATCGTTGTCGTCTTCCATCAGATGTTCGAAGGTCTCGGTTTAGGTGCTAGACTCGCTGAATTACCACTTAAGCAATGGTGGATTCCATACACTGGAGCAGCATGCTACTTTCTTATCACACCAGTCTTTATTGCTATTGGATTGGGTGTACGCGAGACGTACAACGACGAGTCAACAGCTGCACTCATCGTCTCTGGTGTCCTCAATTCTCTTTCGGGTGGTATTCTCCTTTACACTGGTTTAGTTGAATTGTTGGCACACGATTTCATCTTCAGCAGCCACATGAAGAACGCATCAGATATATATGTCTTATATGCCAGCTTTTGCGTTCTCCTAGGTGCAGGTTTAATGAGCTTGCTCGGTTACTGGGCATAGACGGGATGTCTTTGTCTACAGAACAATAGTTATAGATTTGGATTGATTATTCTCTTGGATTACCTTTTATTTGCGTTACTATTTACGTTTGTACACCATTTAATTGATTATATTGCATTTAGAAGTAGTGCTAAGGGATTGAGGTTTTTTCGTGGATGATTTTCCCTTTAAAGAGCAAACAATCTGTATGACATCTTATTCTTAACTTGAAATTAGTATCTTACGTTGCGGAATAGTTAGACACCGCTCACCTTGTTGTGGGGTAATGCTTTGATTCTCATTTCCTATCGACAAAACTCTTGTAACTTTCTTTTGGATGTCATTTATGCATTGATTCTAACAATTTGGTGTTGCTACAGGGAAGTTGTACAGATGTTTGCGTTTTAGTTATACTGTTTACAGTGCATTGTGTTATTAAATTTCGTTGATTTCATGTACAGAGATAACCTCACAAACGATCCAATGAAAGCTAACATATGGTGTCCTTTACAAACATTACTAGATAAAATAAGTTAAGCATCATCTATTTCAAAGCAGATATGTATTTTTCTAATGGATGCTTATTAATTTCATTCAAAACACAATTATTGAGTGTAATTCGCAATGCTTTGTAACAATGCAACACGAGAAGGTGAGAACGAGATTGCTACAAAATGGAAGATAGCCTTTCAGGGTCTTCCCAGTCGTTTCCGACCAACAGTCATCGACAGCCTCTTGCAAGCGCGATCTCAGAAAGCAACAACATCATCAGACTCAAACTACAGAAGGGAAGTTGTTATCACAGTCACAACACGAGTGTCATTAAACATTTTGAGAAAATTTGTGTGTAAAATTTTCGAAACTGATGTATTCGATGTATTTGAAGTTGACATGACCAGAAAGGCATAAATTTAACCACCCTTCTTCTTGGAGACACCAACGGTCTTACCGCGTCTACCGGTAGTCTTGGTGTGTTGACCACGGACTCTGATACCCCAGAAGTGACGGAGACCACGGTGAGCACGAATCTTCTTGAGACGCTCAAGATCGTCACGGAGCTTGGCATCGACTTGGTTAGAGACGACTTGGTAGTTCTTACCGTCGGTGATGTCCTTTCTTCTGTTCAAGAACCAGTTTGGAATCTTGAATTGGGTTGGGTTTTGGAGAATGCTGACGATTCTTTCGAGTTCGTCAGAGTTAAGTTCACCAGCACGCTTGAAGAGGTCGACATCAGCCTTCTTGATGACGACGTTTGCGTAACGTGGACCAACACCCTTGATTTCAGTCATCGCGTATTGGATCTTTCTCTTACCATCGACGTTGGTGTTGAGAAGACGCAAGATATGCTGGAATTGCATATGTGGCTCTGGGGCTACTAGGCTGGCCTGTAGAGTGTGAGTCTGGGTGTCTTTCTGAGTATAGCGGGGCGATACGAATGAGTGGGATAAGATGCATCAAGTTATATAGCGACGTCGGATTCAGGCCAGCAAGCTAATATAATATCCTTCTGTAATAAATATCGTACCACCCGCGCTGGATTATTTTCCTTACCATTTTTGATCTTGCACGCTCGACTGCAAGAAATTATCTCAAGAAATCTTCTCGAGAGGCCACAAATTTTTGATTTTGATTAAGCGCCTCTTAATTCAAAACGACCAAGAGTGGCTTCCAAGAGCAGCTTCTTGGTTGGTAATTTAGAGTGAGTCTCTACTGGACTCGCACATCAGCACACATGATAGAAAAGCCCATGGTTTTTAGGGCTCACTTACTGGCACCTCTTGTGTTAAGGTGCACAGCCAGGACGTCTTCCCGTAAGCTCAGGCAGAGTGGCTGTGTATCTGATGATTTCAACTTTTTAACTGACACTTGCTGATGTGTGGTACTTCTGATGAATTTACTGACAGATCATTTAGGAATGTATATTATATTGTATTATATTATGTATAGCTAGATGTATTTAATGCACGCTTTATAACCTGTGCTGTGGTTCTCGGATCGCCTTAGATCATATTAGAACACCTTAGGTCATCTCTCTTCAAGTTGGCAGACATTTCCATTTGAAATAGCATTTATTAATATTAGAAAACACGAAAACAGAAGGTTAGACGAATAAAATGAACTCCAAAAAGCATCGTGGGTATTGAATACGAGACGTGTTTGTGTTTGTAAAACTAAAGTGAGAAATTGAAAGTGAAAATCTAAAGTTAAATTAAAAGTATTTACTTCCTAGCTTTCCTAACACTGAATGACCTGACGAGTTCATCCAATGGGGATGCCACAGAGTGTCTATTATTACTATTTGTGGATTGTCCATTATTATTTGGGGCAGCAGACAATAAATCGTGGCTATTTCTGGATTGTTGGTCCCAATGGCTGAATGAATGCTCGGACTGTGACCTGAACATCGATCTATCACTATTCGATCTGGCGAGAAGGGAGTCTCTTCTTGAATGTGATGATGGAGTCGATGAACGTCTGCTTCCTGCAGCGGCAGCTCCTGCTCCCGCTAGTCCACCCGCAGCTGCACCTGCACCTGCTCCTACACCAAGCATGTTGTTGTTTTGTGACGGCGTAGCGTTCACAGAACTTGCGGCACCAGCGCCAGCTCCACCTGCGGCAGCAGTAGCACCACCACCACCACTCATCAAGGCAGCTTCCTGGGCTTCCTTCGCTTGAAGTGCTCTGTTTTTGTTACGCTTGCGAGTGGCCAGGAAGAGTATTAATCCTACGAGCGCTAAGAAACCTACGATTGAACCAACGATAGGACCAGCGATCCAGGCTTTGTCGTTTCCACTGTCGGAGTTGCTGAGGGTAGCGTCCGGAGAAGCAGATGCTGAGATCCTAGTTAGTGGAAATAAAATAGATGGCCTAATAAAACTCACTGCTTGCGGTAGAAAGGGTGGAAATACTGGAGAGGTTTGATTGAGAGGACAATGTGGAAAGGTTTGACTGCGAAGATATTGAGGATACCGATGACTCTGAGGAGACCGATGATTCTGACGACACCGACGATTGTGATGAGGCTGAAGATGCTGACGATGCTGATGACCTTGAACTAGCTGCACTGGATGCACTAGACGCACTAATCTGACTGATCACGCTGGCACTAGATTGACTAGCTAAGCTATTTTGCTGACTGATGACCGATTGGCTTGATAAAATCGACTGGCTAGCAAGAGAGAGTTGTGAGATTACAGATTGAGTTGGTACGCTCTGCATAGACATTCTGGATTGATTTGCGAGGCTCCTGACATCTTCACCGATTATTGTAGTTCTGCCGTCAGTAGCAGGTGTAGGAAAGGCATAGCTGGGAGCTGGAGTACCAGTAGCTAGTACATCAGTGCTACCACCGTCGTCATACCAAATATCCCTCTTATTTGAACGTTTGAACCTCCTCGAATTCCTCGTCTTTGAGGCGTATGGATGAGGATTTGACATGGTTATTGAACCGACTAATTAATATTTTAAATGAGTGTGTGTTTTAGTTGGAATTCTTTTATTTTATTTACTCGTATATACGCAAGGAGATCGACTTGGAGGTCTGCCTGATCCAGGCCTCAGTGATAAAAAAAATTGCGAGACCTGATTCATCCGCAGACAAGTATGTTTGAGATCTACGACAGAATCTTATTATATCTATCTTTCTACAGTTTTTATTTGGAGGACAACGCTTGGGCCTTGTCGTGCTCCTTCTATGACCACATAGGTGGGTCGTCGAGTCTAGCGCAGCGCATTAAAGGGAGAAGATGAGAGAACGCCAGGCTGATAGATGGCTATGACTACAGCGCTGAGCTCAGACGAAGTGGATGCGTTGTCACTTCGTCCGCACTTTAGATGTCACTCCGTACCCTCCTAGTAGAAGAAAGCGTGGGATGACAATGAAGGGGACAATAGACGTGGCTATACGCTTGACAATGAAATGATGTAAACATCCATTAGATTCCTGGGTGTGTACTCACTGAGTTAGGTGGTATTAGAACAGCTAGCAGGCGATATCGCGGAGAGGCACGACGGTCCTCATGGGCTGCAAGTGTTCTCGCAAAGACAGCTGAAGTGATGTGGTGATAAGCATTAGGGCTTTTCCCTCATGCGATTGTATCTGTGCTCCTGGAGAGGGTTGAATTCCCGATCTTCCCTAACCTCAAATTCCTACTGGCATTGATTCAGAATGGTTATGACGAGGGATGTAACTATCGTGCCTGATGTTAACTACTCGAAATTATGGACAATTATCCCAAACTCCATAAGCTCAAGGAGTACAGAGAAACACTGTTTTGATTTCATGTTGCGTCAACACTATAAGTTGATTTTGACAGCATTTCATAACTTTGCTTTTGTCTGACTTTTGCTATAAAGGATTACATGTGAAAATGGTGTCGGAATAAACCACACAAATTATACTAGACCCCGACGCAGCTCGAGCAATACAGCGTGGCATGCTGATTAGTGCTGAAATATTGCTACCTTCTAAAAAAAGTCAGACTGTTAGAAAATCTTTATCTAACAGGGCACTAGAACTGTTGTTTTTTCCAGTGTTCACTAGTATCATGTTGCCGTCATAGTGTTTAGAGATTATCTATACCCTTTGATTGCGCAAATCCTCGTATTTCTAATAGTAACATGTTCGGCTAATAAATGTGTCGTTGGGTAAACGACCTCACAGTTAGCTTTTCTCTAAATAACTTTATTATGAACTTTTATATAGGAAATAATTCAACTTGCCTGTTTGAGATGATATTGAGATCTATTTGCGAGGTAGTACACATGTTCAACGACCTCCGTTTTCCAAAGGACTACGATTATTCTTGTAATTAAATAGGACATTTAATGTGAAGAGAATAAAAGGTAATACGGCATCCTTGTATTTTTTTTCTAAGTGTTCCTTTATGTTGTTGGAAGTATGCCTTCGGGCTGATAATGTAACACTTAACAACACACTCACCACAAACAACCACTTTTCGGCCCTAGGCCATCCTTGTCCGATGTTACTATGTGTATGCATAGAAATATGTATAAGTAGAATGGGTACAAGGAATAAGAACCAGTTCTGTCCTTTATAACTCATCGTGAATATTACCTAAGACAGAACAGTACGGCTTGCCGTCTTCGTTGGATTTACAAGCATACCATGGCCTCGCATTGCAATCTATTTTGCTAGCTGGCAACTTAGTGAGAGACATTGAAACATGGGCCTCCCAATTACCGCCATGTGTTAAAGTGAAACAAGCTTTTTTTATTTTTATTTTTTGCTAAAATATAGTACTGCATCCATCAATCCATCATGTATAGTATCTCTAGTTGCAGTGGTGGTACATCCACCTCCATTTATAAAATAGAGAGTGGCGCCTGTGTCCTCTGCTGCATAAGTCAACGTTTCCGTTGCACAACTAGTAAACTATCCGTTAGCGTGTGTGAAAAACCATTTTGCCATGTCTATCACAACTGGACCAAACGCTATAGCAGTTGCATCGGCGCTTAAAGGCCATTCGAAATTACGATTTTTGACTACCGAAGGTAGTATCACGTTTAGTCCACCACCAATCTTCGCTGGAACAACATCCATTAAGTCCTAACCTTTTAGCATGTGTACCGTGGTCGTCTTTTGAAATGATCAATTTGCCTGTTTCAGCGTCTACGTAGTCCAAATCTTGGTCGGCTACAGGCGGTCCAGTGTAGTCGTTAAGTTGAGCTGTATTAATGGTTAAGACTAAGTCGTCATCACCATCTTTACGAGTGATGTTATTAACAACACCGCTAGCATTGCTATAATGGAATTGTACCGCTTGAGATCCTGGTTAGGTTAGGTTAGGTTAGGTTAGGTTAGGTTAGGTTAGGTTAGGTTAGGTTAGGTTAGGT